TACACAGAGAATGGCGCAAATCTATGTTAACAATATTTTTGTGGGTCGAATGGTCAATACCATCAGCATAAGTTGTCGTACTTCATTGGTACTTTCGACATTGCCACTTCTGACTTAAATTATAATACGCTCTGAAAAAGAATAAATATAATATAATAACATATTCGATGACTGCAAGGGTATCTTATATATAGCTTCCTTTTTTGTTTAATCACAACTCTTGTTTTCGTGATACTTAATATTTTATCCATAACCAACTGTTAACAGAAGGTTGTATAATTTAAATCGTATCTATTGCTCTCGGGGAACAAATTAAATTATTGTATAACAAATGTTTCGTCAATTTTCATGAATTCAAAACCATTGAGATGAAATAATGAAAATCCCAAAAAACAATCAAAGAGATACCCATACCCAACTCGCAACCCTGTCTATGGTCCCTTGTCCTGTTTCTTTTCTTCCACCAGAAATACAACCCTGGCCCTACAAATATATTTCGGTCTGCCCCTGACCCTTTTGTGTGTTTGACTTGGGGTTGGGGTTGGGGTTGTCGTCTATGGACGCGTGCGTGATTGTTGGTGAGCCACACACATTTGCGTCACTTCAGCATTAAAATGAAAAGTAGGCGTATCTCGTCTGATGAAGTTAAATTAGCGAACTCTTATTTTATCGGAGTTTCGAGATTTCTGCTTTTGGCAGTTGCGATATAATTTTTAAGTTCGGTGACTATCAGTACTTATCTTAGCTTCGCAGAAAGCGAATTCGGAGGTTGAACAGTTCAAAATTAATAGAATCTATTTAATTATTTTGTTTAAGGAAAATTTAGTTTTTTTTATAATGTAAGATCTGTAATAAACAGAGCTTTATTACTTTTAAAACGAATGCAATAATAAAAAAAAGCAACACCGAACTAATTTAAGCAACAATGCGATGCGATGCGCCCTAACTTGTCCCATGGACGAAGACGATGACAATTACAATGAGGATTTAGCCGTGGCTGCGGTGGATGGTCGTCCTCATCAGGGGCAGACTGAGACTGAGGCACAAATCGCTTGGTTGTAGCCGGAGCTGCCACTTCACTGAGCAATTAGCTATCCGACCGGAAAAGGAAAAGGGGAGCTTCAGCTTCAGCAGCAGCATCAAGCAGAAATGATCAAACTAAATTTGTGAGCTCTGAACCCCAGCTTTAGCAATTGGATTTAGTATTAACGTAAGAAGCTGTCAGTCCCTTTTTGTTACTCAAAACTCCGTCGGCAATATATGTATATTTTTCCTTTTATAAAATAGTCCATAGTTATATAAGATTTTTCGTAACAAAGTGATAAATGTGCTAAATACGTGAATATTCAATTATAAAGAAGTTATGAAGATTTTGTTTTAACGTCTCCGATTGTTCCTTTGGCAGCTATATAGTGTATTTTGCTCGACATTTGCGTTGAGTATATAAGCATAAGCATAGTTTATTATAATTTCAGACCTGATAGGGTATATATATTCTTAATCAGCATTTAAATCAATCTAGACAGGTACGTCCGTTCGTTTTCCCGTTGGTCCGTCTTCCTGTTTCTATATAATGATAATAAAATATATAATGATGATACATAATGATATAAAACGGAATGGGCAGGATCGGAAGACAATCTCGGATATCTCCCGTAGGAGAGACCGAAAAAACATCGCAAAAAAACTTATAACCCCGATGTTTTTTATCAAACGGGCATAGTTGATTTTTCGTTGATTGATTTCTAAAGACTCTTGAGTTTCGAACTGGATTTCAGAAAAACATATAGCTAGTTTTTTTTTTAATCAAACAAGCATGATTTTTCAAGTTTCTAGTTTTTATAGTCTAATGAGTCTTCAATTTCGGATTAATTTTCATAAAAATCGGACAAGTATATACATACATATATAGGTCTCGCAGGACAATTGTTGTAATAACCGCTCGGCATTTATGAATTTTGCTCGATATTAAGCCGTTCCTTCCGGTAATTGATATTAAAAAGTTATTTATATAAACCCGCAACCAAGGTATATAGCTGTCATAGAAAAAAAGTTTAACATTTAATGGAAAAATCACAAAACTAGAAATAAACTATAAGTAACTTTTTTTGTGAGATATAAACAAAAGAGGGTACATACATAATATTCTTAAAGGATTGGTGGATTCTATGCCGGATCGCCTTAACAAAGTTATAATACCAAAAGGAAAGCATATAAACTATTAAAATAACTAAAAAGATAAAAAATACTTACATAGATATTGATATTATAGGAAATACTGAAAATGTATATATACTTATTTCCTATGAACTATTATTAATTAATTCAGTTCTTTAATAAGTTGAAGAAAATAAAAGTTGGATTGATTTGTTTTGTTTAAATCGTTTTTTTGTTAAAAATATCAATGTACATATACTTATTTCCCTGAGGTACATGCCCTTATTGACGATTATGTTTTATAAAAATATTATATGGCCCTCGAGACAAAGCAACTAGCCCCCAGCCCCAGTTCCAGTCGCAAAACAACAAGTGTTGTTGACAGCCTCACTTTCCGCATTTCATTTTATGTCATTAGGTTTGGAGTCGCAGAAACCACATTGTGAAAAATAACAGCTGATTCCCCCTTCCTTTTTGGTTTTGAGCTCGACATGCTTGTTCAAATCGTCGACTGGAACTAAATTGTGACATTTGATAAGAATTTTTCAGATAAATCTCGATCACCCAGACATAGTGGTGGGCCAATGTGCCAAATGCTTTGGTATTACGACGGTATTTAGATACCCAAAAATTAATTTGCTCTAGGAACTTCGTTCGTATATTTGCCACCCTGTTTCACAGCCAATTGTTATATTTTAACATTTCTTGTCTACAAATCGTGCATGGGAGTTTTAGCACTTGTTTCGAATTAATAAGTTGTTTAGTAGCGAGTTAATCAATTTTATGTTATCACAAAAATGTTGCAAATGTTACAACGTCAGCAACAAGGTGATCTTTATAGTAGTCTTCTAACTATGCCGAATATTCCGTAAATCTTTATATCCTTGTAGAGGTGATCTTTATAGTACTCTTCTAACTATGCCGAATATTCCGAATATCTTTATACCCTTGTAGAGGGAACTAAAATAACAGTCAGAAGTCTGCAACGCAGGGAAGAAGACCTCCCGACATCTTCTGAAATTAATAGAAAAAAAAAAAAAAATATAGAGCATCGTTGTTTTTAATCATACAAGCATCATTTGTTGTATATTGTCGAATTGTTGTCGAATTAAGTTTCATGGAAATCGGATAGCTATATCATATAGTTGGCTTAGGAACAATCGGTGAAAATATAGATAGTTAATAGAAAAAGTCGATGTGTTTTATCCTAATGCAATTATGTATGATCGACATCTATGATGACTGAAAGGGTTTATAAGCTGCTGATATAATAGTTTGATCTCTACAAAAACAATTGTTCAATACCTATTATCTTAGCAATGTGATAATAAATATGAAATGAATAAATAAATGTCATCAAAGCTATGACATTTTTTTGGCAACCCCACCGCTAGGATAAGTCGCTACTGGCTTATCATCAGTACGATCGAAAACCAAAAGATAAATGAATCCTCTCCAAAAAAAACTGTAGAGGCTCTATGCTCCCGGGTGGAGTTAAAGAATGTAATTTTTTTTTTTTTTTTTTTTTTATTACTTCTGTGGTAGCTCAATGATAATGTGGTCTGGACCCGGTCTTAAAACTGCTTTACGTAAGGTATTTAATTGATTTTAGGGAAAAAGAAAAAAATATATTGACCTTAAGACAACCCGAAATTTAAAATGAAATCGCCTGTACGCCTGTACTTGTTCTACAATTTTCACACCACAAAGTATGAAATAAATTAACGATTCTTTCACACATTCCAGGAAAATCAGATTCGTCACCTTCACAATGCGCCGTGAAATTTTTGGCACACGCAATAGGAATGACAAAAAGTCGATTCGGGAATGTTTCCCTTTGAAGAACCCCAGCGAACTGAATGCCAGCACTGACATAATGCAAGATATACGGTGGAGGAGAACGTTTCGAGATTCGTTGGTGCGTGTGACTTCAAAAATCCTAAAAACGTGTCGGACAGGATGTTGAAGGCAAGTAAGCTCAGTGGTTGCTATTGGGGGTTGTTGGGATCTGTGTATGCTGTAAGTTGGTGGTTCGATTTCTGTGAATAATAGATGGATAAGTCTGTAAAAGCTACATGCACGCGAACGTATTTATTTTGCATACTTCTTTGTTTTTAATCTTACAACATGATGCACTTAAATTTCAGTGCATCTTTGATAAATGTATTGGGTGCAACTCAAATACTTAGACACTTTAATGCGGCAATCGAAAATTAGTATAGAAAATCTTTTAGTGAGGCTGATTTAGAATGCCTTACAGGGTAGGATAAGTCGCGTTCACCACAATTTAATGCTGCTGAAACCCTGAAATTTTTTTATTCATTTTTTTACAATAGATATAATTGAATTCGAAAAACTTAAATGTGATCATCTTAATATTTAAGACAAGATGTTTTTTGAAGCCAATAAATGCAGTTAGTTTACAAAGGATCCTCATAAGTAAGCATATGCATACGCAGACAGATGAATGCGTATGTATACACATCTAAGTTTAAACGAATTCTGTTTTATTTGCCACCGTTATTATCACAGAATTCATAAAGTTAAAGTTGCCTACGTTTTAATAACCAACCAACACTTCAACAAGATTTCTGAAGGGATGGGGTGGATTTCTTTCTTCAGTAGTCGTCTCTTTCTAACCGAACTCTTATTGGCCCGCACCCTTGCGATGTGCTTCTATTTCCTCATTCAGTTGATGTCTCTACAGCTATCTCACTCCGGGACATGGAAAACAACGGAACCTTGTGCTCTTGATGACTACTAAGTGAAGGAGACAGCCAGAGCCGGTCTGTCAAAATGGCTGGCCGATGTTTTCGCTGTTGCTCTTGCGAGTGTTTTTTCGCATGAGAGCTCATTAACGTTTCGCTTGGCTAAGTGCGCGCCTCGTCACTGAAACCAGTTAGTAAAAGAAATTTTCGTTAAAACTAAAACCAATAGCTATAGCTACGTCACGATTTGATTATTTTGAATGCAAATTATACCCAGATTAACAAACTAGGTCGCCTTTCGTGGCGCTGCCGCCGCGCTGCGGACTCGTACCTACGGAGGATTATATCGGGACCATCGAATAAACGTTTCAAATCCATTATAATATATTCGCTGCAATATTCGGTTCCAAATGTGCAAAGCAAAGCGCCTGAAGTGATAATTATTAAGCTGATAACCCATAAAAATGAGCTAAAAAAAAAGCTAAGAGCCCACCGATGTTGACGAACTAAGAATCAATAGATATGCATTGTAAAGTGATAGTCTACAGTTTGGTTAGTGTGTGAGGATAAAACTCACGTACATAAACACTAATTCGACGACGGATTCCTTCTTCTAATGATTCGACTTGCGCCTAACAAATTTTAAGCATATGTAGGTTTCCCATCGGCGTCATTGTGTAATAACCGATCCATCATGATGCTCACAACTGAACATATAATGCATGGGCACCCCCACTCTTCGGTGGGGCAAAGTGCCCTATTTGGGTGCTCGACGGCGGGTCACAGTGGCATTAATCAGCTGGGCGGTGTCTATGTCAACGGCCGGCCCCTGCCCGACTCAACGCGCCAGAAAATAGTCGAACTGGCTCACTCTGGGGCTCGTCCTTGTGATATTTCAAGAATACTACAAGTTTCCAACGGTTGCGTAAGCAAAATTTTGGGCAGGTGAGATGCAATACCTACTAAACAAATATATTTTCTATATCGAACAATACGGATGGGTCCACAAAACAAATAAAAAACAAAAAAAAAAAAACACTTTTTTAATGGCTTCTACTTGATGTTACAATATCGGGTACATTTTTGTAATTGAAAGTTAGTGTTTAATAAAGTTAAAAAAACCAATAATGTAATTTAACCATTAAAAATGCTGCATAGATTCGGCAAACCCAAGCAGTATAAACGGATAAACGCTGCAGTTAGAACTAAAATCTAAAAAGTTAAAACATTTTTAACAAAACTTCTTTAAGAAATACCGAACCCAACGACTATTTCTCACATGTTTATTCGTATATAATATTTAATATAATATTATAAAAGTTCACAAAGCTATTATAAATCAAAAGAACCTATAGTCCTAGCTGCTATTTTCATTAAATAGTCAACTAGGGATTTTTTTAAAAATCGGTTTATAGTTTTCTAACGAATCTTACAGTTCGAATTAATGTTCATAAAAATGTCATTGGAACATTTGTTAAAATTAAAAAAAATATATAGTGCAAAATCGTCATAGCTTCTATGTTGTTAGGCTTTCATTGATTTTGCTCGACATTAATGCCGAGCTTACAATACGAACAAATCTTGTTACTATATATTTTGTGTGAGTCTAGTCGTTTTTTCATTAACGTTCTAAGAAGAATTTAATTGAGATACAGTCGAATCCCGATAATTCGTACCCCGCTAAATCGAAAATCGAGATAATTCGTAAAAAATTCTGTTCCCTTGAAAAAAAAACCGTTGAAAAAAATCTCGATAAATCGAATTCCCGTCTCATTCGTAAAAAAAAGTGATCCCCTTGCCATTTCGAATTATCGGGACTCGACTGTATAATGTATTTTTACGCGTTTGTTCTGTTGAGAGTTTAGTCTGTGTTTTAGGTAACTAGACAATTTCGTTAGGCATGGGACAGAGTTAAGAGGTGATCCACATCCAGGTGTTTGTGATAAGGTTTGGTGAGACTTAATCTTCGTCAGATAAATTGTATTTGGCCATAGTAATCGGATGTATCTGTGTAAATCGTGTTGATGAAGTTTGTTTTCGATCATCCAAAGATAATTTTTGGAATAAAGAGTTTTTTATGAACTATGCAATTATGAATTAAATTATACAAAATTCGAATACGAAATTAGATATGGAAAAAATAATATTATATTATATTATATTGTTTGTGATTTTTTACCATGTATCAATTATTTTTGGAAAATAAAGATTATTATTATTACAGTTCTATAAAGTTACGAATTCAATTTTATAAGACAGACTAAAAATCCATAGAAAATTATTACAAACAAAATTATACCGTCGTTAATTTGAATAATTTTTTTTTTTTTTTTTTGAATACGACATAACTTATGAAATAAGTGGCGTAGCATTTTTGGCGATTTTCTCACCACGATCCAAATTGTGGTGATGAAAAACAACTATGCTATCATTTTATTTCCGTTGATTCTATATAGGTTTTCAATCTTTCCTATGAAATTAAAAAAAAAAATTTTTTTAATTCAAGGGTAGTTAAAAAACTTCATATTCTAAAAATGATTGTGGAATAAAAAACGATTATAATTTTTTTTATTATTCTTATGCATATTTTCCTATCTTTCCTATAGCAGCTATATACTATAGTTATCCGGCTTTAATCAAAATCGAAATCAATAGTAGTAAGAAAACCCCATCTGAAAGAAATGAAGTCGATTCAGATCGCGATGCTAATCAAGAATATATTATATATATCTTATGAGGTCTGAGGTGTCTCCTTCACTGCAATGTGAATCAATACAATGATTCAAAACAAGGGCAACATAGTTCTGGTAATTCCATTTGGCAGCTCCGTGAATGAGTTTACCAATTATACCAGACTTATGAAGTAAATAAAGATCTTGTACCACCTTTGAATATATACAGGAACTTCAGTTTTGGGTCCAGACGGACGCCAAGGTCATCAACATTATTGATTCTTGTCAACCCATGACCATATATATATAGTATATGTGGCTTTCTGTACTTTTCTTAAAACTACTTTCATTGTGTATTCATCATTAGATGCATGTCAAAACCCACTATTTTAGCTAACCCCATTAAGTAGGGGAGAGTGGTCCCATACCGACCGGTCGTACCATACCGACCCCCCCATGTTTCTCAGAGATGGCGATGCTAGCCGAATTGTCGGTAACTTCAGTGAAAAGCTGTTATAACACAGACATTTTGGAGATAGATAGCCAATTTGACTTCTTTTGTTTCACTGCAATTTTTCCGTTTGTTTTGTTTCAACGCCTGTGACATTCATTTTTTTTCTTTACTGAACTTGAGCTTAAATATTTTTAAAGTTTTTTTTCTCCGCTCAAAAATCGGAGGGTAAGGTTTTCTGATAGTTGATAGTCCTAGCTGTCATTCACGCTATTAGAACTACATCGCTCTTTGCGTCATTAGATAATGGCGAGCAGTTAATTAGAAAAGGTTGTGGTGGTCCGAAACCGACCGCGAAGTGATGGTCCGAAACCGACCCCCATTTATTGGCAGCTTAATATGTCATAGCGTATTTTTGAGGGAAAATATGAAAAAGTAAACAAGATTCAGTAAAGAAAAGTAACAGAAACATCAAAAACATCAGAAGAAAGCGAAGAGACAGTCATCAACGAGCGGCTTTCGAAAAACAACGCGAAAACAACGCGAAAACTTACTATGAGAAAGAGGACAACTCAGACTTCATCAATTGACTACAGTGCCCTTTATTTCATACATTAATTTTTATTTTCTGGAAAGAACCTTCAATATATTTCTTTATAAACGTCAAAATCATTAAATTTTATTTTATGTTATTAAATTTTTCTGTTAAGAAATAGGGGGTCGGTTTCGGACCACTACTTTTGAGTACGACCAAAAAGTGGAGTTTTATATATGCCTGAATATCTGACGCTTCAAAGCACCTACGCACTTACTAATCATTTAGATGTATAGTAAACTGATCCCTCTACATAGTACATTTTTGAACTGAGCTGAAAAATTGATTTTTCTCACCTTTATCGCCTTTGCCATTTAGGGGGTCGGTATCGGGCCACCCTCCCCTACCTTTACTCTTGATAAGCAATACCATCTGAATTGATCTGTCTGTATGTTTGTTTCTATGCAAACTAGTCTCTCAGTTTTCATTTTGCTGCAACTTTATAGCTGAAAATTATTTAAAATTAATAGAAAAATTGACATAGATTTCAAGTTGTTAGCCTTGTAGCATTGTGCTCCTTATCTATCAATTCGATACGAAAAAGTTATTTGTTTAAAGAATCTTTAACTATATCATACAGCTGCCTTAGAAATGAAAAATTATTTACAAACAGCAATATTTTACAATGGAAACATTGGTACTACAGACTTATACTGCAAGCAATTTAATCTTTTTTGTTATGTATACAATTTAAATGCAAAATTGACTTAGTTTTGAATATTAAAAACAATAAATGTTTAAAATAAAAAAAAAAATTTTATATTGCCTTAAAATACGGCTTTTTTTCGTTTCCCAAACCAACCAACTTTTCTAATATTCTTGTAATGCCTCAAATCTAGGTTAAAATTTGCCTGGGTTCCTTTTTACTTAATGCTAAATGTTTAAATTGCAGGCAAATGTGATACTTTTTGTGAACATTTTCTGGTCGTTTTATAGCCCTAAGTTGTAACTGCAAGGGTATAAAAGCTAAGGCTTGTCCAAATTGAACTAAATTCTGAATTTAAAAAAAAAATTGTTTTTCTTTTTAAAAAATAGAAAATGTTGTACATTCAAACTGTGGCTGTCACTTTTACGTGGAAAACCGCGGAATTACTCCACTTAAAGCAAAATAAATCTGTTTATGGAAAAGTCGACGTCTCAAAAACTATAAAAATATTGGAGTTAAACATGCATCCCAAAAAATTTTAAAAAAGTTGCCACATCAACTTAAATTTGTATCTGAGAAACAGGTGTTTGAAACTTTGACTTGCCTAGGTTAGGCCATACAAAGCCAAGACCTTTAGTTAGCCTTAGCTTCTATTAATTATTGATTATTTCATTACAAATTACAATAACGTCTTTATTATTAAAGAAATAATATTTAATTAAATATTGCAATTCTTACAAACCATACGAATAACCTATAAACATGTTTTTTATTTGCAGATATTACGAAACAGGATCAATTAAACCTCGAGCGATCGGTGGTTCTAAACCACGAGTAGCCACAACCCCTGTCGTACAAAAAATTGCTGACTATAAACGCGAGTGTCCCAGCATATTTGCGTGGGAAATCCGAGATCGACTGCTGTCGGAACAAGTTTGCAATAGTGATAACATTCCAAGTGTAAGTTTTTATTTTTTCAACATAACAATAACGATTTTGTGTATGAATATTCTAGAACATTTGCAGTTTGTGTGTTTTTATAAGTTTCCAAAGCAGTGAAGGAACAACTCAGGAATTAGAAATATTTTTATATAATATATACCTCTCTCTCTTATATATAATATGTATATACCTTTCAATTGTAAAGCTACCTAGCTGTGACTTTTCCAAAAGTCTTATTGCTATTGCAGGTAGTATAAAGTAAGAACGGCTACCAATATACATTTTTAGAAGGTTACTTTTAACTCTTGAACCCTTAATAATTTTATAATTTTCAATATAAACTTTAGGGGAAAAAAAACCAATTGAAAACCAGAAAGGAAGCTTGGTCTCACCGAAGCTTATCTGCCATCAGTAAAACATTAAATCTACAAAACCACCACAGCATAACGGTAAAATTACTTCTCTAGTTATGTGGACTATTTCATTGGTTTATGAAATTACTTTTTTTGACTCATGGTGTGGAAAACTTAATAACATAAACATAAAGCCATAGTCTGGAACATTGCCCTTTCAAAACGCAATGGAGCATTGTCGTTTGCCATCTTTGCATTTTCAATTAAATTGGAAATATTTATCTTGCTGAAACTTTCCCAAAAGGTGTGGAGTTATTGCACGCAGTATATAAGTCGGAACGGGCCAGATCGGCCGACTATATCGGATAGCTCCTATACGAGAGAATGAAATAAAAAATTCTCACGCAGTTGTTTTTTATCAGATCGACTTGAATTCTGCAAGATGGCGTTTTCTAACTGTTATTGAATTTCGGATTAAATTTGATAAAAATCGAATAACTCTATCATATAGCTGTCATAGGAGAGATCGAAAAATATATATAGAATTAATGGAAATAAATTTGATAACATCGTTGTTTTTTAACCCACGAGCATGATTTTTTGAATATCAAGTTTTTTAACAACCCTTATATTGAGAAAAAAGTTTCATAAAAATCGGACAACTATATCTTATAGCTGCCATAGGAAAGATCGAAAAATCTATATAGAAATAACGGAAATAAAATTGTAACATCGTTGGATTTTATTAGATAAGCATGATTTTTGGAATATAAAGGTTTCTTACGACTCTTGAATTACGAATTAAATTTGATCAAAATCGGACAACTATATCATATAGCACCCATACGATCTATAGTCGAAAATATGGAAAATGAATAGAAAAATCGTCTTAGCTTCAATGTTGTTTACCCTTTATGTATTTTGTTCGACATATTTGATGACTGCAAGGGTATATAAGCTTCGGATTGCCGAAGCTAGCTTCCTTTCTTGTTTTTTTTAATACGACGCAAAAAAAAAGAACCTTCTGCACTCCACCTGGGAGTAAAGGGCCTCACAACTTGTGGAGGATTCATTAATCTTTGGTGTTTTCGATCGAACTGGTGATTAGTCGGAAGCAACTTATTCTAGTGGTGGGGCTGCCACCTGGCGCCATCTAGGAGTGGCGAAAAGTTTTATGGTCGTGTCCATAGTACCCGGGCGGACACCATGAGCGGAGTCGATATAAAAGGATTCTAATGTAATTGGAAATAAACTAGTTTTTGGTATAAAATTGTTTCCTAAGTTTTTATTAATAGCAGGCCCAGAAGGAGTTCGTCAAAACGCAATTTTGGAGGCGGGGGTCTGTAATAGTTGGGGGCTGGACTTTTGCCACTTCCGAAACAAAGTATTGAAAGAATGTTAGCTTGGGTATCAACATATCGCCAAATAAAGATTTGGCAACATCAAATATTATATCTTAAAAGAATTTTTAAATGGAAAAAACTTAAGACGCTGCTACTTTGCTTAACTTTTAACCGTTATTAACTTTAAAATTATTAATAATAATTAATTCTATGAACCAATATACTTGTCAAACTGACCCAAGCGGTGTATCGCGAGAAGTTGGACACTGTATTAAGGGAAAAAGTTAAATATTAGTAAGCGGAAACTACGAAGGACCTAAATATGTGCTAAAAATGGAGAGGCAGAGAGTCAGTTTTAAATATTATAGAATACAGTCACTTACAGTCGCAAAATAGTACTCTGAAAGATCATATTTATATCTACATTAATTTAAAGAAAGAGCGTGAGTTTCTTTTATTTTATGTACATACTATCATTTAAGTTGAGGCGGCGATATGAATACTCGCTATGTATACTCTGCATTTCGGATAATAATATCCCATAACTGAATAAATTGAATGGTAACATCCTAGGTTAGTAAGTCTAAGCAGTCAGTCACATGCTTTATTCATCAGGTTCGAAATTTAACACGACAATTTAAGTTCAACAAGCGCTATTTTTTTACAGGACGATTTACATTTAGCGTAAAAGTGGCAACTTGTGGATTAACTTGACAAAAAGTCATCGACTTGAATTCAGAGCGGTTTAAATTTAGTTATTAAAGGCCATCAAATTGTAAAGTATCTCATATCGGATCTCTGGCCCATTTTTATTGAATTTGGCTCTTTTTTGCTAATAGCGATACAAAATATTTTAAATTTGAAAAAAACGAATTCATTTTTTTATTTATGCATTTTTTGTGCAATTATAAAAGTGATTAATGTCTGAAATCCAAAAGTGCCAGATCGAAACTAAATTGTTCCGCTGGTAAGGTAGCTCTGATCATATTATACCTATGTCAGAATGACTTAAATTACCAAGTAATCCTTAGTTGCATTGCAGAAAAATGTGTTGTGATGTTTTTTTTTATTTTTTATATGACTTTTTTATGATACAAGTTAAACAAAGAAAATTAAAAAAAATAATAAATACAAATTTGGCTCTTTTTTATTCAAATTGGCTCATTTTTAATCTTTTTTTGGCTCATTAAAAATTTTTGAAATGGCAACCGTGATGTTAGTACAGAGGTCTGAACTGATCGGTCCAGGCAAATATAAATCGTATAGCTCCCATAGGAGAGATCAGTGGCGTATCTAAGGTAACTGGCGTCTGGGGCAAAGCAGAATTTGCGCCCCTCAACCCCTCTGCCCTCTGAACGTGAATAAAATGAATAACATTTAAAGTTTTTTATGTATTTGAAGGTTTATCAATTATCTTATGCTCTATAAAATATTACTTATGAAACAAAATTTTTTTGGCTGTGCTGGATTTTCTAGGTTTGATCCAGAAACCGAAGGATTATGGCTTTTCATGTAATTCAACATGAAATTTTTTGACAAGCCTTCGGTCAATTGTTTGTCCCTTTATATAAACAAGAAAGGAAGCTAGCTTCGGCAAGCCGAAGCTTATTCAGTGGCTCACAGCTTTTTTGACCCACCTTATATATTCAAATTTAAGTGAGAATAACTTTTAAGCTAAAGCAGGTATTATAGGAATAACAAAGAACTTAAATTTCATTAAAATATCAAAAGGTTTTATAATTATTCAACTAACAAGAAAGGAAGCTAGCTTCGGCAATCCGAAGCGTATACCCTTGCAGTTATCAAATATGTCGAACAAAACGCATAAAGGCTAGACAACATCGAAGCTAAGACGATTTTTCTATTCATTTTCCATATTTTCGACTATAGATCATATGGGAGCTATATGATATAGTTGTCCGATTTTGATCAAATTTAATTCGTAATTCAAGAGTCGTAAGAAAACTCTATATTCCAAAAATCATGCTTGTCTGATAAAAACAACGATGTTATAATTTTATTTCCATTATTTCTATATAGATTTTTCGATCTTTCCTATGGGAGCTATAAGATATAGATGACCAATTTTTATGAAACTTTTTTCCCAATTTTATATCGTTGTTAAAAAACTTGATATTCAAAAAATCATGCTCGTGGGATAAAAAACAACGATGTTATCAATTTTTTTCCATTAATTCTATATATCATTTTCGATCTCTCCTATGCCAGCTATATGATAGAGTTATCCGATTTTGTTTAAATTTAATCCGAAATTCAATAACAGTTAGAAAACGCCATCTTGAAGAAATCAAGTCGATCTGATCAAAAACAACAGAGTGAGAATTTTTTATTTCATTCTCTTGTATTGGAGCTATCCGATATAGTCGGCCGATCCGGCCCGTTCCGACTTATATACTGCGTGCAACAACTACACAACTTTTGGGAAAGTTTCAGCACGATAGCTTTAAAACTGAGAGACTAGTTTGCGCGGAAACGGACAGACGGACAGACGTACATACATATTTCGGTTCTGCTCGTGATGCTGATCAAGAATATATAAACTTTATGGGGTCTGAGGTGTCTCCTTCACTGCGTTGCCAACTTCTGACTGAAATTATAATACCCTTTTGCTCTGCAAGGGTATAAAAAGAAACAAGAAAGGAAGCTAGCTTCGGCAAGCCGAAGCTTATATACCCTTGCAGTTACTAAATATGTCGAACAAAATACATAAAAGCTAAAGAGCATCGAAGCTATGAGGATTTTTCTATTAATTTTCCATATTGTTCATATGACAGCTATATAATATAGTCGTCCGATTTTAATGAAATTTAATTTGTAACTCAAGACTCATTAGAAAACTCTATATCCCAAAAATCATTTATTGTCTGATGAAAAACAACGAGGTTATAATTATATTTCCGTTATTTCTATATAGATTTTTCGATCTTTCCTATGGCAGCTCTATGATATAGTACTCCGATTTTTATGAAATTTTTTTCTCAACTTAAGAGTATTTAAAAAACTTTATGTTCCAAAAATCATGCTCGTGGCATTTAAAACAACGACATTATAATTTTTTTCCATTATTTATATATATATACAGTGGTGGCCATAAGCATTTTGTCAAAATAAAAGTGAAATATACTCGAAACCTGAACTTGCTTCTTTTAACTTTTGGTATCAATGGAAAGGTAATTCAAATGCCTTTTGAATGATACCATACTTTTCTCAACTCATTCGATATTTATTGAACAGGGCCATTTTTAAAAAAAGTCAAAAAAAAACTTTTTCCCTCGGCTTCAAAACTAAAATTTTTGGATGCAAAAAGTTTCTTTAATCAAAAATAATAGGAACTGCAAAAAGAATTTTTCAAAAATAATTTTTCTTCTATTTTTTATGATTTTTTGAAAATGACTAGAAATACGCATTTCAGCCATATTTTTCTCTTTTCCATACAAACTTTTTCCGACATTGTCACCATCAAAAAATCATAAAAAATAGAAGAAAAATTATTTTTGAAAAATTCTTTTTGCAGTTCCTATTATTTTTGATTAAAGAAACTTTTTGCATCCAAAAATTTTAGTTTTGAAGCCGAGGGAAAAAGATTTTTTTTGACTTTTTTTAAAAATGGCCCTGTTCAATAAATATCGAATGAGTTGAGAAAAGTATGGTATCATTCAAAAGGCATTTGAATTACCTTTCCATTGATACCAAAAGTTAAAAGAAGCAAGTTCAGGTTTCGAGTATATTTCACTTTTATTTTGACAAAATACTTATGGCCACCATTGTATTTTGATCTCTCCTATGGCAGCTATATGATAGAGTTATCCGATTTTGATCAAATTTAATCCGAAATTCAATAGCAGTTAGAAAACGCCATCTGGATGGAATCAAGCCGATCTGATCAAAAACAACGGTGTAAAATTTGTTTATTTCATTCTCTTGTATGGGGGCTATCCGATATAGTCGCCCGATCCGGCTCGTTCCGACATATATACTGCGTGCAACAACTACACAACTTTTGGGAAAGTTTCAGCGAGATAGCTTTAAAACTGAGAGACTAGTTTGCGCGGAAACGGACAGACGGACAGACGGACAGACGGACAGACGGACAGACGGACAGACGGACAGACGTACATACATATTTCGATTCAGATGGTGATGCTGATCAAGAATATATATACTTTATGGGGTCTGAGGTGTCTCCTTCACTGCGTTGCAAACTTCTGACTGAAATTATAATACCCTTTGCTCTGCAAGGGTATAAAAATACTGCAGTTTTCTATGGCACAGCTTGTTTCATTTCATATAATTTTTTATTTTTATTCTACCGAATTCAAAGTTCTACGACACTTTGGAGCAAATTGGCTTTAATATTTCAAGATATGCCGACATACAGGCCCTACCTCAGCCATGCTCACCTGTAGTCGGTGTATTCTTGCTTTGGAGCCCAGTATTTAGCTTAGGCCAAACATATGTGGCTCCATCAGACCCGGAATAGTTTCATAAATTTGGACTCGTCTGCAAAAACAACGTTGTTCACGCCAAAATTGCTGAGTCCTTGTTCAAGCGGTCCTTGGCAAATTTTAGCCGCGCAATTCATCCGTTGAAACCTTGGGGTTTCGGAGAACCCGTCAAACTATTTCGGGATGGCTTGACTTGCCCAACCAATTCTCCAGTTTTCTTTTCATGAAAGTCACTTTTTATAATGACGGATTACGTCCTCCCGCTTTTCCTTTGTTGTAAAGTGGGCCCACTATCTATACCTTATGTAGGTTTTCTTCCGAATCAACTTCTAAAAGTCGGCAAATATGACGGCGAAGTTAGCTTCCTTTCTTTGAATGTTATTTTAATATACATACATACAAATGTATGTATGCTTCAGGATTTAATTCTTTTTGTATTTCTGTTATTTGATGTTCTTTGATGTTTTTGTGTAAAAGTATAACAGGCAGGCATTGCATAATGGCAATGGCATGTACCTATATATATGCAAAATAAAAACACAAATAATTAAAGAAGTGTTTGGCCCATGGTTGACGCACGTGCAGGCACTTAAGTGAAATGCCAAAGTGGCATTTTCCATGTTTGTTAATGACGCTGTGCACATTTAAGCATTACCGTTTTAAAAAAATTCTCTTTTTTTAAAGATAATTTGAGAAAGCCAAAAATAAATTTCTGGTCAAACATACCAAGAAGGTCGAGTGACTTTGACCCAACAAATTTTTAAAACAAGAAAGGAAGCTAACTTCTGCAAACTGAAGCCTTGCAGCCATCAAATATTTCGGACAAAATCGAAGCGACGTCGATTTTTTTATGATGTACTCGTATATACTCGATACCAAAAATTATGCTTGTCCGATGAAAAGCAACGATGTTAGGGAATTTTTTCCGTAATACCATATATGATATAGTTGTCGGCTTTTTATGAATATCGTTATGCATAAACATACTTTTCGATCTTACCGACTGCAGCTATATGATATAGTCATCCTATTTTGATCAAATTTAATTGCAAATTCAACAAGAAAGGAAGCTAGCTTTGGCAAGCCGAAGCTTATATACCCTTGCAGTCATCAAATACGTCAAACAAAATACATAAAGGCTAACAACATCGAAGCTATGACGACTTTTCTATTAATTTTCCATATTTTCGACTATAGATGAAACTTTTTTCTCAAGGGTTGTTAAAAAACTTGATATTCAAAAAATCATGCTCGTGGGAAAAAAACAGCGATATATATATATTTTTCGATCTCTCCTATGGCAGATATAAGATCCGATTTTAATAAAATTTAATCAGAAATTCAATAGAAGTTTGAAAACGCTATCTTGAAGAAATCAAGTCGATCTGATCAAAAACAACGGCGTTAGAATTTTGTATTTCAATTTCTTGTATGGGAGCTATCCGATATAGTCGGCCGATCCGGCCCGTTCCGATTTATATACTGCGTGCAATAACTACACACATTTTGGGAAAGTTTCAGCAAGATAGCTTTAAAACTAAGAGACTAGTTTGCGTAGAAACGGACAAACGGACAGATGGACAGATGGACAGATGGACAGATGGACAGACGGACAAACGTACAGACGTATTTCGATTCAGATTGCTGATCAAGAATATATATTCTACTTTTGGGAAGGTTTCGGAAAGATAACTTTTAAAATGAGACCCAAGTTTTCATAGAAACGGACAGACGGACGGATGGACAGACGGACAGACGTTCTCCGATTCTGCTCGTGATGCTGATCAAGAATATATATACTTTATGGGGTCTCTGCAAGGGTATAAAAACATAAATTCACTGTACACTCTTCAAAGGGTATTCTGTGGCGCTGGTACCAAAATCGATAATATAATGAGTAAACTTTAGTAGTCGAATGTGTATATATATCTTTCTCTCTCTCAGAAGCGGATTGGCTGGAATAGTGGTTAACCAATCGAGTGGCAGTTAGGGTGCAAGAGGGTTGGTTTAAAAGTGCCGTGGGCATAGGGTTCGCTTAGAACAACTGAATAAAAGAGCTTATTTTCCGTCACATCTCGGCTTGGTTCCATCCTAGAGCGTTGGACGCTCCAGGATCGTTGCCAGTATATTCTAGGACTCAAAAGTCTCGTTCTCGCATGCGTCAGAGTACAACACGATGTTTCGGTGTAATTATGTTTTAGTACAGACACAAAATGAATTATAATTTTGTACTTGTGTAAGCGCTTTCCCATGTAGGTGCGTATATACGTGTGTTTATGTATTTTATTGTACACAGTGAACTGGAATTAATTGCAGGTTTCATCCATTAACCGAGTATTGCGCAACCTGGCCTCACAGAAGGAGCAGCAGGCGCAGCAGCAAAACGAATCTGTTTATGAAAAGCTTCGCATGTTCAATGGCCAAACAGGGGGCTGGGCGTGGTACCCGAGCAATACAACGACGGCACATTTGGCCCTGCCACCAGCAGCTTCAGTTGTGTCGACTCCAGCAAACTTATCAGGACAAGTTAACCGAGACGATGTTCAAAAACGTGGCAAGTAGAAATTTATACATTTTTTGCACTACTTCAAGGGTTCTGTGGTAGCCACAGATGGTACAGCATTTTGGATTGAATATTCTAGATGTAAACTTAAACAGGTCCTCGACTGTTGGACTGTGGGACGATGATGTCTTTGAGAGTATAACTCTCATCTGTCTAACGGTTATTTGACAGTTGAGGCACTCGACAGGTCCACCAATTTTGATACAAACATTTCTGTAAATATATATATTTCTGTTTACCAACACTAGGCTAATTGAGTTGAGCATATGATTTTTTCCTATTGTAAAAACGCTCCTTACAGCGTAAGCGATATTGTGTACTGCTTTATTTATTATTTGCTCTTAGTTTTTTTATGACAGCTATTTACTCATTCAATAATTCATAGAAATAACTTTTAAAAATATAATATCCTAACAAATTGCCAAACAACGTGCTAACTGCACGAATGTTTAACAACGTCAAAGAAATCACGGTTCTTTATAATTTCTCCGATTGCTCCTATAGCCGCTATGTAACACATACAATTAAAAATTATTTAAAACTTAATTTGAAAGAAATCCTGCCGAAGCTTATATCCCCTTACAGACATCAAATATTTCGAACACAATAAATCTTATCTTATAATTTGTAAAAAATACGTTAAAAATTCTAATTTCCAAGTACATATGTATATAATGGAAAAAAAAAACGATTTTATCATTTTTTTTCCGTTACAAAAACGATTTTATCATTTTTTTTCCGTTACTCCTATATAGATACATATTTAAATCTTTCCTATGCCGCTATATGATGTAGCTGTCCGATTTTTATGAAATATTAATTAATATGAAATATTATTATTAATTTTTTTGTCATTATTCATAACAAGAATAAAAAAAAAACACGTATTCATTTTTGTTTCATTTTTTATACCCTTGCAGAGCAAAAGGGTATTATAATTTCAGTCAGAAGTCTGCAACGCAGTGAAGGAGACACCTCAGACCCCATAAAGTATATATATTCTTGATCAGCATCACGAGTAGAATCGGAATACGTCTGTACGTCTGTCCGTCTGTCCATCTGTCCGTCTGTCCATCTGTCCGTCTGTCCGTTTCCGCGCAAACTAGTCTCTCAGTTTTAAAGCTATCTTGATTAAACTTTCCCAAAATGTGTGTAGTTATTGCACGCAGTATATAAGTCAGGAGCGGATACAGGTATCTGCCTGGGGGGGGCGATCAAAATTTTTTTTAAATAATGCAAGTAGCAGGGGTAAATAATCAAAAATTATACGCAGTTTTATTCAAAAAACACTGTACAAATAAATTAATTAATTTTAATCTAAATGGCGAATTCCATTTTTCTTTTCCCTCTTTTTAAAAACTTTTCTATAACTCTCTCGATGTCAATACTGATTTCGGAATGCGTATGTAGCAATGCTAGGCCAATTAGTCTTAGGAGGAGGGATAGATAAGGGAAGAAGTAGGGCAAGGAAGGACTGGCGACACGCTGTAACACGCAGGTTTCCGAAGTTCACGCCAGTTCACTCGGTTTACGCGTTTTCTGAGGAGTGATCGCCCCTATCCCCCCCCCCCCTGTATCCGCCACTGATATAAGTCGGAACGGGCAGAATCGGCCGACTATATCGAGCTATCCGATACGAGAGAATGAAATGAAAAATTTTCAAGCCGTTGTTTTTCATCAGATCGACTTCAATTCTTCAAGATGGCGTTTTCTAACTATTATTGAATTTCGGATTAAATTTGATCAAAATCGGATAACTCTTTCATATAGCTGCCATAGGAGAGATCGAAAATTATATATAGAATTAATGGAAGTAAATTGATAACATCGTTGTTTTTATCCCACGAGCATGATTTTTGAATATCAAGTTTTTAACAACGTTTATATTGAGAAAAAAGTTTTATAAAATCTATATCTATAGCTAATCTATCTATATCTATATCTATAATCTAATCATCTATATCTTATAGCTGCCATAGGAAAGATCGAAAAATCTGTATAGAAATAATGGAAATAAAATTATAACATCGTGGTTTTTCACCAGACAAGTATGATTTTTGGCATATAGAGTTTTCTTACGACTCTTGGATTACGAATTAAATTTGATCAAAATCGGACAACCATGTGATCTGTAGTCAAAAATCTGGAAAACGAATAGAAAAATCGTCTTAGCTTCGATGTTGTCTAGCCTTTATGCGTTTTGTTCGACATATTTGATGACTGTAAGGGTAAATAAGCTTCGGCTTGCCGAAGCTAGCTTCCTTTCTTGTTTTTCGATCTTTCCTATCAGAAAACACCTGCGATCCCTTATAGGGTATTGATTAGGATCATTAGACGAGATGTTTTATTGAAAGAAGGTAGTTTCTAGTTATTTGAACGTAGCGCATGTTCGTTATTTTTTACCGACCGCTGTATTATGTGTACAACAAATTTATGTTGTGTTTTTCCAAACTAAACTACATATATTTTCAAGCACAAAAAAAAACGAATTATTTAATCTTTAAAAGCAATATATAATATAAACCATACCAATTGGTAAACAGCGATATGCTCCGAGTTTTGATGTCGGTCAACTAGTTGCAAAATCCGCCAACTGCTGGAAGAGGGGTAATAATGTCAAAGCTGGAATTGCCCTCTTCAGAAATTGTTTTATATAGCTGTGCTTGTATTAAAATAAAGGGGCCTCTGTTAAGTAAAATTCAACCCCCTTTAGTGCACAATCAAACAATTGCAAGTATTTTGTCACAGATGATCAAACATCACGACAAACAAATAGTTAATTTGTTGGTCATTTGACGATTGCCATTAAGTCCCATTGAATCAGCTATTCAGCTCCATGTACGGATGCTTAGGATTGTTTTTGTTATTCTTCAATCAATAAACAGAGCTAACATATGTCTCCATTGCCAGCAAATATCCCTTTTATATCATTCAATTTAATCTAGTTGCGTCCCTTTTACATGAATACAACTCCAAGCAAGCATTCAAACAACAAATATTTATGGGCATAGAAATCTATGGAAGAACTATCTAAGAAGTGTTAGTCTCATCATCTAAGTACCAGCTCAGAACCGAATACCAAGTTTGCATAAGAAAGGGGAGCTGGGCAGACACTATGTACTGTTATTACGAGATCGACTCTCCCGGTTATACATATAAAGATTATACATATACCTAACTAGGGAACTAGTGAACACAAATTGGGCGAACCTGGACCCAAAAGATATTTGATATTCTTCATAACCCGTTGAATAAAATAGTAACTTTTATTATAACAAAAACAATCATTCTTAAAAGAGTCGAAGATTTCTGCACCCCAACAAAAATGTTTTTGAAAGCAAACTCTTATGTTACTGTGTGTGGCAAAGTAATTAAAATAACCATAATTTTCCTATGTTTTGTAATGTTTTTACCATTTTTAGTACATTTCTCTTAACGTGTGAAAAAAATTTGCATACTTCCTAAAAATAATTAAAACTACATATAATATAACAGATAGAATTTAGATTAAATTTACAGATTTATTTACAAAGTCTTATTTGGTTAAAACACTTACTTCGCCGATTAATTCCTTTTTATAATTTTAACATTTCAAGATCTGAGGCTCTAAATTAGCAAAGTGGCTATTAAAAAACTTTTAAAACAAAATTTTAAAAAGCTTACAATATTGATTTTTTACAATAACTACAGAAAATAATTTACCTTCACTACCTGGCTAACATTTGTGGAACGACAAAGATACTCTGATACTAAGATATTCTGAGGTGTCCTCAATAAATAAACAAGAAAGAAAAAATCGAAGTTTGCTTAGTGTTAAAAAATTGAGTCAAATTCGTTTTGGTAGGCAAAAAATATAAAAATATAAATATAAAATATTCGGATGGGGTAATCATCCGTTGTGAAACACTAAACACAAAACCAACCATATTTAATTATGAATATAATAATAAGTAAATCAAATAAATAAAATTAAACTATTTTTTCAGACTTGCAATATTCAGCAGACGTTTCGCATCCAAACTCGCACGATAGCACATCGGATGGCAATTCTGAACACAATTCATCTGGAGATGAAGACTCGCAAATGCGTTTGCGTTTAAAAAGAAAGTTGCAGCGCAATCGGACTTCATTTTCAAATGAACAAATCGACAGTCTTGAAAAAGGTAACATATACTTAAAGCTTAACCGAAATATATCAAAACTTAAGTAGTTTTCTCAACTCAAACTAAGGTTTGCATAATATGAAAACCACTAAAATTGAGTTAAAATGCTAGGGTAGCGTGTGTTTGTCAATGTGATAAGGTAGTAACTCACTTTAAATGCGATTTTTGGTATGTCCGTCGGACTAAAACTATCCTATGTCCTATGGTTCTCACCTTGTGGCGAAAAAAATCGATTTTTTTGGCTTTTCGTATAGATATATGTTATCAATTAATTACCTATCCATCTATTGTATTTTAAAATTTATTTGTTGTACATTACAGAATTTGAACGAACTCACTACCCGGATGTATTTGCGCGAGAAAGACTTGCAGATAAAATTGGTTTGCCAGAGGCACGTATTCAGGTTTGTCTTTCAGTTTCGTTTAATTATTTTCTGTTTGTAGCCTTATGTTGGAAAAGAATTTTTTGGCTTAATTTGTTTTTATAAAATAACGAAAAATGTTGATGTTTATTATGAAATGTAAATGTAATATAAAATTTGAAAGGTGAATGAATGAATCACATTACTTATATTATAGAATCTGAAATTCAATTTCAATATAGGGTAAGATGGGGTAAAACCGCCAAAAATGTATATTTGACGATGTCAAACTATCATTTATAAAATGATCAATGAACCAAACCATATTTCTGAAAGTTTAATCCCTTGGCTACATAATTCATTTAGAAAGTTTTTATGTAGCTTTTATTTTAAAACAATTGTGATCGTTCAGAAGAAAAGTTAAAAACGGCGGTTTTACCCCACCCAGTGGGATAAAAACGCCATTCTGGTTTCAGTGTAGTTAAGTACCCAAATAATGTCAATAACAAGTAGATTATTATCATAAAATATTGAAATCTTAGATATTGATACCTAATAGAAGAAAATCTTCAATTTCAAAATTTCCAACATGTGGATTCAGAAGTTTTTTAATTATAAACTATATCCATTGAAATGTTGCAAAAACTTTTTATTTAACAATTTCAACAATCAATTTACAATTATTAAGTGCCTAGTGAATTTCCAAAGTGTCGGCTTCAATATTATAGAAAAGTAAAATATTATGAAGTTTAAAAAATTAAAAATTCTGAGCAATACCTTTCCGCGGCGTTTTTACCCCACGCGCCAATTTTTTGTCGAGGTTACTTAGTTTGTACAATTTTGGAAATATTGGCTAACTTGATACATGTACATCAGTATCAAGGTTCGTTCTATAAGCGGACACTTACCTCTTTTTTTTCAAGCCGTTCATTTACACTTAATTGAGCAATGTTAATAACAACAAGAAAGGAAGCTAGCTTCGGCAAGCCGAAGCTTATATACCCTTGCAGTCATCAAATATTTCGAACAGAATACACAAAGGCTAAACAACATCGAAGCTACGACGACTTTTCTATTAACTTTCCATATTTTTTACTATTGTTCATATGGCAGCTATATGATATAGTCGTCCGATTTTGATCAATTTATTATCAATTTATTTTCATTAATTCTATATATATTTTTCTATCTTTCATATGGCAGCTATATGATAGAGTTGTCCGATTTTGATAAAATTTAATCCGAAATTTAATAGTAGTTAGAAAATGCCATATGGAAGAATTCAAGTCGATCTGATAAATAACAACGGAGTAAGATTTTTTTATTTCATTCTCTTGTATTGGAGCTATCCGATATAGTCGGCCGATCCGGCCCGATCCGACTTATATACTGCGTGCAATAGCTACACAACTTTTGGGAAAGTTTCAACAAGATAGCTTTAAAACTGAGAGACTAGTTTACATAGAAACAGACAGACGGACAGACGGACCGACGGACAGACGGACAGACGTACATACATATTTCGATTCAGATGGTGATGCTGATCAAGAATATATATACTTTATGGGGTCTAAGGTGTCTCCTTCACTGCGTTGCAAACTTCTGACTGAAATTATAATACCCTTTTGCTCTGCAAGGGTATAAAAATTTTTTGCTGCCGTCGAGTGAAACAAAAATGAAGCAATAGAAATTGTCACGACAAAGCTGCAGTATTCCGACCGACTTCAAAAACCGCACGTTATCGATCAGAATCTACATTATCAACGGTTACTCGTTTCGGCGCTTCATTTGAATTTGAAAATTTTTTCAATGTCCGGATCGGGCGACTATATCGGATAGCTCCCATACGAGAGATAGAAAAAAAATTATCATGCCAAATGGTGTTTTTAACATCGACTTGTTTAACTTCTCTTGAATCGATCCTTAAATCCTTAAAATTTCACAAAAATCGGACAACTATATCATATAGCTGCCATAGGAAAGATCGAAAAATCTATATAGAATTAATGTAAAATTAACGTAAAAAAAATACATCGTTGTTTTTCATTGGACAATCATTATTTCTGAAATACAGAATTTTTTTTAAAGACTCTTGAATTTCGAATTAAATTTCATAAAAATCGGACAACTATATCATATGTATATGTAGTTGTCATATGAAAATTTATAGAAAAATCGTCACAGATTCGATGTTGTTTAGCCTTTAAGTATTTTGTTCGACATAAAGAAAATCAATTTGTTGATATAGATTTGCAATGCGTAATTTAAAAGTTTGGACTCGCCGAGCATTTTTGTTCTGCTGAAGATACATGCATAACCGATTGAGTGATAGAGAGTTTTCTCTATAAAGTTTATAACGAAACAAATTAAAAAAACCCTTACAGTCTAATGAACCTATTAGGTTGGTCACGCAGTCGAGTCTGAAGGCAGACACACACCCTTTGTTTGTGGTTTTTCTTGTAACATCACTCAAGGAAACTGAATAAAGCTAACTCAGACTGAGGCGTGAAGACAAAAGGGTGCAAGCGGATTACAATACTTTTATGCTTTAATAATTTTTCACCATGACATTTATTGCTGAAAGTTATTGTCGCAGCTCCCTCTTCAGCTGACATGTTTCCCTTTGGTCCTTTAGTCCATTGCAAATCGCCCCCGTCAGTAGTGCTCAGCTCATTGAGAAAAATCGCAATGAGTTTCAAGTATTTTTACAGTCAAATTGTTTTTTTTCACTTAAACAAACAGTCAAGGGCGTAACGATGAATATTTCATCTCGGACGACAAAAGCATTTTGTAATAAAAAGCACCATAGCCGCAGGGGTGAATATAAACTTCGAGGGATGACTTTCCTGGAGTTAAAACGCTTAGCAATTTCGTTACGTAACAGAGTTATCAAAATCAATAGGCTTAGCAAATGAACTTTGTGAGCTGAAACAGTTGTAATGACTTAGAACCGCATCGTAAAGTCCACTTGGGTATTATTTTACTTAAAAAGAAAAGCTCAAAACTGATCAAACATTTTTTGCACTGCTCAGATTGGACGTGTATATCATACACCTCATATAAGCCAGAACAAGAGTCTTAAAAAATCACTATCTGGAGGAAACCATGCCAATATGATAAAAAAAAAAAGTGTTATAGTGGGGTTTGAGGTGTCTCCTTTAATTCGTTGCAGGTGTAGGAAAAATCCAAAAGTCTAGATAAACTTAATGGCATAAAACAACATTTTTCGGACATATAATTTATGACAACTGTTGAAATACGAATAAGAATGAGAATATTAAGTTTTTTTATCGAAACTGATATTTCTGTTTTTTATTAAAACTATATTTTAGTTCCGTGTGTTTCCTATGCTTCGTCTTAATCAAAAAATAAATTAATAAATTTAATATTCGAAATTTTAAAAACAGGTTTGGTTCTCGAACCGACGTGCCAAATGGCGCCGAGAGGAGAAGATGCGGACTCAGAGACGGTCGGCCGATAATGTGTGCAGCAGTGGTCGTGCTCCCACGGCAAATAATTCTTCAAGTACGGCTGCATCCTCCTCCGTCGCCACGTCGAACAACTCGACACCCGGAATCGCCAGTTCCGCCATAAATGGGTCGGAGCGAGCATCGTCGGCTATTCTGAGCAATAGTCTTCCCGAGGCACCTACCGGACCAACCGTAAGAAGATTTCTTGTTGATCTTGGGTTAAAATTATATATTTTAAAAAATTTACTTAAAAGGTTCTGGGGGAGACGCTAGTGCGGCGCACACGAGTTCTGAAAGCCCACCTCTACAGGCTGTGGCACCGCGGCTTCCCTTGAACAATGGCTTCAACACCATGTACTCATCTATCCCGCAACCCATAGCTACGATGGCGGAAAATTACAAGTAAGATTCCCAAAGTAATTATAGTTAATGGTTGGATGTACCCAAGTAAAGTTGGTATAGGGAGGTAATAGTATTCAGTCTGAGGTTTGCAAGGCAGTAGAGGAAATACCTCAAACCTTATAAAGTATACACATATTCTTGATGTTCATTACTCCGAAACTATTCACCGTTTTACCTGAAATTTTCAGATAATATTCTCAAATATATATATATTCAAAATAGGCAAAAAATTTTGATTTTTTCAAAATTCCAACTGGATAAAATCCCTAATTTAAGTAATCGTCTCTCGACGTCGCGGCACTACTTATGTGAATCTTGCGGGTTAAATGTAGTCACAACAAAATTATTTTTGAATAATTTGTCAACACTATTGTGCTTCTTACCTCTTGCGGTCAATTTCTTTGTATTTATTATTTTTGCAGCAAATTCAAATCCAGTTGATTTTTGGACACATCTTTTTACTATTGAGAATGCCCCTCTACGATAAGAAAAAATTAAATTAAATAATATTGAATGTATTCTTCAGTTAATTTTCACTTACTTTCCGAGCTTTTCTTTGATGTCGTAATTGGCAGCACTGAAATGTTTCTATATTTATACCCTTGCAGAGCAAAAGGGTATTATAATTTCAGTCAGAAGTTTGCAACGCAGTGAAGGAGACACCTCAGACCCCATAAAGTATATATATTTTTGATCAGCATCACCATCTGAATGCAAATCCGTCTGTACGTCTGTCTGTCTGTCTGTCTGTCCTCCTGTCGGTTTCTATGTAAACTAGTCTCTTAGCTTTAAAGATATCTGGCTGAAACTTTCCCAAAAGTTGTCTAGTTGTTGCACGCAGTATATAGGTCGGAACGAGCCAGATCGGCCGACTATATCGGATAGCTCCCATACGAGAGAATGAAATTAAAAATTCTTACTCCGTTGTTTTTGATCAGATCGACTTGATTCCTTCCAGATGGCGTTTTCTAACCACTATTAAATTTCGGATTAAATTTTATCAAAATCGGATAACTCTATCATATAGCTGCCATAGGAGAGATCAGAAAATATATATAATGGAAAAAAAATTATACGTCGTTGTTTTTAATCCCACGAGCATGATTTTGCCATAGGAAAGATCCATAGGAAAGATCGAAAAATCTATATAGAAATAACGGAAATAAAATTATTACCTCGATGTTTTTCATCAGACAATCATGATTTTTGGAATATAGAGTTTTCTTATGAGTCTTGAGTTACAAATTAAATTTTATCAAAATCGGACGACTATATCATATAGCGGTCATATAAACAATATGGAAAATTAATAGAAAAATCGTCATAGATTTGATGCTGTTTAGCCTTTTTGTATTTTGTTCGACATATTTAATGACTGCAAGGGTATATAAGCTTCGGCTTGCCGAAGCTAGCTTCCTTTCTTGTTTTATGCATATTTGCATATGTTAGTTGTATAGTTATAATATACAAACTCACTGACTATTTTTTCCCTGCTTCTCAAAGTCTTGACTTTAAGTGACTAAAATTTGGGATGCATTTATACCCTGCAGTTCTGGCTGTCACCCGGTGTCTTTTGGCATTCAAGCAATCAATGTGTAGGAAAGGAAAAGGGATATTCCTAAGTTTCCCCCTCTTTCTCACTCTTCGAATACGATGTCGTTGCTTGGCAACGACGGCGGCCCGACACCAAATTTGTCTTCTATTCTTTCGTTTTTCTAATTGCACTGTTGTCATTCTCCGTTAGAAACAAAAAATTTGTTTTCGATGGAAAATACGGCTAAGGGGCGCTCGACTTATGTATACTCTTTTGATGTTAAAGTTCTTAAAATATTAAATATAATATATATATAAAGTTATATACAGATATAATATATTTTATATATACAACATTATTTAAATTATTGAACCAGGATAACCATAACATAACATTGATTGCAAATATAGATATAATATAACTCGCGTGTCATTTATGGTCGGTTATACCGAAAAAAGAAGGGTATACTAAAAGGGTGCAAAATAAAATTGAACTGCTCATTCTTTTGCGTTGTGCGTTGACAGTAAGTTGTGAAATTACTTAATTTGCGCAACGGGCAGCGGAATTGTTTAAAAATCATGTAAGTGTCGTTAATATTACAAAAATATTATGTCTTTTACTACAAACTTATTTAAATCTTTTTAGGATTCAGCCTGTATGTACGATAAATTCGTTTGAAAGGTAAGTTTGCTTTAAATTAAAAAAATTAATACATATATAATATGTAATAATAAAAAAATTTTTACCATAGATGGACGCAAAACAACCGATGTCCTGCAAATATTCCACATAAATGGTAAACAAAAACGTTCTAATTTCATATTATTTATGTACTTATCTCTTATGTTTCAAAATAAGATTAATTAATAAAATAAAAAAAAATATATATATATTGTTTTTCATATGAATTTGGGGATGACATTTTAGACATTGGGCTAGATGACAACATCGCCTCCACGTCAGCAACGAAAGCATCAATAGCTTATACGAATTTTCTCCATACAAAATTCGTATAAGCCATCGATGCCACGTTCGATGAATCGGACAAAATGGTCATCGAGAGCGGCATGCATGTCAAATCCTTAAATGCTATACAAGAGCTTTATATGAAATGGCACCAGTGCGGCTCCAGGTGCTTCGGACACTCGCATCAGTGGGTAGTCGTACATGTCATCCACGACAAGGCACTTTTGGAACTGCAGGGTATATGTTGCTTATGTTTACGATCAATAGAAGACAAACATTCACATGTGCACAATATTTGGACTTAAAAGGATTCCAGATAGCAATTACGGCCGGCGTTTTCCCGCTTTTATTAACGATAATCACGTTTAGAAACCGAAATCTTCTCAGCTATTACACTTAAATAACTTGCAACTTGAATTTTATTGAATATAATAAACAAAACTGTTTTTATACGAGCTATTTCTGAATTTGGTTAACCGTTAACCGACGTTCCATAGAGATGCTAGAGAGCAGTGCTGCCAACTTTTGTCCAGCAAAAAAAGCTGTTTTTGACGGAAAGAATGGACGAAAAAGCTAAAAAAAAAAAATGTTAAATATATGATTATATAAAAAAAAAACAAAAACATTTTTTGAATACATTTCGATGGACCAAACTATTTAATTTAAACTGTTAAAATTAAAATAATGGAAGTTATTAATTTGGGTATTTTTTTGACAGACTAAAATTGCAACTGCGTTGCAAACTTCTGACTGCAATTATAATACCCTTTGCTCTGCAAGGGTATAAAAATACACCATTTTTGAAAAGAATTTAAATTTGAAATTATATTATCGTATTGAACGTTATTTGTAATTCTTATTGTTGTTAACAGCTCATCCTTAGGATCGATGACACCATCATGCTTACAGCAACGAGACGGCTATCCCTACATGTTTCACGATCCATTATCATTAGGATCCCCATACGTACCGCCCCATCACCGAAATGCAGCCTGCAATCCTGCCGCTGCGCATCAACAGCCACCTCAGCATGGTGTTTATACCAACAGTTCTCCAATGCCATCTTCAAACACAGGTATAGTGTGCCCAAACTTTCTTCAAGCACATATAACGGCAATTCTTTCCCAGGTGTGATTTCCGCTGGCGTGTCGGTGCCTGTCCAAATTTCAACGCAAAACGTATCTGACCTTACCGGAAGTAATTACTGGCCACGTCTTCAGTGATCTTCAATATTTCATTTGCCATCGGATCTTCTGTCAAAGGCGACTGCCGCTGCAATCGCTGCCGCACATGCAACTGAAAAGAAGCAAAAACACCAAAAATCACATTCAGTTGTTAGTATGCAAACAACAAGTAGCAAAAACAACCCACCTAGTTTGAAAAGTCAAACAATGTGCTGTTCGTATTTAAACATGAACAACGGGGCAGGGAAGGATGTTGATGTTGTCATAGGCCAAGGTCTCCTAGTTCCCATTAATACACGTATTTCAACCCAATCGGAATTGTTTAGTTGCCCCAATGCGAGTTACCATCGGGGTTTTCAAATTATTTAAAAGAGCAAATAAACGAGCCATACCCGATTTATCGTACATTCAAAAAGAAAAAAATCACAAAGCAACTACAAATTTAAAAACTGCATCAATTGCCAAAAATGTTTGAAAACTTTTTCTACAGTTTTATAATTTTTTTTTTTTTTTTTATCCTCATTATAAACTTTTAATTTATTCCTAAACAAAAAATAGTAACACAAGCATACGCAATAAAAGAATACATTTTTGATGATCAATCAAGGCAAATGCCAAGCATGCAGACTGAGAAGGAAATCGGCTTTTTAAACCATTTAATAAGAATAAATTGAATGATAATTAAACTATCTGTTTTAGTCTGGATTAAAAAACTGATTCTTTATTCTTTTAAGTTTTGTAACAATTGCAATTTACCTACATATCCGCTAGTATCTGGAGAACGGAATTCTTAACATCTATTTAATGTTCGTTTTTGGAATAGGGAAAATTAATTTCTTCACTCTTATCAACTACCAAAAATAGATTCCAAAAATCAAAGAAATTTTATCAATAATTTTTAAATTACACTCAAATTTATTAAAGCCTGAATCACCAGGGTTTTATCTTTAATTAATCTAAAAGCGGGACTGTGACAACGGAAAATAAGGCAAAGGGAATGGCCGGAAGTTCCATATATGAACGGAAAATAAAGACCAAAGAGCAGCGAATAGTTCGACGAACATATAATGCAAAGGTCAATATATTTTTAGTTAGTAGTTTGCATATATGTACATATATTCTTGATCAGCATCACCAGCTGAGTTAATCTAGATACTCGTCTGTCTGTTTTTACGGAAATACTCTATGCGTTTCAGTCACAAAGCTATCTCGCTAAAACTTTTCCAAAATTCATTTAGCTTTTGCAGGTAGTATATCGGAATCGGAAGTCTATATTATATAGCCCCCATATTGAAGATCTCAAAAATAATAGGAAAAAAATTACTATATCTTTGCTTTGAACCTGTTTAAGAATTCCTTCAACTGACTTACTTTTCAACAAATTCGGTATCCTTTTCCTGTACGCTTTTGGCTTTTATAATTTCATTTCATTTGTTCATTTTTATCGACACCCAAATTGCGAATCAAAATTTTTTTTAAATTCGGAAGATTATATGATATAGTTGCCGTGTAAAAATCGTCTAATTACAAAAAATCAATAGAAAAACTAGACGACTTTGATAATGCAAACAAGTCATGCGTTTATATCGATATTTAACAATTTGTTTCGGTAGGAAATTTAAAAGAGTTTTTTCTAAAAGGATCGCACTACCTTTTTATATAGTTGCCATATATAATTTTGATATATAATATTATAAGAAGTTACGGGGATACATTTTCTGCAGTCCGATATTTCCAATAAATCGTTTAACGTTTCTTTGGCTTTGCAGTTTAATTCCAATATCATAACTTCTATAATATCCAAGCTCTCGACGTTCTTTGGGATTTTTGAAAACATAATGCATTAATGTGAAATTCATCGAGGCTATGATTTGTATCCAAACTTTGTACCATTTTTATATATATGTATACATATTTATATACTTATTTATACCCTTGCAGTGCACAGGATATTATAATTTCAGTCAGAACTTTGTCTATGACGACTAGCCGTGTGATGCTGGTTAAAATATGGATGCTTCATATAGAAGAAATATTCTTCGCTGCCTTTTACACCCTAATTAAAATTCAGCAAGTGTGTAAAAAACAATTATATTGACAGATCGTAATACATGCACATATAACTATTTACTAATATTGTAAAGAACTTTTAAAAAACACACTGTAGGTGTTATAGCAATTTATTTTACTGAATGTCTCGATTTGAAATAAATAAAATGGTAACATGTTTTGTAAATTTTTAATATTTTTGAAATCCATTAAAATTTTCAGAAGCCCATAAGGGAATACTGTTATATATATATATGGTTTACAGAAATATCAAATTCTTAAGTAATTGCTAAATAGTTATTATCATTTGTATACTGTTTGTAAGAGAAATCTTAAGTTATGCATTTAAATATAAAAACGTAAAATCGAAAATAATTGCAACGAACTTGATTCCAGTTAACGAAGAACGCCAACATCTCATCCAGATAAATACACCACCCCAACAAAAAGCCTTCAGGTTTATATAATACAATTCCGTATATATGGTTCAAATTTATATTAAAAACAAACTAATGTAATATTTTAGAATATACAGATGTGTCTGATGTTCTTAAGAAAGATTTAATAAAATCGTACATCAATGTAAAAGTGTTGTTTTATACCCTTTCAGAGGATATTATTACTTTGGTCTAAAAGTTGCATAAAGTATAGATCTTCTCATCAGCAACATCGTCTGAATCCTCATCAGCAACATTGTCTGCTTCTCTAAAACAAGTATCTCAGTTGTAAATCTATATCTGTATCTATAGGACGACTATATCGAACAGCTCCCATAGGATTACGCCGCTGTTTTTTTATTGGCATAATTTCTTCCGGTCGAATGTCTTTATCATATAGCTGCCATAAGAATGATCGAAAACCTTACAGAGTTAATGGAAAAACATAAAATTACCATAATGGGAAAAAAATATGACGTTGATTGAAAATTTGTGAGGTCATCACCCCACTCAAAACTGTTTCTCCGGCCCTGCATATAGAGTATATCGAAGAAAAACGAAGAGAAATCCCGCCTTTACCACGGCCCAATTAAATCAGTTTCTATTTAAATAGATAAATAATAACTCTCCCAAATACTTCCCAAGTTAAGCATTTTCCAACTTAATGTAACAACTACTTAAATAATTATGAGATTATCATAAATAAATCTTTTCAGATTGGTACTTACCCAGTTAGCTCCTCGATCTGCACTGCAATCTTTTATCTTCTTGACGTAAGATAATCACCGCAACCACTTTATTCGCAACATTTACACTTAACACTTTACCCTGAAATTAAATAAGAAAAAAAATAATAATAAATAATTTGTAACAAATAATAATAGTTAGAATAAATTTGTTAGTAAAAAAGGTATTAGTAAAAAAGGTATTAGTAAAAAAGGTATTAGTAAAAAAGGTATTAGTAAAAAAGGTATTTACCTCGTTGGGTTATTGATTCACTGCATCTTGAAGTACACTCCAAGTAGAAAGGTATAGTCATCACCTGTAATGAGAAGAAGCATTCCAAAATATTAGTTAAATTATTTTATACAAATCGGTTGTTTAAAAAATACACACCCCAATGAGGTGATGCACTGCATCCTGGAGTGGAGTTCAATAGAAGATCACGCCATTCATAATTGATCCTGCAGCCTGTTGTCCAGTCCATTTATGTGGTGTCAGCATACTATATATCTCCGGTAACCGCATTCTTACAACTATTCTTACTATATATATTTATATTATATGTCCCTACTTGTTTACAATTATTAATTGTGTTTGATTTTCATGTACTTCAAGTTCAATATTTGATAAAATTTACCTTTCAAATTTCTTTCATGTTCTTGAAAACTTTCAGATCTTTATCTGTTGCTTTTAGTTTCTTTGTCAAAATATTTATGATTTCTTAAAATATATAACTTAATTATTTATTGTCTAAAGGATGTGCTCACTGCGTAATAACCTTGGTGCAGTGCATCCTGATGTCGAACTTCAAGTTACAAGTTGGATGGTGTCACCAATTATTTTCTGCAATCAGCCAAATACACAACCAAAAACCTGAAAAAAAATATAAAAAAAATTGAATTAATTAACTGCATTTTTTTACAAAAGCCACGTCATCACATAATTAAAAAAAAACTGCAACTCACCTTTTCCGGTTTGGATGCCCTGCATCCTGGAGTCCACTACATGCAGGAAGGGATCGGGCACCTTTAAGTTCATGCCAAGTCAGGTCATGATGCAGTGGGTCAGGTCACATGCAGGAACGGATCGGGCACCTTTAAGTTCATGCCAAGTCAGGTCATGATGCATGATGCAAGTCAGGTCCTAGGAGGAGTCGACCCATGATGCACTGCATCCGAGAGTGGACTCCAGTAGGAGGAGTCGACCCATGGTGCACTGCATCCGGGAGTGGACTCCAGTAGGAGGAGTTGGCCAGATACTCTCTCCCACTCTGGAACCACGTCACTAACACACTAACACACACGCACACACACACACTTCCAGAGACCGAAAAAAGTTTCTTAGAGAAACTGCCGGTCATCCCGGAGAACTGAGAAATTGGCCAAAATCAAGGGGTATCCCACCACGAATCAGCCAGAACCACTTGGGAATTATAGGTGCAAGGAAACGAAAAAAATAATTATTTATCATTGTAGCTGACGTGGCCATATTAATTTAATTAACATTTACATTATATTAAATGAACATTATTTTAACATTATATTAATATTAAATGGATTTTAATTAACATTTTACATTTAAAATAGTTTTTTTTACCTGTTGCATTTTGATTGATTGGTGTTGTTGTTTTATTAAAATAGCTTTTAAAAAATATATTCTGTTCAATTCAGGATCCATCATATATCGTGCCACAAACAACTTCATTTGCGACCACCGTGGAAAGCACAACTCAAACGGGGTATATTGAAAATTTGTGAGGTCATCACCCCACTCAAAACTGTTTCTCCGGCCCTGGTAAGAACTCCTGATGCTCCACGCCATGGCCACGATATCGCTTTATATACCCTTGCAGTCGATCAAAATGCATAAGGGCGATATGCCTCTTGTAAATCGAATAAAAATTAAACAAGAAAGGAAGCTAGCTTCGGCAAGCCGAAGCTTATATACCCTTGCAGTCATCAAATATGTCGAACAAAACGCATAAAGGCTAGACAACATCGAAGCTAAGACGATTTTTCTATTTATTTCCCATATTTTTGACTCTAGATCATATGGGAGCTATACGATATAGGTGTCCGATTTTGATCAAATTTAATTCGTAATTCAAGAGTCGTAAGAAAACTCTATACTCCAAAAATCATACTTGTCTGATGAAAAACAACGATATTATAATTTTATTTCCATTATTTCTATATAGATTTTTCGATCTTTCCTATGGCAGCTATAAGATATAGATGACCGATTTTTATGAAACTTTTTTTCCAATATAAACGTTGTTAAAAAACTTGATATTCAAAAAATCATGCTCGTGGGATAAAAAACAACGATGTTATCAATTTATTTCCATTAATTCTATATATAATTTTCGATCTCTCCTATGGCAGCTATATGATAGAGTTATCCGATTTTGATCAAATTTAATCCGAAATTCAATAACAGTTAGAAAACGCCATCTTGAAGAATTCAAGTCGATCTGATTAAAAACAACGGCGTGAGAATTTTTTATTTCATTCTCTCATATGGGAGCTATCCGATATAGTCAGCCGATCCGGCTCGTTCCGACTTATATACTGCGTGCAATAACTACACACCTTTTGGGAAAGTTTCATCAAGATAGCTTCAAAACTGAGAGACTAGTTTGCGCGGAAACGGACAGACGGACAGACGGACAGATGGACAGACGTACATGCACATTTGGATTCTGATCGTGATGCTGATCAAGAATATATATACTTTATGGGGTCTGAGGTGTCTCCTTCACTGCGTTGCAAACTTCTGACTGAAATTATAATACCCTTTTGCTCTGCAAGGGTATAAAAAGTTATGCGCCTAAAAGTGCTGGGATCTGATAATTTTTCTGCAAATCCATTTTGTGCAAATTTCGAAAGGGGCGAAAAAATAGAAAATCCGATTTTTCAAAAATTAAAAGTGGGGAGCCCATAAAAATTTTGAAAAAATTTATTTTCTGAAGAAGCTTGCAAAATTGTTGAACGATATTCGCTGCAATTTGTTGTTCAGTCCCAATATTACAGCTCTTCGAACCCCAAAAACCCCTCCGTAAATCCGCCACTGTATAAAACCCTCTGCAGGGGTAGAAATTAGAAATTGTACGATTTCATAGCAAGTTAGTTGAAAATGTTAATATTAAAAACAGTTTTCGTCTTAGTTTACAATTGTATATTTTTTCAAATATATTACACGCACGTATACACACATAGATTTAAATACCATAGTTATTTTTATAAATGTTACTTAAAGTATACAGATAGTAAGACTGACGCAACGTTTTGCTACCAGAGTTAGACCGACATTCTTAAGTATAAATTTATTTATTTTATATATGTATGTATACCCTTGCAAAATATTTAGAGCCATTAAAACCAGATGTTAGATTTTCATCTTAAAAATTCTTTTTATGAAAATAATATAATATACTTCAACGTTCGACTTAGCTTATTGAATATATGATTTTTTGCATCACCTTTATTATTATATGTTATAATTCAGTACACTTATACGCAACCCCTAGTCTTTGTAATTTTATTTATTTTTTTAAATACTTATTTAAAAGAATCCTTTACCATAGGCTTCTAGCAACATAATGTGTTTTGTAATCAACATATTTGCAGGCCAAATATAAACATCAATAATTATACTTTTATTAAAAAATAAAACTTTTTTTCTAAAATTTCCTGCATTTTTAAATTAGTTAGGATATGTTTATTATGCTGAGCTATTTCAATCAAAAAGTTTTTTAATATTCGTTTAACACTAAAACAATTCATTTATGATTTTTTCTGCACAACCATAATTACTCATATGGTACGTGATAAAAACAATGCAAAAAATTGGTATTTACTTGTTAAATCTTAAATGAAAAGCAAGAATGGAAGCTAACTTCGGCAATCGAAGCTAATATACCCTTGCAGTCATCGAATATATCGAAAAAAATACATAAACAATAAGAAGCTATGCCGATTTTTCTACTCATATGACAGCTATACGTCCGATTTTTATGAAATGTAATTCGAAATTCGTCAAATTTCTTCCTAGATACTTTAAAAAAAATCAAAAAAGAAGGATTACTACGGCATTCAAAACCTTTAAAACTTTTGCAACTATAAAATATCTTTTGTAACAGGGACTAGTTAAAATAATAATTTTTAGAATTGTCCATTTATTACTTTTACTGGCAGTTCTATGACAGGATATAGTATTACTGGTGTAAAATATGTGGTGAAGACGAATGGCACATTGGACATTTTCGGAAAGCTAGACCGCTGAGAAGGAACCCTAAAGTTTTTTTTAAACCACTTAAATACTTAACCAATATTATTTAAAATAAAACGGCCCGAACAACACAAGAAAATTTAAAAATTTTTTAAATAAAAAAACCGATATAAGATTCATTTTTGATAGCCACAACCTCATCGGTGGTTTTGAAGCCTAATCTTATTATTCTTTATAGGAAATTCTCAAAAAATGAAAAAAAGTCTTGTTATACGATACGATTCCTTGGAATTTATGCTAAATCACTCCGACAATATAAATTTGCTTTTTAGTATATTACGTAGATCATTTTGTTGAAATAGTGCCACCATATATGGGTCTGTCATAAACGTATTTAAAATGTTTGTACTAACTTTCGTTTTAATTATGAAGTCGTACGCAAATTGTTAAATGTTCTTGTTATAAAAGGTTTATAATTATTTCAGTTGTGATTGGCAGGTCATCATTTAATTATTCCGCTTGCCAAATTCTTGTTTCAACAATTATTTTGAAAACTTTTTTATAAAACTATTTATATAACTTGCTGAATCAAAGCAAATTTAGTATAAATATTATACACTTTGGGGAAACTTAACCAACATATTGAAATTCGAAAAACCGAAAAGAGGTCTATAGTTACGGTTGTTTTTTTTCCGTTTGGAAAAGCGTGCTTAGATTTTCACTTTAAATACCACTGCCCTAAAGGATGAGCTGAAGAAAATTGGTCGTGAAGTAATTTAAGTCAATACAATAACGCAAGGAGTGTTTTACTTTTTAATTTCTATACATTTCTTGAACTTTCCAAAATCGTTCATCAGTTTTTATTACTTTACAAAGACTATTTCCCAAAAGTTAAAAAATAAGTTTAAAAGATTATTTTAAACAAAACAAACGATAGAGCTATCATTTTAGTTACTTGGTGTTAACTTGTCTTGCAATTTTTTAATTAATTATTATTATTTTTTTTTTAATTGTAGTTTATGTGATAGACAGTTAGCTATTTGATTTTATTAGGCAAATATATTATACACCTATATAAAAAAAAATAAAATAACTTGGTATAAAAAAATTAATAAAAAAAATTTATACAAAGCACTCTCCATATAGCTTTGCAAGGGTATTATCGTCGGCTATCCGAAGTTTGTATTTGGAATGATTACTGGGGGTAAGCGATTTGGTGGGAATTTTTGTGCATAGTATTCGAATGTTAAAATTCTTTTTCGCGCTAGCGGTATTCAGCTATATAGCTTGGTACAAATTTGGATGTCGGGTGTATGTATGATGACACATAACCATTATGCTTTCAGCGTAATCGAATAAGTATGTACAAGTAATCTATTAATAGTGTTTATATTGTTATTATTTTTATAATTTATACATACATACACAGATATTTGAAATATAGTCTAAAACATTTATGTACTATAATTGTATTCTTTTATTATCATAAGTAATATTAGTATTAAATTGACCAGATAAAATGCTGAATAAAAAAATATTTACCACATATACCGACTTTTTATTGTTATCAAATCGAACATAATCATGTTTACTTTAAGAAACTCTTTAAGTACTACATTGTTTTATTGATGCTTTTTACAGTAGTACAATTATTAAAAACATTCACATAAGTTCAATCACGACGAGAAATAAGTTGTAAAATAGAAAAGACAAATAATACAGCATAATTACGATACAAAAGATAAGTCATGAACTTTTTTTATTGCAAAGGTATGAACTAATATTAAATAGTTTATAAAACATAAGGTTTGGCTTTACAATTTTTACAAAAATTAATATAGATTTTGATGTGATTTTGGTGGGTTTACAGTGAGATAACTTTCTAGCAAAATTACAAATGCAAACGGGACCATAAAAGTTTAAAAAATACTTACAAGACCAATTACCTTAACGTTTATGAAATGACAATATTATTGTTTATGTGTATATTAAGAGTTAGTTTACAGTTTCTTTTGAATATAGGAGATAACCGAGATAGCGTTTCCCGTTACAATTAAACTTACATTTAAAGTGTGCTTACTTTATCGTGTTTATAGGAATGTAAATTATAACCATGAACTAAACATCCCTAAAATTTAACATAGGTACAAAACTATATAAATATTGATAATAAGATTTATTTTATGTTAAAATTAAAATCAGTCAGTCGATTTTTTAGTTATATTACTTTATCTTGAATATTAAATCTAAGATCATTAAACTTATATCATATACATACATACAATACCATTCTAGTTACATTAAATGAGCAAATACGACATTTACAAATGATTTTCGTAAATCTGCATCTGGAAGAAAAAAAAGATTTATTATAACCATTTGTTCAATTTTTTTGTGTTCTAAAAAAAATTATAACAAGCTAAAATAATCCTTGGTTTATACATACTCAAAAGTAAAGTAAAGTAAGTTTGGCAAGCTAAAGTTTTAAAACTTCTGTAGACACTCAAACTACATGATCTGGCGATCTTTTTTTTTTAATTAAAATTTGTTTAAATTTTAACATTTCAACTTATGCTTAGTATCGGTAAACGTACACAGAAGAAGGCAGACGGACATAGAGCATAAACAACTCTTACAAAAGGAAAAAAAGAGGTGGGTTAGCATTCAGATTCAGTTTCTGACCAATAAGCTGGCAGAAACTAGTATCTTAGATAAATTTCCTCCCTTAGGCACGAAAAAGAAAAATGTACAGAGAAAATATTTGGCCACGAAAGATAAATAAACTAAAATGTTGATCCTTTTGAATAGACGAAATCACCATGGATACAGATTTTTCAAAGCAGGGAAATGGTATCTTACATAAGTATGTATCTTGAGAATCTTCAACTGTAAGAGTATTTCTATAGCTTTTATAGCCCTAAAACTAAAAATTTAATTTCCAAAAAAAAAAAAAAAAATATTAAAAATATGTTAGTTGTCAAAAAAGTGAGCAAAAGTAAAAGTAAATTGTCAGTTAAGTTATATATATAATTTAAACGTACAGCTTTAAACAAGACTTTTTAGATTCCAAAAAATACATTATATTGGCTGGTAAATTAAGACGTTCCTTTTTAATGGATCATGATTTAATAAACTGGAAGCTTATAATTAAGTCCACTTGTAATTTGTTCTTCAGCTCTTATTCTGCCGACATAATATTGTGGACTTGCTCTAATTTAAATGCCAATCTCTGTTTTTGCGAAAATTCATCCTCCTCCAGGGTGACAGTAAGCTGTTCGTTATACTTAACAGCATATGTGTACAGCTCATGTAGAGCACAATTTGTATTAAATTCTGTTGTGTGCAACTGAAATAGAAGAATGTAAAATCGTATTAACTTCATTTACTATAATATAATCATCTTTGCACTAACCCTTGATTCTTCTGCAAGCATGGCATTCATGTCCTGATCTGATATTGGGGACATATCTCGAATATCTCTATAATAGCGATCGACCCATTTTCGGTACTCTGGTATATCTTTAGCATATAAAAGTTTTGAGCTTGGTGAGTCTTTACCTAAAATATAAATGAAAAGTAAAATGTTTGTCATTTTAGTTAAATTGTTTTAAATTATAGCTGAAATTGCTTAATATATTTACCCAATCGATGGTCAGAGGTTGAACAAGAGTCCATAAATGTTTGAGCTACAACTGACAAGCAGGAATCCACTATATTCGACTTATGTATGTCAAAGACAAAATTTGGATTTTTAATTAAGTTTACCCAAAACCTGGAAATTCAAAAAAATAAGCATTTTTATAACCGTGTAGTTCAGAAGAAAAAAAATACTAACCGCAATGGTAAGCTGTTACTTTTCCAAGTATGCACAACTTCTGGATCAGTTATGCCATGCAACTGAGCTTGATCGTCAAGAAAGTCGAACATGTATTTTATAGCTAATGGCAGGGCCGATCCACGGTGCGCGGTACTAAATATTGTTTCAAAAAGATCATCTACAAATTTTTGAAGTGTGCCCTTGGTAGCCAATAATCGGGTTAAGTAAATCTCAGATACCAATTTGTTAACCCGTTCTCCTTCTTTCTGCATATCACTGTCGTGGTGTTTAACGAGATGCCAGTATCTTAGGCCGTTATCATGCATATCATTGTTAAGAGGGCTGCCGGCGCGGCTAAATGTCGGAGAGGAGGAGGTGTATTTCGATATATTTAGAGTTTCATACCTAAGATTGGTAATAGAATATTTGAATTTCTTGTTGGGAAATGTATATGACTTTTATGCAAAAAATATCTTACTTGTGAGATTTCTCATTTTTATCCGACAATATACTGAAGTTATAAATGGAGCTTTGCTTTGGTACTAAGCTTAGCCCAGCACCATCTGGAACATTGTAGTGTTGCAAAGTGTTAAGTTTCTTCCATTCACTTTCCGTTTTCGATGTTACATCCTCATCGTACAAAATCACCCGACCTGAATTGCCGGTACGCCACTCTAGAGTATAAAATATTTATTACACATTAATCCGTTTACCATAGGTTTTATTGATTTGAATTTTGCCAGCAATTTATGCAGCGCTACTTACCTAGATCTAAGTCATCCTTGCGAGGCCTTTGGCTAGATGGAATATTTTTATAAATTGTTTCCAAGCATTTTTCCTTTACTTGTCCAATTGTATCGCAGTCTAAAACCTTTACAGATACGTTTTCGGTTTGAGATGGCATCATATCCAAGTTATTGCAAAACATGGGCTGCTGTATAATGCTGGCATAGACGTTCATTGGTCGAAAATCAATAGACTGGCGAATAAGTTTTTCTTCACTAAGCGAGTATCTTGCCTCATGCGTACAAGCATCGACAGGACCCTTGTCAACTTGTCCTTTAACAGCACGAAAAAGCATGTATAAAGGCTCCCCAGCACACTCCTTCAAAAACTTGTAAAGAAGAAAGGTAAACCAGGCACTTAACATTTTTTCTGCCACACTTTCAGTTCGTCGTAACAAGAGCTTCGGATGACTCTTTCCTTCTATGCATTTTTCAATCAAGTCTCCCAATAAGGTTTTCAATATGTCTGTACAGTATTCTAGTTTTGACTGTAGTGTGACCATTATTAATGAGGCCACATTTACTCGTTCTCGCATAGAAAAGTATCGATTTGATTCCAGCGTTCGAATAAAAAGTAGTAGGAAAGTTTTATTCATTATAAGCTGTCCGAAAATACGCAAGCCCTTTTCTTTGCGTAGAAGCTCAGGTCGTTCCCATTGCAACACTATGTGATCTTCGTGATTGGGAAATAGAATCTTCATTGCATATGATCGATAATCCAAAAACGGAATGCCTCCAGACGTAAGATCTCCTGTAAGGTCAGTCATCTCTGTTTGAAGTTCGGCAAATGCCTCTTTACATTCAGCTGCGACCCGCAACTCTAAAATGTCCATCTGTTCCTGCATGTTTCGAAGCACCCGGTTAGATTCAGAGCTCTTCTTTTTGTATGCCACGAGCAGAGCAACAAAAATCAACAGTAAGATAACAATGGTAGCTATTACAGCGAAAATTACATTTTCTCCCCAATCCAAAATGATATTTGATGACTCGTAGCTAAGTATACCAATACGATACTCTAGCGAAGTTCCTATACGAACAATAACTTCTGGTCCATTAATACTTTTAATTGCTGCTGCTTCAGGTGGGGGTCTGCATGTTAGCTGTTGTCTTGAAAGAGACGTAATATTACAAAAACCATTTCCAATTTTAACTTCCACATCAGTCTCCTTGCAAGCACGATCTAAATTTCGACCATTTATAGTTAAGTATTCGCTTTTAAAATACTTAACTCTTTCTTCAAATACAAAATACTCGGGATTCGGATAGAGTTCAAAATGGTTGTTGTGAACCTTTGATAAATTTTGTACACGCAACACATTATCCATTAGAAAGCCATATTCAAGAAGCATTGGTCTTTCCGCCTCAATAATGTTGCTATCGACTTCAATTACTGGAGATGTACATTCCATTTCTGTATCCGATTGCACCCTGCATGGGCTTGCATATAGCTCACCATTATATACCACATAAATGTTGGGAGTTTGTATACTTGTGAATTGGGTACCAGTTACTGAAATGCGAATTCCTCCAGCCGGTATTCCTTTTGGTACTTTTATTTGCCCACTTGGCCCTGAACTAACGTGTTCAACTGTTGGGTCCAGAACGTATTTGAAGTTGTAATCATTAAATTCTCGGGGGCCATTATCAAACGACATTTTCAGCCTTCCTTCGATTATACCTGGGGAAGGGGACGTCCGACATATGGCTTGTGAAGATTCTGTACTCAGTATTTTGCACGGCAAATGATCGTTAATGGATGCTTGTATACGAGAACCGGCATTTAAGTGCTTTCCAGTTATATGTATTTCAGTTCCGCCCGAGGTAGGGCCAAATTTTGGATTAAAATCCAAAATTTTCGGATCAACAAACTCATAGTCCTCCTTAGACTCACCGCGATAGTCTCCGATTTGTACCACAATTTTGCCATTTCTGTACATTTGCTCCCCAGGGCTATCCACTGTACACACTATTTGTTTCGTGTCGATGTAAAATTGTGGAAATGGCATACAGTTTATGCCAGCTATTCGAACACCAGAATAAATGTCGTTATAATTTTTTCCCAAATTAATGCCACGTATTGTTATGTTCGTTCCTCCTTCCCATGGACCCGTTTTTGGTTCAAACGTATGAATCTCAGGATTAGGACAGATTTCACTGCGATTTAACCAATCGGTTTTTCCTTCCTTGTTCTTGTTACATTGTTCTTCAACTTCGCATGTATTCGTAGACGAACACCATCCGCAATTGTACTTTTCGGCAAGAGCCAGACAAATACCACAGCTGTCAGCCATTTCCCGACATCGATAAATAACCACTAAAAATTTTGAAAGAAAAATATTAATAAATACAAAAAGCTTTATATTTGAACTTACCATGTATGTTATGAGGATTATCAAGAGGCTTAGAACCACCCCATATTACCGCGAAAGTTGCCGTCAAATTTGGCGATCTTGAAGTATACTGAAATTCCATGCTATCGCAGTAAATTGTGTCACCCAACAATTGAGCATTCAAGCTCGTTACACGTCCCTCGATGTTAAATTGACAAACAAATCGAGTTTGAACTATAAACTGTCCAATTATATGAACTTTCACTTTTATGGATTTGCTTGTGCCACCAGCAACGAGTACTTCACTTCCATCACCTGTGGCGTTGATCGTTGGACAAAATCCAGGACCCGATCTATAACTTGGACCTATCCGGCTGACCCCTGTTACCAAAATATCATTGCGACAATTCTCAGCAGTGTCGTGAGTGCATCGGTGTGCCTCAACACACCAATCACAGGGAAATTCTGAGGACACACAACGAGTACACGACGAATGTGTGCTACAATCGAAAAATGTAAAATCTGTGGACACTAAGTCGGGGCCATTTCTGGTGCGTACAGATAATTTTGCTGTAAAATGATGTTTTCCTTGCTCAATTTGGGGCAGCATATCAGTCCGAGGTGTTGTGCAGTTTACACCATTTCTTTTTTTGTAGCATTAGTGAAGAGCGCTTTATCCTCTGTAGTAAAAGCGCAAATTAAATTCTCCTTTAGCTGCGGTAAGTGATCTATAATAAGCTCCAAGGTTCGTGCGGTAGTCCGTTGCAGCTGGTGAGGCACAACACTTGTTATTGTAGTGCATTTCCCAGTTTTATAGCTGACCCAATATAGAGGGTCGTTGGCGTCGTCCTGGCAGTTGGAACGAGGGCTACATTTGTTCTCCAATGAACACCACCCACAATATGGGTCTCTAGCGCCTAAGCACTCCCCACATGTCTTATAATCAGAGCAATCAAAAACCTTTACCTTGGAAACTTTAGTCTCAGACATAACATACATAAAAAGGTTTTGGTTGTCAAACTGCATATCCTGATTAATGGCTGAGCCCAAGTCTACAGCAAAACTAGCATACTCATTTGCAATTGATAATGATTCAACTACAACTTTCTTAAGGTATCCATCTGTTGTGCCCACAAAGACAACAGTATATCCGCTTGTGCTCGTAGCAGCTACTGAAGTTAGTTTTGTGTTGAACATAGCCACCGGAACTGAAGTAATGGGATTTTCTCCTCCTAGGGGTGAATTTACATCTAGTCCACAGAAATCCTCTCCAATTGTTTGCAGTTTCTGAAAAAATATTAATTAAAATTGAAACACTTTAGGTGCATTTGCATCTTACGCAAATCTTCATATTTTTCACGTTTATCAGAAGAACGTCACAGTTATTTTTAGAATATAGAGTTTTCTAATTACTCTTGAATTTCGAATTAAATTCCGATATAGTAGCCCGATCCGGCCCGTTCCAACTTACATACTGCGTGCAATAACTACAGAACTTTTGGTAAAGTTTTTTTTTTAAGTTTTTTAAGATTCAACTAGAAGAGATAAATTCTCTTCCTGAACACAATCAATTTTGTCTCGTTTTAATAGGACGTTAAGTTTTTCTGTTCCGCCGATAAAAAAAAACGACGAGATATCGCTCACTACTATTTCTGTAACTCCGAAAATAATTTGTATTTGTTTCTGAAATTTTAGGGACACATTCTTGGATAGTTTACAAAACATTTATGCAAAAAAATCGATTTTTTTTAGCCTCTAAAGAGTGCTTTCCCCTTAAAGTTTCTAAGATTTTTTTTTGCCCGAAGATGGAAGTACAAATTACAGACGATAAAAAAATGTACTTATGTTTCATAGTATTTTTATACATATATATATTTAGATATTTAAATAAATAGTAAATTAGCTTTTTACAACATGGAGACATTTAGTTCTTACTCACCGTTAAAACACATGGCATGCTGGGCGATATAAAGTCCAGTCCTCTCATTCCATTGCCGTTGAAACAGGACTTTATGTTTTGCATAAATTTACGTCGGATGGACTTTAATGAGTATATGCAAAGGGCAGAATTATTAGTTGGTGTGTTTCCATCGCCCTTTGAGAAAACAGCAAAAAGAACATCATCTTGAATGGATATACCCAGGCTTTGAGCCAAATCAGAGCTGGGTTTGCCCAAAAAACCAGCCTGAACCAAGTTGAATTTAGTGCCACCCTGGGCATCGCTAATACACTCAACTGGAATTTCGGTGTACGAATAATAGTTTGAGTCTTCCTGGCATATTCGCACCAGCTTGGTTATATACTCTTTGGGGGAAGAATGGTGACTGTGCTTCAACTGTGTGGTAAGGAAGTATGAAAACCGTTCAGAACTAAATCCATAAACGTAGTTCACAAAATAGGTTTCACGAGCGTAAGAATTGATAAAGGTTCTCGTTCCTGTTGTAACCGCCGAGGAGGCAATCTGGAACATTTTCGTCTTTTCAAGGGAGCGTGATGCAACGGCAGGAATTTCACTTCGGTATGGCGAGTTATTTGTGTAGGTTACTCCAACATACATTACGTTTGTGACTGGGTGCTGTGGAGGTCCTGGTGCTATAAACGCCACGGTCGAGGAATTGGCATCGTTTGCAACGACCGCATCAGGCACTTCGTGCTCAATTATACTGACATTCTGAAGATTACGCACTGTGCACGTGCCCTGAAATAATGATCCACAGGCAATGAGTCGAGAAGTTGCACGATCTATGAGCAGGACTTTATTATAATTATCCGTCGGACTGCGAACAGCATTTAACGGGCAGTCGAGTATGCTGCACTCCACCGAATCATTTTGAGGTCCCGTTATCACCTTTTCGGAAAGCTCCAAATCAGGCGATAACTGATACAATCGATTAACACCACCGACAAAGACTCGTCCGGTAATTGTGTCCACTAAAAGGTGATTTAATTTCGTATCAAACTTAGCTACGTTTGTGATTGTGGTACTAAGGTTTTTTGGCTCTTTCATTGTCACATTTGCATCAGACAAATAAATGGGATCATTTTGCGTAAAAGTCTTGTCAGACCAAATATTTGCTGCCAGTGTCTGAGAGCCTGCACTTGAGTACAGCCAGTAGTCATATTTATCTCCCAGTGTTGCTATCAGCAGCAAACTAAGAATATAATTCATCTCCAAATTCGCTCCTTCAACAGGGCGATCCGATCTCCTAAATTTAGTTAAATTTTTTTCGTTGATCGTTTGTGTCACTTAAATGAATACAGTGTTATAAAATGACTCAGGATTTTGTTTAAATTGGTGAGGCATTCCTGGGATTTAAAGTATTCGATTTATAAGACTTCCTTTACAGAATTGTAGCAATATTTTTAACTGGTGTAATTAAAAGCATTGTTGGATCTGAAAATAAAAGCAAATTAGTAACTCGTTTTTTTTAAAGATTTTTTAACGGTAACGGCCTAAAAAATAAGTGATTTTTGGGAATTTACGAAGAAGTCTTGGCTTATCTGGAACTGCCCGCATGTCATTATAACGCCAGCACAGTCTTCAGATTTAAATGTGATCGAAAATGTATGGGATATATTGGACACAGCTATAAGGAAGAGGAAGATTTCGACCAAAAACGATATGAAAACTGTTCTTATGGAAGAATGGCTAAAAATTCCAGTGGAAACCACAAAACAGTTAGTTTGCTCCATGGAAAATCGTCTCAAAGCTGTCCTGAACCAGAACGAAGGACATACAAAATTTTAGCTGTTAAATTACTAATAATAAGTTAAGTAGGAATCTGCTGCACGAAATAAGCTGCGGCATGGAAAAAGCCTGTACATTTTGTTTTTGTTAAATATTTTTTTTTTTTTTATGATTAAGAAAATCGATTTCGTTCAATAAATAAGTTAATATTCCATATTAAAATCCTGCATTTTAATTTCTCTGATATCTTTCTTAGTTTAGCAGGAATAACAGTTATAACTTTTTTTAGGTAACTGCACGAAATAAGCTGCGAGCCCTGCATCTTTCAACAAATACAATAACGGGTAAATTTTTGTTTTTCAATTTAGGCTTCTTTTTGATAAATTTGCCTTAAAAATATTAGATATCGATAAAAAAAAAAAACTATTATCACGATTTTTTCCCAATGTTGTATCTAGGTATGTATACCGTTAATGGGTGCAAATGTTAATCTAGAGAATCTTAAAACACTTTAAACTCTTGTTTTTAATATACAACGATGCACACACATACGTGCATACATACATGGCTACATGTACATACAGATGGCTATGTTACAGGAGTCACAGTCCACACATTTTTCTTTTCGTACATACATATATTTGTATGTACCACGCCCCTTACAATAATAAATTCCAGTAAAACGAATTTACAAATGCAATTTATGTAAAGATTTTGGGTTATTCGTTAATTGATTTTTAGATGAAAGAAGATCAATACTTAAAAGTATAATATATAGTTCAGTTCACTTAATACTTAATACTTATTAATATTCACAAATGCCACTAAACACAATGCTTTACAAACCTAATTTTGTTGAACATAATATAATGAAAACCGCAAATATACAAATTCACAAAAGTTAAATTTGCGTTTGAAATTTCTAAAATAATTATTTAACAAAGGAGACTCCAAGATGTTTTAAAGCGGGGTCGGATTTTGATTCTGTATGTATATCTGAATTGTTGGGCGAGAAGAACATATTTTGTTCTAATCCAGAAGCACTCCTTACAATACTCTTGGAAATAAAACATTCGATAAGTACCAATTCATAAAAAACTCTTGACACAACTTCTTTTTATTTTTTTATAACACTAAACATTATTTTCCACATTATTGTATGAAAATATTATCGATAATACGATGCTCGATAAGTGACAATTAGAGATGGGGGTTGAAGTAACGATAGACCTTATGGATTTTTAAGGCCAATAAATAGTCTGTTCAGACAAGCGGCGCAACTGCAGGTAATTGTTTACAAGTGCGGTGCACGGTAAATACAGCTTAAAAAAATAAAGTAAAATATGGAAACGATGTGTTTTTTATTAAAACTTCGAAATCCGTTGGCGGAGATTGAAAATTATGCACCGTTTTTTTGTTATTAACAATAAAAGATGCGATTTGTAGTACAAATTCGGATCTGAGTGACCGTATTTGCATGTGATGTGCCGATTATTAGAGTCGTCTGGTGGCGGAAGTATGTATAAAGTATGTATAAAAATGCTGACTTAACTCTCTCGGGCATTGTTGTATCCATGGTACAATTATACAAGGTAGTCCCGTCGGCTGCTTCACTCCCCTATTGGACACTACAATGAGTGCGAGAGAGAGGTTGTTTTCTCATAAGTGCGAAAGAAACAGAAACAGAGTGTGTTGTTTAACCCATATACTGTGCATAGGGTTTTAAAAGACTGTTATATGACAATGAGTATTAATTGTTCCGTAATTTTTGGTTTTTACCCAGAACTGCCCTTTAGGACTCGCTCCCATAGTGTTACCCTTTCAAAAAATTTCTGTGCAATATTACATGTTACGCATTGTATGTGCTTGCTGCAATAATTGCAACAAGTATTTTTCATAAGCACACAAGGGTTAATGTTTTCAGAAAAATTTCGTCCGCGCACAACCTCTCTCTACGAAAACCCGAGCGTACTGGTCGATAGGGGAGTGAACCCGAACAATTCTGCAGCCGACGGGACTACCTTGTATAATTGTACCATGGTTGTATCAGTGTGTGATTGATTAAAATAACATTTTATCTCTTTTTGATCCCCATTCTATTATAAATAACATAGTTCAACTGTTTATAGAATACCCATAATTTATTTTTAAACGCATGAAAAAAGTTTTAGTATTTTATTGAGTTGAGATGGTGTATTTTAAAAGTTCGTCTAGGGTCACACTGAATGCGTATATTCAGTACACATACTTCCACAACTTAGTCCGGGAAAAATGTTCGCGTTACGTGCTGCTTCTAAAGCCGATAAGAATTTGCTGCCATTTTTGGGGCAATTGTGTAAGTAGCATAAAAGTAATGGACATACTTGGGCGAAACTAGGTTGAAATGCATAAAGGCGAACAATATAAAAGTCGTTTTTCAAAATAATTTACCCGATGACGAACATAACCTAGACTTGCGAGATGGTGTTACGAATGAAGAAAACTTATTACATAACTTCAATTTTTAGTAATTTAAGGTTACTTAAATGTTATAACATATACGTGAGCAAGTTCTAATTATATTAAACAAAATTTTGAATTAAAAGAAATGATTATCATGTTATTTGTGTGAAAAAATGTACTCTAAATCAAATTTCTATATTGTTACATATGTATGTATGTATGTTAAAGTCTTTTTGAAATAGAAAAGAAATTTATTGGAATACGCGGTTTTAAATGTTTTGAAATCCTTTGCACTTTAAAATACCTTATAATTTAGTAAAATAAAAAAAAACGGTATTCTTCGAGCAGTCCAAAAAAATTTGGTATTGTTTGCATCATTATTTTATTAATATAGCAAATTTCTATTAGCAATCCAATGTTATTTTGATCAGATCGTATTCAATATTTTTAAACCAAAATAAATATGAAATATTTTAAACCTTTATAACGCATGTTCTCCGTTTTTAGCTCGTGGCCATGCTGCAAAGGCTGCTAAGGCTGCGGCTGCCGCCAATGGAAAGATCGTGGCCGTAATTGGTGCTGTGGTTGACGTGCAGTTCGATGATAACTTGCCACCGATTTTAAACGCACTGGAAGTTGACAATCGGTCTCCTCGATTGGTACTGGAAGTGGCTCAGCACTTGGGAGAAAATACCGTACGCACCATTGCTATGGACGGTACTGAGGGCTTGGTTCGTGGACAAAAGGTTCTCGATACTGGGTACCCAATCCGTATTCCAGTTGGTGCTGAAACCTTGGGCCGCATCATTAATGTTATTGGTAAATAATAATTTTGAAGCCATATAAGACCATTCTTACCTTTTTATAAAACAGGCGAACCCATCGATGAGCGCGGCCCAATTGAAACCGACAAGACCGCTGCTATTCACGCCGAGGCTCCTGAATTTGTTCAGATGTCCGTTGAGCAGGAGATTCTTGTCACTGGAATCAAAGTGGTTGATCTCTTGGCTCCTTATGCCAAAGGCGGTAAAATCGGTCTGTTTGGCGGAGCTGGCGTCGGCAAAACTGTGCTGATTATGGAGCTGATTAACAACGTGGCTAAGGCTCACGGTGGATACTCCGTTTTCGCGGGGGTCGGCGAACGCACCCGCGAAGGAAACGATTTGTACAATGAAATGATTGAGGGTGGCGTAATTTCCCTTAAGGACAAAACGTCCAAGGTGGCTCTGGTTTACGGACAAATGAACGAGCCCCCAGGTGCCCGTGCCCGTGTTGCTCTGACTGGATTGACCGTTGCTGAGTATTTCCGTGATCAAGAAGGACAAGATGTCTTACTTTTCATCGACAACATTTTCCGGTTCACTCAAGCTGGCTCTGAGGTGTCCGCGTTGCTGGGTCGTATTCCTTCAGCCGTCGGTTACCAACCAACTTTGGCCACTGACATGGGTTCTATGCAGGAGCGTATTACCACCACTAAAAAGGGATCCATTACTTCTGTACAGGCTATTTATGTGCCAGCTGATGACTTGACCGATCCTGCTCCAGCCACCACTTTCGCTCATTTGGACGCAACCACTGTCCTGTCGCGTGCGATTGCAGAGTTGGGTATCTACCCTGCTGTGGATCCCCTTGATTCCACATCTCGAATCATGGACCCTAACATCATCGGACAAGAGCATTATAACGTTGCCCGTGGCGTACAGAAAATCCTGCAGGACTACAAGTCCCTTCAGGATATTATTGCCATCCTGGGCATGGACGAGTTGTCGGAGGAAGACAAGCTTACAGTGGCACGCGCTCGCAAGATTCAGCGTTTCTTGTCGCAGCCATTCCAAGTTGCTGAAGTTTTCACTGGTCATGCTGGTAAACTTGTTCCGCTTGAACAAACCATTAAGGGCTTCTCACAGATTCTATCTGGGGAATACGACCATCTCCCTGAAGTGGCGTTCTACATGGTTGGCCCAATCGAAGAAGTCGTGGAGAAAGCTGACCGTCTAGCAAAGGAAGCTGCCTAAATTGTAATATTGGCCAGTTCTTCAAAGCCGTAGTACTAGCAATTAATCAATTAAATTATGCATTGAATTGTAATGAAGTTTGTAACATCAACTTTGGAATCTACACGCGAGAAGAACTCAATAAAATCTATTTAAACCTTAAAGCCCTTTCATTTTTGATTTAACATCCTTGGAACACCTTAGTTTAAACAAGATCCATTTTTCACTATTTTAGGAACTCGCTAGTTATCCGCGGTAATATCGAAATAAGATAATTTGAAAAGTCCAAACATTTTAAGGGGTTATATCCAGTTGCGAGGCCAAAAAAATGAACTTTTTTGAAAATTATTTTTGGAGAGGCTATTTATTGTATGTATACGTGTTGTATATGAAAAGATGGGTAATTTTTTCTAGTTTTAGAATACATTTTTAACAAAAAAAATTTTTGGACTCCGTCGGTCCTGTAGAGGATCTCCCGAGGGTCCACTTTAAAAAAGGGTTTTGCGGTGAGGAAAATATCTCCGGTCCAAATGATCAGAAATACAAAAAACCAGAAGGATTACGTAAAGAATAGACAAATGCTGGTAATGAGACTTGGGATTTTCAAAATTTTGATTTTTGACAAAATGGCGGCTTCCCAAACATAAAACTTTGTTTTTGGCACAAAAATTTCAACTTTGAAGTGGCTAAAAAAATCGAAATTTTTGTCGGAGCCAAAATTCCAAGTCTCATTACCTGAAAAAAATATCTAAGAAGAGAATGTGAAAGTTTCAAGTCAATCGGTCAAGCCGTCTCTGAGAAATTTTCCTCACCGACTTTGAAGACATAGTTTCGAGAAAAACGCATTTAAAGTTTTGGCTACTAGTTGAACTACATGGGAGACGTCTTTACAAATACACTGATTACTCCAATACTATTTACCGGAATACTTTGAAATTTTCAGATATTCTTCTTAGATATATATACATTCAAAATAGGCAAAAAAAAATTTTCAATTTTTTCAAAATCGCAACTGGATATAACCCCTTAAGGCAAATAAAATAACATGGACTTGCTAAAAACGCCTTTTGAAGGCTGAGAACTGTGCCTTGCCATAATTTCTAAAGAAATAGTTAAGATACTTTAGTCAAAGATCATTTCTGTTCACACATTTCAGTAATTATTTTTTAAATGAACCCCTAGCTTTCTTTCTTGTTTTTTTGTTAAAGAACAGGGGCGGACGCAGGGGTCCGGATTTTTTTTTTTTACGTCTGACCCTGTTAAAGTACCTTTCTATTTCCTAAAGAAGAAAGTTCGATAGTGATGACCAGGTTTACCTGGAGCCAAAAAAGACAATGCTATACTATACAACCAAAATCCAACCTGGAAATGTAGAAAAAGCTATTCAATGCTGATCGACATCTTAACGATCTGTAGGTTGTTGTTTGGGATGAATTTGAAAGATATTTGTGTTATTATTTTATTCTCTTAGATTTTCAACAAACACCTCCCATAGTTCCTCGAGGAATAAAGTCATTTATTTTTTGAAAAAAAATTATTGAAATTTAATTTTTTTAAAGTTGATGCACCAACGAACAAAAACCTGTAACTTTATGATGGTCTAAAATTGAGCAATTAATGTTTATATTGGTGGTACCAAACTCTAGGGCAAGCGGAAGCTACAAGATCTATTGATCTATGAACTTAATTACCTCAATTTAACTTCAATTTTTTCACCAAAAATCTGATCTGATATTGTCACCTGCAGAGGGTATTATAATTTTGGTCAAAAGTCTTGCAACGCAGTGATATATATGGGTGATTCCATATCAGATTTACAGTCCATATTGGGAAATTCGATGAGATATTTTTTTCATGTTCTTTATCGAAAATAAATCGACACGTATTTTTTATATGGCTCAGAAAATTTTTTGACAAAGTTATGATTTTTTGAATTTTTGATAAACTGCCTTTTTTTGATGACAGTCGCGTTTTACAGCCCCAATAACTCGAAAACCGTACGTCGCAGGAAAAAATCTATAGGAAGTAAAAATTTCATCCTTCCTTCTTCTTTGCAAAACTTTCGTGAAAAATTTTTTTAAACAATTTTTCACCACAAAAAGTTCAAATGTTTATAACAAATTAATTTTTCTCCAACTTGGACCATTTTGATTTTTGTTTTTTTTTCACAGTAAATCCTTCAAATTCTTCTGATGAACATACTAAAATTTCAGAATGGTATCAAAATTAGTTTTTGAGTTATAGAATTAAATAGCATTAAAAATTCATTTTATTGACCCTTACTATGCGCGCGCGAAGCGAATTGACGCTCGTTAGAGTCGTTGGTCGGCGCACGCCCTGAGACCGAGCGCGCGGACCGTGCATGATAATCTTTAAAATTCTTTAACTCAAAATCTACTTTTGATACCATTCTGAAATTTTAGTATGTTCATCAGAAGTATACAGAAATACTGTGAAAAAAAATCAAAATGGTCCAAGTTGGAGAAAAATAAATTTGTTATAAACATTTGAACTTTTTGTGGTGAAAAATTGTTTAAAAAAATTTTTCAAGAAAGTTTTGCAAAGAAGAAGGAAGGATGAAATTTTTACTTCCTATAGATTTTTTCCTGCGGCGTACGGTTTTCGAGTTATTGGGGCTGTAAAACGCGACTGTCATCAAAAAAAGGCAGTTTATCAAAAATTCAAAAAATCATAACTTTGTCAAAAAATTTTCTGAGCCATATAAAAAAATACGTGTCGATTTATTTTCGATAAAGAACATGAAAAAAAATATCTCATCGAATTTCCCAATATGGACTGTAAATCTGATATGGAATCACCCATATATATATTTTTGATCTGCATCACGATAAAATTTCGGGTATTACGACGTTCGTATTCAAACCAAAGGAGGACACTATCAGTAAATTTTTATAATCATTTTTATTAAGTATTTATTTGTATTTAATAAATCATATAAATTGAATATTTTATTTAATGGTTGGATTTATTAAATTGTGTTGTGGACTTTGCAATATGGGCTTTAAATTGCGTTAAGCTTTTAATTTGCTTAAAATATAAGTGATATTCACTAAAAAAACAAATTGTAGATCCAAGTTCTATTCCTTGTTTCATTCATATTAGTTTTGGATTTAAATTCTCAAGAATATAACATGGTTAACTTATTAGTTATAGTTCTAGCGGCCTTTACACGATTGATCAATATAATTCTTCAAAATCCTTTTTTTCCTGTTTAGTAAATAATAAACATTTTTTTCATAAATTAGAGGTTTGCAATCAAGAAGTTTTTATAAAGAAATTTAGGCGCACCAATAAAAATGTTTAATAACGTTTATTAAAAAATAGTTGTGGACCTTTAGATGAAATCTAAATAATCTGTGCCAAAGTATTTTAATGTATTTCATTTCACATTGTTTATACATATATGAGCAGGGAAAAGTTGTAGTAGTTATACGATGATACAGTCTCATACACACAATAGATTTTTGCATTTATGCTTAGAAAAACGGATATGGAGTTAAGACATACATAAGATTATTTATTTATAAGCGGCTTAACCTAAAAACCTTTAATTTATATAATTTTTGTAAAGAGGAAAATAACGAGAACTGCTGTTTATTACTTGTGCCTTTTATTAAGGGATGAATAATTTTCGATTTTGTTTTTATTACCTTTGCATTGCAAAATGGCTATTTTTAATAGAATGCTTAAAAATAAAGTATACAAAATTATAGCGGAAATAGTTTGATATAATGTGTATATATATATAACCATTATGTTGCGTATTTGATTGCACACATTTAGTAAGTTATTTTTAGGTACATATATCCCAAGCATTATTTTGACTGTGCCACCGCCTAAACCACTTTAAATAACTAGAACAAATACTCCAACGTTATTGTATGACAAGTTATTTAAATATAAATTTTAAAAAAACTTATAAGTTTTTTAGCGTTGTCATTTTTGTCAATTTCTTTGTGTTTGATTTTAATGTGGCACCCACAATAAATATAAAACGCGGTTGTAGTTGGATGTAGCACTGTTACAATTTTTGCTTGTAACATTATTAAATTTAATATATTAATAATGTTAATATATTTGCTTGCACAGTCAAAATCCTATTCTTGGGACACCTGTATATACCTTTAAGAGAGTATATGTAGACAGAGCGGCAAAGTAGATGTATATAGTTTTCATCTACCATTTTTTTTTTTTGTATTCCCACACTCTCAATTAATTCAGCTTAATTTTTAAAAATTCAATTAGCTAATTTTTTACTTGGATTATAAATACTTAATCTTTCGAAAATTTTAAATGCTACATTGTAATTACCTAATGCTTTACAGTTAGTTCGTTAATGCTAACTTGAGTATTTTGTATTTGCATGTATCCACACAATTTAGTAAGCTTTTTTATGTGTGAATTGTTTTACGAACGAGAACAAGCTTCAAGGACTTCACAAACCAATGATTATTCGTATCCTAGTAGGTTATACATGCTTTAAATTTTTTGCAATTATTGTGAGAATATTAAGTAAAGTGTTTGGAATTTTATCTTTTGTATTCCATTAGATACAAGGATTCAAATTTAATTTTAAGATTCGTATCAATAAAGGTTAAATAATAATCTCTTTTTTTCTTTCTCTTGACAACATTTAAAATGTACAATCTTATGGATTGGTACGACATCAAATATTCCACGTACCAATATTATTTAAATTGTTTTATTTTTGTGTGTTACTCTTTGTAATTTATAGTGTTTTATATCTGTTGGATATCTGAAATGCGGTATACGCTTTTTATTTTTTATTGTATATTTTAACAAAGAATATCTGGGGACATAAAACACTTAATAAAAAACCAAGAAAATCTGAAATTCGCACTAACAACTTTATTTGCAAAAAGATTTTTTCGCCCACTAAATATGAATATAGCACTTTCATTTACATGTGCATAATGACAGTTTATATCCCATTGACTGACGGCCACTACTTTTGTGGTATAAAATCGAATGTGGTGGCTCCGCTTATCTTAGCAGATGCACTTCGATGGAAGTGCACATTCTGCCATTTGTTGTCGCGTTTATGCCAGACGCGAGTTTCCTCAGATTGATGGGTGTGTGCGTGTCCTTGCCTGCAAATTCAGAGAAAACAATTTTAAGCAGTGTTGGAGAGTTGGGCATCGCCTTCTAACGGTAAAGTTCTCCATACTTACTTATCAATATATTGTGTAAGTCTGACATAGGCAATGCAAGCGGATTCTTCGCCCAATAAGTGCACATGAGGATTTAATATGGTTGTATTAATGGCTTTGCAGTTCTTACCAAGGACTAAAATTGCAGGTAATTAAATTGATGTTTTGGAATACATTAGAGTAGATTAACGCTCACCATTTTCGAAGTAGAACTTGTGAAAATCAATTCCTTCAACAAGGTTCCCTAATGCTTCTGGCTCAAAGGCAGTTAGGTGCGGATCACATATTTTGCTAAAAAAAATTGTAAAAGTGTATTAATAATACTGTAATTTTAGCATATTTAGCATACTATTAGCAAATATTCTAGTTCAGAATCTTATTTATTTATATTATATTTTAAACTTACGTGTATCCGTCAAAGTCGCCACTGTTAATCGCTTCTATTAACTGCTCAGTAATCTTTATTATTTCTTGTCGTCTAGCTGCTGATAGAAAAACGTGTATTTAGTTTATTTAGTGTGTAATCATTTAAGACATCTTTATAAAAGAAGATGAAATTTGCTGTCTTCATTAGGGCTAATGAGCATAATAGCCTTGCAATGGGAAAAGGGCAGTTAACCACTTAAATATACTTTCCTAAGACAACCCAATGCTGTTTATTAAAAACGTATAGGGTTTCAAACCCGAAAAATGTATAATATGAAAAATTTATTTAGGCACTTACAATTAAATACGAAACTTTTTAAGACTATAATGATTTACTACTATTAAACGACCAACAAACTATATGGAAGTTATAGAATAACAATAAAAATCAACGACAAAAAAACAAGTAAAACGCTAGCTTCGGCAAGCCGAAGCTTATATACCCTTGCAGTTATCGAATATAATATGGTCGTCCGAATTGTATTTGAAATTCAAAAGTCATGAGAAAACTCTACACATATTTTAAAAATTTAGCTTTTCTGATGGAAAACAACGATGTTATCATTTTTATACCCTTGCAGAGCAAAGGGTATTATAATTTCAGTCAGAAGTTTGCAACGCAGTGAAGGAGGCACCTCAGACCCTATAAAGTATATATATTTTTGATCAGCATGACGTTCTGAATCGAAATCCGTTTGTACGTCTGTCCGTCTGTCCGTCTGTCCGTCGGTCCGTCGGTCCGTCTGTCCGTCTGTCCGTCTGTCCGTCTGTCTGTTTCTATGTAAACTAGTCTCTCAGTTTTGAAGCTATCTTGCTGAAACTTTCTCAAAAGTTGTGTAGTTATTGCACGCAGTATATAAGTCGGAATGGGCCGGATCGGCCGACTATATCGGATAGCTCCCATACGAGGGAATGAAATGAAAAATTCTCACTCCGTTGTTTTTCATCAAATCGACTTGAATTCTTCAAGATGGCGTTTTCTAACTGTTATTGAATTTCGGATTAAATTTGAACAAAATCGGATAACTCTATCATATAGCTGCCATAGGAGAGATCGAAAAATATATATAGAATTAATGGAAATAAATTGATAGCATCGTTGTTTTTTATCCCATTAGCATGATTTTTTGAGTATCAAGTTTTTTAACTAGCCTTGATTTATAAAAAAAATTTCATAAAAATCGGACAACTATATCATATAGCTGCCATAGGAAAGATCGAAAAATCTATATAGAATCAACGGAAATAAAATGATAACATCGTTATTTCTCATCAGAAAATCATGATTTTTGGAATATAGAGTTTTCTAACGACTCTTGAATAACAAATAAAATTGCATCGAATTCGGACGACTATGTCATATAGATGCCATATGAACAATAGTCAAAAATATGGAAAATTAATAGAAAAGTCGTCGTAGCTTCGATGTTGTTTAGCCTTTGTGTATTCTGTTCGAAATATTTGATGACTGCAAGGGTATATAAGCTTCGGCTTGCCGAAGCTAGCTTCCTTTCTTGTTTATCCGTTAATTCTATATAGATTTTTCGGTTTTTCCTATGGCAGCTATAGTATATAGTTGTCCGATTTTTATGAAACTTTTTTCTCAATATAAGGGTATAAAAGCTTCGGCTTGCCGAAGCTAGCTTTCTTTCTTGTTCATCATAGCTTCGATGTTGTTATGCATTCAGGTACTAAACTCGAAATTTAACCATTTGTTGAGAACTACAAACTTGAGTTTTAGTAATACTAAGCAGCTGTGTACTATGAAAAACATTGAATTACGAGGACATTTATTGTTTGTTCTTTTTAGCCGCAACCTCTTAAGAATTAAAAAAAATTTGAGTGATTGTTTTTAATTTTTATTTGTATTTCCGTTTAGTAAAGGGTTATGTTGTTTTTTTTAAAAACTTTGTAACAAAACTTGACGAATTCCTCAGATTATTCGATCTAACCATTTTTGCTGAGATCTTAAGAACCCTAAGAGCTAAAATTTTGGAATAAAAATGTAGATTCCCCTATTTGTACGCAGCAGAAAAACAGAAAAATAAAAAAAGCTTTGTCCTAAATAACGTCGGTATCTTGAAAACTATAAAAGCTTCATTAAGCAATTTCCTCGCCCAAAAAACATCTGTAGTATTAATTCGCAGCAAAATTAGTTTTTAAAAATTTGCAGCGACCACTTTTACATACACAATCCGCCCCATTATTTAAAGGAACTTCAAAATCATGGAATCTTTAGGAGGTAAATACTAACTTGCGATGCCTAATCTAATTGTTCGTTTCAGTAACTGATATTTGACTGGAAACTGGTATAGTAGATATATGTAGGTCAAAAAAGATTCGTTTTTACCCAGACAGGAAACTTTTTGATCAATTTTTTAACATTTATACATATTATAAGAAATGATTGTCAGATCTCATGTACTTTACCAATCTTAACGTTCTTATTTAGAAGACTTAGTTGTAAAAATAGGTTTCGTTCGATTTCTAAAGAAATATATGCATACTTATTTAAAAAAAAAAAAATGTAAAGGGAGTGTCAAAATGAAAAGTAAAGTAAGGGATTTCTTGAAGTGATACTCATGAGAAAAGTGCTAGTAACTTGCATATTTAGCTTGTTGCATATGTTTTTAAAATGTTCAGCATGCATTTATACAAGTAAAAGTACGACTTTGAGTTGGTAATTTACAAAAACAGATTATTTTTGGTGTGTGTTTATGTTTAGGTTTCCATTTTATTAAAGATTCTATTAGCGAAAATGAATTATGACTGCATCAATCACTTTTAGACCATTTACTCTGAGTAGTTTAAATTGTCTATACAAAACCTCGACCAATTTTTTCTCTTAAAACTGAAAACTTTTTTTGGCATACATACATACCTGACGAGCACTGCGAGTTCCCTGTAATTTGCTGGCAAGTTTTTGCAGGACACAGTATCCTTAAATCTAAAACGCACATTTTGAATTTGCTTACAAATCAATGCTTTAAACAAATCAAGTTTTTGATTAAATAATCATCAAGGGTCTTTGTGATGTGATTAATGAAAACTATTTTCTATTTTTTAAGAAAACGGGATGCATGTTTGAAGCCTGCCAAGTGTGCAAGAAATGTTTATGAGCGAAGTAAATATAAAAAGATGAAATAGGGCTGCCTTTACAATATGTAGGAAAGCTCTTTCAAAGAATGCAACATATGCAGCCATTGCACACCCACGTGTCCATTTTATATAAAAGAACCCCAAAAAAAAAAATAGAACACGACTTTAAAAAATTTGGGATTTGGGAAAAAGAAGAATGACCTACATACATACTTACCAAGAAGTTTGTTTGTTTGTTCCCTTGAATTATTTTGGAGCGGACATTTAATTTCCTATTTACCTTAAGGACCCTGAATCCTACTTATATTAGTATTATGCAATCCTTAGCGGAAAGCAGTTTTCTATATATTAGCCTTACAGCAGGACTGAAACCATTTTTTTTTTTGTATCAATTACACTTCTTAAATGCAAAAAAAAAACAGCATTGTAAATTATGTGTGTTAATACATATCTCTCTCTCTCTCTTTTACAATTGCTAGGTCCCACAAGGACTAGCTTTTGTAATCCCGTTATCTTAAAATTAAGAAAACGATACGCATGTGTGTGTGCCAACCGCATGTACCCAGCGGGAAAGTGCGAAGGAGGTTTTAAGAGTACTGGAAAACCTGCTTCTTTTTTTATTACAAATAATAAAAACTGGATAGAGCAACATAAAGCTTTGTAGTTTTGTTTTAAATAAAGATAGGCTAACTTTTGTGAAAATTATTTCTGTTTTTACGAACAAGTCTGCAGAAACGTTAATGTACAGTTAAAATAACATCGTAAATAGAATAAAACGTTAATGTAATTACAGTAGTCCGTGTGTATTTTAGAGTTGCCAGAGTTTTAGAGTTTTGCGGCTTATAGCGTGGAAGCGTGCATTCCAAATTTTGTAAAGTTTCTTATATTTAGATATTTAAATTCTTTATATAGATTGTAGGTCTTTCCTATTACAGCTATATTACATAGTCGTCCGATCCCAGTCTTTAGGTTTATATACTAGGGACTTAGCTAGTTATAAACTGAGAGACTAGTTTCCGTAATATCAGACAGACGAACAGACTGGCATGTCAAAATAAAAAAAAAAAATTATGAAACCCTCTGCAATGCTATAACCAGTGTTATATGTATATAAAATTAAAATTACAACAATTTCTGATCCCTTAGCAGGTAATTCTCCATATATTTGTATTTTGTAAAAGTGAAGGTCCTTTAGATACATGCGCACATACATAGTAAAAAACAATGCTACGAAACAAACATATTATAGTCCCGGATTGAGGATGTATCTCATTTTGTATAACAATTATAAGTATAATTTATTAAACGACAAGACATTATACATATTTTTAAAATTAGTTTTTCTACTGTTGCCCTTAGCTCTTAGTAGGTTTTTTTATTTAGTTAAACTAAAAAAAATTAGTTTGTATTAAAAATGTATATATTTCAAGCTATATTCGAAGGCATTTCTGTTCAAGAGATTTTTAAATTAATGTTTTTCACTATATCGGTCGTATAATTTATATAGCAGCTACATTGTGACGTCACATATCTTGTACAGTAAACGATCTTTTTCTATTCATAAATTGTGATATATGTACATCATTCTAAAATATAAACTGTTGTTGGGATTTTATTTATAAAAATAGTAATTTAGATATTTTGCAAAGGTTGCTATCGCAAGTTGATCCACACGGTTAGTCAAATACGTCAAAGTAGAAAAAAAAAATGTGGTTTTCTAAAGATCTGTTTAAGTACAAATAAGTTAATAATATAGCGGTAACAGCGATATGGATCTATATATCATATTTTCGGTTTGTGGTTTTAGGGATTTAAGTTTCCGTTATTAGACTAAAAAAATACGTGGAATCTTAAATAGATGACCGTAAATGTTAATAATAATCCCATATGATTTTTTTAGATAAATATTTTTTAGATAAATATAACTCAAAATGTAAAAATAAGAATCTCCGAAGCCTATTTATGCAAAGAGTTTAGCTAAACGTTTAAAAAATCCAAAAGGACTTAATCCTTTTTCAGTTTTAAAAAGTTTTCCCTTTAGTTGTACAAAATTGTTTTACTGTTCCCTTGATTTAAAATGGTTTTCATAATATAACTACATTATTAACTGTTTACTACTCGGCTGACTCAAAAAACGACTTATAAAATTGTATTACACATACTTAAGTTCCTTATACCTAGGATTATATCATTATGATATATTGTTGCATTCAAGTTTCAATCCAAATGCAGAAGACTCAAAGCTGAAATAAAGATCAAAATAAAACTTTTGGAAAACAAAAGCAAACTTTTAAAGAAGAAGTTGATTTTTTAATATCGTTTAGGGTTGCACGCTGGCAAGAAAACTTGGTTCTACATATAAAAAGACATACGCAATTAAGTTTATAGTAAATAATTTGGCTGGCTGCCGAGCTTTTTATCGGAAAAAGGTCATGATGGTGAAAATGTGTGAAATATGTTGGTATGTAATGCTTCTTATAGAACTAAGCAAACAATAAACCTGGTTGTACCAACAAAAAAATGCATTTTGACATTTACCTTCAGGCTCTTTTGAAATGACTGTGGTACTGCGATCAACGATTCCTTTTTTATCTTCTAGGAGAAATAAAAACAAAATTTACAAAAATGTCTTGTTTAAAAATGCAAATGTTCCATTAGTTCCTACTGGTTTCCTACTCAGTTTGGTTTTTGATTAAAATGATTTAAATAAAACACAATATTGTGTTATTCTTAGGGATCTTTAAAGTAGCCGTGGTTAAGTTAAATCAAAATAAAAAAGGGAAAGAAAGCTAGCTGCGGCGATCCAAAGCTAATATACCCATGCTGTTAAAAGTTCTTTAAAACGTCAGACTTATTTTAATCCCTACCATTAATTATCCATGTCCAATTTTGAAGTACATATTTATTATTTTAGGGGCGACTAAAACGACTATTCTCTTTTAAAGTTTTTCAGGTTGATGTAATGTCAGCTGTATTATCATACAGACTATATCTAGTCTCCCGATTTTAATGAAATATGAATTCGTAATTCAAAAATCGATAGCCGAGATATCCTATGTTTCAAAAATCGTTGCCGTACGATAAAAGCAGTGCTGCTATATTTTCAATAATTTAGTTGACTCTCCTAGTTCGTAGTTTGTAAATTTAATATCCTCAAAATCATGCTTTTGTGATAAAAAACAATTTTAACATTAATTTTTAATTATACCCTTGGAAAGGGTTGCAAACTTCTGACTGAACCCCTTTGCAAGAGTATAAAAAACGCTAGGCCCTGAATTTTTAACATTTCTCTAACAAAGTAAAATCCCAGTTTATGTAAAATATTTTTTAGCTATGAAAATTAACCTATTCTTAGGTGTATTTTAGTAACCAATTCATTTTGGTATTTATAGAATCATATTGATAACAGAAATCGTGCAACAGTACATGAATTTAACTTTTATAAAAGGAATAAAAATAGAAAAATGTATCAAAGGTAAATCAAAATGTTGAATTCTAAAACATTTACAAAATTAAAATTTTGCTTAAAGATATTAAAGATGCTTTAATAAACTGTTGTCCTTAGTATATGTGGAGAAAAATAAAAAATTTTATTTGTATTTCTGAACTTACTTATTTAAAATTAAGTGTGGATGACATATTTAAAAAAGACATGCAAGCATAAGAAAAAAATGTGTTTTTTTTGGAACACAAAAAAAAATTAAACGAATAACAGAACGTAAATAACTCCATTTTTGCCCAACTACCAAAGTTAGAAGTTTTAATAAAATTCATGACTTTCGTCCTCTTATAAGCTTCATGTAAAATAATGAAAATGTATCTTTACGAATTGATTACAATACTTTAAATACTAAAATAGCCCAGTTCTATGTCTTGGTGAAAGGCTTAGGCGGTTGGACATGGTCCCTGTCTTATAATTAGTCTCGAGCAAAGATATTCAAATTGGCGAAATTTAAACTATATTAGTTTACTATAATACCAAATGTGAAATCTATTATTAATTCAAATATTTACCTTTTATATCATCGTCTTCAAGGGTGGTACTTGAAGAATCAGTAGACTCCTTAACTTGAGATCCATCGCCTTTTTTGGTAATCATACTTCTGCCTGTAAAATACAAAAGTAGATTTTCATTAAAAATACAAAAGGCTTTATTACTAAATCAATATTTATACATATTAACATTTCCTTTAACTCGTTTTATAGGCTTTTGATCAAAACCGTCATTGTATATACTGTAGTCTAGATTAATATGTAAAACAAGTCCTTTAAAAAACGGAAAGACATCAAATTAAACAAAAAATAAATAAAAACAAGAAAGGAAGCTAGCTTCGGCAGGCCGAATTTTTATTTTATTATTATTTTTTTTTAAAGATTTTTTTCTTCTAAATATTACTTACTCGAAAAATTTCTGGTGGCCAACATTGTCGTAAGTATTGCTCCCTTTAGTTTGCGGCGTGCATTAAACTTCTTCAGACAGTCTACGGTTTCTTGGCGGTGCACAACGGAAGCAACACGTTCTCTTTGCTGCAAGTACGGGTATAATATATATATTTTATATATATATAATATATTCCATATTTTCTTTTGTAATTACTTAATTTTTTGTCTCAACTTACACAAATCCATGGGTGTTTTAAAGCCTCGGAAGCTGTTATTCGTTTATTTGGATTTACCGTTAGCATTTGATTAATAAGGTTTTTCGCTTCTGGTGTGACCGTATCCCATTCTGGTGATGGGTACTAAAATAATATTGAAATAAAAACTTTTTGAAAAATAATACACCTAGATAAATCTTTTAAAATATCTTACATCATAAGCTCCTGCCTTAATCTGCGAGTATAATCGGTGTTGATCTTCATCCCAGAATGGTGGATAGCCGACAAGAAGAATGTAAAGAATAACTCCTGTGAAAAAAAAAACTGAATTAGTTGCTGAATTCAGTAGTTGACAGTAGATTGTCAAGCAATAAATACACTTAGTACAAAAATTATAGTTGCTTACCACATGCCCATATATCTACTGATTTGCCATAAGGCTCCTTTTTCAATACCTCTGGCGACAGATATCCTGGAGTGCCAGCAAATCCAAACCAAGCCTGATGATCGCCTTGAACTTCAATGGCTAGACCAAAGTCAGCGAGTTTCACTGCTGCACCCTTTGCCTTACTAGCTAATAGTAAATTCTCTGGTTTTAGATCTCGATGCACCACACCATTTTGGTGGCAGTGATTGACCGATTCCAATATTTGTTGAATACAATGTGATGCATCAGCCTCTGAATAAAATTCGCGTGCAACAATATCTTCGAAAAGTTCACCACCAGTTACACTGCAAATGTATGTATTGTATTGATCGTAAAATTTTGTGGATGGTTGCTTAATTTAATTTATGTACTATTTTGATTAACAAAAGCTTTAGAAACTCATTTATCATTAACAAGTGTTCATTTTTGTATTCATACATATGCATGAATAATCTGAGGGAAAAGGATGAAGTATGAATCTCAATAAACAATAGTCAAGTCATTGCAACATTTATGAGCGTTTGTTAGAAATTCATAACATAGACATTTTTTAAAATAGAAAACTGTAATATTTTAGAAAAACGTTTATGAATTTTATTGCTTACAGATCAAAAACAAGGTAGTGATAGTTTTCCTCCTGTATACTGTCATGCAATCGAACTGAAATAAAAAAGTTCAACAATAAATTATTTTTAGTAGGACCTCGAGGTTATCATTTTTTCTATTAGAGTATAATATATAAATTCTATGTAATATTATTAATATTTATTCTTGAGTTATTAAAATATTATAATTTATACATATAATATATATTTATAATATATAAAGTATGTATTTTAACTTGTTCAACTGTTGGAGTAGAACACATATCTATTTTAAAGTTTTTTTTTATTTTTATTTTCTATTACAACCAGACCCAATTCAGAGTGAAGCCTCATTCACGATTAGCACATCCCAAATACTAATAAAATGAGTTTTTTTCAGTTATAACCGATTCGAAATTTTTAGTGATAACCACTCATTCATCAAGAAAAACTGTAGTTAATATTTAAAAAAATTTTATTTATTTTAATTTTTCGAAATATATTTTATATTGGTTATTTATACTACCTTTTGAAAATGCAAATCATAACATACCTATATTAGGATGGTGTAGTTTTCTGCAGATCCTTGCTTCCCGTTCCAGTTTTTGAAAGTCTTGAAAGTATTTAAGATTAGGTTTAAAGTAAAATTAATAGGTTTGTATACCAGCAGTAAAGAAATGTGTTATAAGCAACGGAAATTTTCATTGAAACCCTTCTTTAAAAACATAGTATAAATATTAAAAGTTAAAATTTTTATGTAGTGAGGAAGATATCTCTGACCGAAGGAATAGTCAAAATTTTGATTTTGGACGCAATGGCTTCCCAAAAACAAACATTTTTTTGAATAATTTGTGAACACATGATGTGATACACAATGTACTAATGCAATGCAACAATTTATGACAATAGATACTAGATAACGCTGTGCTTCTTACCTCTTGCGGTCAATTTCTTTGTATTTATAATTTTTGCAGCAAATTCAAATCCAGTGGATTTTTGGACACATCTTTTTACTATTGAGAATGCCCCTCTACGATAAGAAAAAATTATTAATAATATTGAATGTATTCTTCAGTTTATTTTCACTTACTTTCCGAGCTCTTCTTTGATGTCGTAATTGTCCGAAAAACGCGTACAGGCTGCTGGTGCAGCCATCGCGATGGCACACTTAAGAAAATCTATTGCGACTGTAAATCCTTAACAAGTCTGCAGAAGTGGCTTCTTTGGAGTTATAACGTCTTCTTTCTGAATTTATTAAATATATATATAAAAATTTAGTTAGTAAAAGGTAAGGTTTGTGTCCTTACTGTACTGTTGTGTCCGTACAGTACTGAAATGTTCCTATATTTTTATGTACAAATATATGTACATAGTTGCATATGTTAGTTGCATAGTTATAAATTATAACTTATAATATACAAACTCACTGACTATCTTTTTCCTGCTTCTCAAAGTCTTGACTTTAAGTGACTAAAATTTGGGATGCATTTATATATGTTGCTTATGTTTACGATCAATAGAAGACAAACATTCACAGGTGCACAATATTTGGACTTAAAAGGATTCCAGATAGCAATTAAGGCCGGCGTTTTCCAGCTTTCATTAACGATAATCACATTAAGAAACCAAAATCTTCTCAGCTGTTACATTTAAATAACTTGCAACTTGAATTTTATTGAATATAATAAACAAAACAGTTTTTATACCAGTTATTTCTGAATTTGGTTAACCGACGCCGCTCTACACGAACTTCCATAGAGATGCTAGAGAGCAGTGCTGCCAACTTTTTTCCAGCAAAAAAGCTGTTTTTGACGGAAAGAATGGACAAAAAAGCTAAAAAAAATTGTTAAATATATGATTATATATAAAAAAAAAAAAAAAACATTTTTTGAACACATTTAGATGGACCAAACTATTAAATTTAAACTGTTAAAATTAAAATAATGGAAGTTATTAATTTGGGTATTTTTTCCACAGACTAAAATTTTATGTTACATGAAAATGATAAATGATGACAAAGGAAGAAAATCATGAAATCTGAGCCTAATACAGTACAGTACTCAGATAGACGAAAAATTTCAAGAATGTTAGGTTGGTTAGGCTTTTGAATCTTTATGAACAGAATTTAAAATTAAACTTTTTTAAGAACTTGCAATTGAGAAAACCCGTACAATTTTGTTAAATTGACTGCAGAGATTCAGTTCCCAAGGCAACACCCTCTTATATACTTTTTTAAAAAGAAAAATAAGCAACAATGTGCATTTGTAATTTAATTAATTAATTTCTTTGCACACAGGCAAATTCATTTTATCAAGGAAATTCAGAATATCGTATTTTACACTACCGTGTAGATATTCTCTTTTGTTTTTTCGGGTCTAGTCAGTTAGCAAATTGTTACATATGTATATACATATATCCTGCATCAAAGGTATATATTGAATCCCGTTAGTTAAATATGTTTATTAAATATTTGAAACAAAAATATGGTGATTGATAGTAGGACCATGTTACATATTCATAACAAAAACCAGGTGATCGAGAAAAATACTAGAATAGTGAAAGGCCTTGCCAACAATAAGAAATGAACAGCTGATGAACACTTGTTAGGTTCTAAAAACAAGATTAAAACAATCGTTTGTAGTTTGTGAAGGATTCAAGTTTTGGCGCTCAAAATAGATGGAAGTAATCACTAACTCCAAAGAATAGCCTGAAGGTACATATAATTTGTGGAGGATTGTCCAGTTATATGGGAAATGGCGGAAGAATTGCCATTAACGTCTCTGGTTTTCACCTTTTTTTGTTGTAAGTTTTCAAATTTATTTGAATTTCGTAAACACATGATTAATAGTCAACCCACAGTACATGCATTGCCGAGGAAATCGAAAAACTGGATCACACTGGAAGGTTTCAATTTTTTAGCATGGCAAACATGTTTTTCAATCAGCGTACCAGGAACTTAAATTGAACATACATATGTAGATGGTGGACAAATTTTGTCGGCGCTGTTTTGCAATATGGTACTAAAAAAAACTAAGGATGTCTCACGAAAAGGACTGAAATTCTATCCAGGTATTTTGCATCTATTAAATTTTTAAGCTTTATCATCAGCGGAAATAAACCAAACTCTCAAACTAAAATAACAAAACAGTTAATTTAAGCAAAAAATAAGACCATAAATTAAAGTATGTGAAGTGTTCTTATGTTACAGCTCATTAAACAGTTTCCCTTTATATATGTTTAAAAAATATGAAATATCAAAATGTGTGGTTTTTTTGCAATACCAAAAACACTGTTGGTAAAACCATATTCAAAAAGATTTTTTACTGAACGTACAGTTGCGATTGGAATTGTATTAATTTTAATAGAACACAATACACTATATACTCATGGCTTAAAAGTTCCGTTAGTTGTTCCTATAAGATAATACATTATTTGTTAACATCTTGCATTTTGAACTCGATTCTAAGCAACTAAAACAAATATGCTGGTTATGTTGTCCAGGGCTTAAAAATGAATTTTTAAGGTTTAAGGGAAGCTTGAAAGAAATGTGAGTTTGCTTGTACCGGACACTGCTTTGAGCTTTTGGTGCCAATCGATACAAATCTTCAGCTGAGAATAGTTCGCTTCCAAACAATTTATTTCTGTTAGGGTCCTACAAACAGTTTCTCGAGCACTAGTTAGGGTCCGAATTAGTATTCTGCCTGATAATGCCAGCAATTCATATAGGTTTTAGATGTACATTTCACATTTCACCTCACTTAGAAGCACTAATACACAATTAATGTGGTGTATAGTTCAAGTATATAGCTTCGATTATTAAAAAAGTTGATTTTTTCAGAAAAAAAAACCTCGTAGGCCATATGCTGATATGGTTTTAAATGAGTTTTTTATCGACTTGTCACTTTAATTTATTTTCTTTTAAAAGTATTTTATTTGGTTACTTAAGTAACTCACTTGATAGGTTAAAAACATTTTCTTTTACCAAAGAGTAGATAAAATCATATTAAATTGTAACAACTTCTAATAATTTTCTTTAATTTGAAGAAAAGCGACAGGTGGGTTTTCTTGATAATAATATTCCACTTCATCTTAAAATCTTGCCTAGGAGAATGTATCTGGGGACAGTGCCAGACATGTACATAAATATGTATCCTTTGGAGACTTTATATACTGGAGCTTTTTTTGATTGAGCTTAATGATAAAACGCCCCTCCCCATTTTACAAGGATATGCCTGTTTATTTAGTAAAACTTGTTGCAAATAATCTACCTTTGCAAAAAATATGAGTTTTTATGCCAGATACAAAACTATTTGCAGCAACTTTAAGAGCTTTATTATCAACGGACAACGGATAATATTGTATATATACAAGGCTGCCGTAAGACTGAATATATTATAAAATAAATTTTTTATTAACATAAAGATAAGCATAACCTTTTGATATAAAGATATAATAATACTTAATATTGCTATTGTGTAAATGTATGAGTACACACATATGCACATAAATGGATACATACAAATGTTGACTAAAGGACCTACAAAGCTTGGAGGAATGTACTTTTTAACTTAATTAAACCTGGTGCACCCTTTTGTATGCGCAAAATTGCTTTACTACACATACCTATGTATGTAGTGCACAATTATGTACATAAAAAATAAAAAATTAAATCGAAAAAGAATCTTTTTGAATCATTGTTGACCCAGAATTGTATCTGAAGATTAATATACTGGTGTAGATATGTGTTTATGCACATATATATATATATATATATATCTATCTAATATATATATATAAAATGTATATATATATATATATAAATGTATATGTATATATACATATGTGTAAATAATATTTTTATCAATGGTATACCTATTTTATTTGTCAATATACGCAATCACCAAAATCAATGTTTTCAACGATTTTGCATCCCAAGAGATATGTCTGAATTTTTCGATATCTTTTGGAATGACAATATGGTAAATTAAAGTTCCGAAATACACATAAAAATATCTATATATAAGTATATATATATATATGTTTTTAACGAACTGGGAGAACACGACGCGTTCGACTCAGATATAGAAATTTTTAGAACGTCTGTTTGCTTGAAAATCGAATTCAATACTGACTAACAAGATTTTGCGGTCGCGTTTGATTCGATGAAGTCCCGAAACGAAAAGCTTTTTGCCGACTTTTCTCAGACTGTCGTTCGATAAAAACTCATGCTCACGAATGCCTTATTCGATGTAGACCATGCCCAGGAGTCTGCGCACTGAAATGAACGTGTATCAGTATCCCGAACTATCTCAACATTGGACAATAATTTGGTTGCACGAAGTATGTTTAACAACAATGCTCTAATAGATTGTTTACAAATGCTATTGCATTTATATTACTTCAATAAATCTATTCGCACTTTGCTAACCTGGTTGGCAATCATTGAAATAAAATAATCATCTTGTTTTTTTAACAAAACTATATTACTTTGCTTTTCCCGCTTGCCTATTCTTGAAAAAAAAGTAGAAACAACAATAAAACAAAACGTTTAAGAACTGAGGGCCGGCTGTATACAAAATAGGAATTTAAAAACAAAAACTGATGTAAAATTTAATTTTATATTTGGTGTTTCTACTATGACTGGTACTAATAAAAAAGTTGTTAAAGGACAACAAGAAAGGAATATAGCCTTCGAAAGCGGAAGCTTACATATATACCCTTGAAGTTAAATGTCGAACCATTAATACTATTGTATTTATCATACAAACATACTTACAATGTTTGCTATTAGGTAAACTAAATGAAACACCCCAAGTTCTATATGTTGAAAACAAAAGTTATTTTTTTTTGTGGTAGGAACCACAAGACAAAAAGACTGTGTGATATCATTAGACAGATAAACAACTTTTATGGGCGTGACTACTTTTTGAAAACTTTTGCTGCGAACTTATCACTAAAATCATCTACTAGTTAAGTCCCAAATTCCTCGACTTGTTGGTGTTTTTACCCATTTTGCAGAGTATATATATTTTTTGGTTTGATTTGAATTTGTTTACCTTTTTTTGTGAGAAGCTGAAAACTTAAAAAAATTCACAATGTCCAAATAGTTTTAAATACATTTGGTCCCAAGGAAAGGGGTACCATCATAAGGCAGCCTTCTTTTTTCTAACTCAATTTAATGAACTAGCGGATTTGATTGAAATCAATACCTCATTGCTCCCTTTGTTTCAGAGTGTTACGGAGCCGCAGTTAAAGTGGACAAATTACTTAACATTGGGAGTCCTTTCTCAACCAAGCCATCTGGCTGTTGGAAAATTTGCAATGAGCTCATGTATTCAGCAAGCCTTTTGGAAAAGGTTCAGGATGTAAATATATAATTTTTCAAAAAATTGTCTTCAACATATATTTCGATTTTTATATATGGTATAATCAATATAGTCAGCCGATCCGGCCCGTTCAGCAAGATGGGGGCTGAGGTGTCTCCTTCACTGACTGAAGTTCTAATATCCTTTGCTCCGCAAGGGTATAACATATAACATATTTCCAACCCGTTACCCTTTAAAAAGGACGCCATAGTTATGTTAATGAAATTCTAAGATGCTATGCGTTTTTTTTTTACCAAAACTCTAAAACTACATGATTATCTTTAAATACATATTTGAATATTAAAAAAAGTTAATATGCAGAATATGTGTGTTGTTCGCTAATTAAGTTTCCGATGTCATGCGGTTTGTCAGGGCCTGAACACGTTGGGCATTGCAGCTTTTGCACAGAACGTGATCATCTAAGGGATAACATCCGCGTCCTTCAGCTTCTGATGACAGTAAGAGCCCGCAGTCCTATTATTTCAAATAAATATTTTCAATATAAATATTATTTCAATATAAATATAAATATGTTCAAAAGTTAGAACATGTATTGTTTGCTTTGTAGAACAAAAAATATAAGGTTACCTCGCATTTATAGCACTCTAGATGAAAACTTCGATCTAATGCCACCACTCTGATCGTTTCTTCTTGTCCTGGATCTGGCATAATTGGTTGCTTGCAGACACAACACCGAGGAGCAAATTTTCTTCGATTTAAAACAATTAGTATAAGGCCGCAACAACCAACTTATTTACTTACTTATGAAAATCTGTAATGCAATAGTTTTGATTAGTGGCATCTACTGTAAATAGTAACCCATCTAGGCTTTTACCACACACAATGCATGTGAAGCATTGTGGATGGTAGGGCTTGCCAGTAGCTCTGAGAATTCTCTCCAAAATAGGCTCCATGCAAACTGAGCATTTTTCAAGTGTTTGCAAATAATCAAATTCACAATATGGCTTGTTCTCTAACGCATAAAATGGTTTGCCCTGCAAGTTAATTTGGCATTCCGTGCATGTAAAGCATGATATGTGGTATATTTGATCCATAGCCGTACACCCACTGCTTTCTCCAAGGACACGAGATTTGCATTTAACGCACCTACCTAAAAACAGAATATTAACATTTTTATTGAAACGTATTTGTATATACTATTAACTTACCATAGTTTTCAAGTTCTTGTATTGATTCAGGAGCTATTGAGATGTAGTTACTTAGACCTTGCCCTGTATTTTTTTGAGTGCTTTCTGTGAAACAATCTGCTTTACCGAGAGCATATAACGACTTGCTTGCCTCGATGGGATTCATAATACTCAAATTTGAAGAAGTTCTTGGCATAATATTATCGTTAGCGTATGAACCATATGGGTTACAACTTTCTCGAGGCATCATATCTCCGGCAGGGCGAGGGTTGATGGGCTCATATATGGAATCATAAGTAGAAGAGCTCTGTAATAAAAAACACATGGAACATATTATGGTTTTCGGCACTTAACTACTTTTCCTAAATTCCTCCGAAACTCTGACGAGCATGATTATAAAATATAGAGCTCATATAGTTCACAGACAGGCGTACTTATAGATTGACTTAATTTTCAAAAATTTTTAATTTCCGAGATCTCGACGTTCCTACGGACGAACAGACGTATATATATATACTTTACAGGGTCGTATGTGCTACATATACTCTATTTCAACAAATGCAGTTTACCTTTTACTCTATGAGTTCCGGGAAGAAATTTGTATGTCAGAACTAACCAACACTAATTCTAAAATTCTGGTAATAATATTCACTTTTGATGAGCCCATTATAATTAGATCATCACGAACAGAGAGATGTTGATAGTCCTGCTGAATGTTGTAAATGGAAGCCAGAGAATAGGCACCATAGGAGGGAATGAACGACGCCACGATAAGCACTGTAACCGAAACTTGGTCAAAAGGTAGTCTTTATGCAGAAGACTAATCAATAAGAAGCGACGAAGAGTCTCTTCTCTTTACAAAACATTTAAATAATTTGTAGTCGAAGGACTCTGACCGGTCATGCCCTCTGACACAAGCCCAGCATTTGATAATTAGTTAGCTAAGCACCACCAAAAGCTGCAGACAAATCACAGAAGCTCAATAAACTCGCTAAAAGATATTCAAAACCAGATTTTAACTGAAACTGTTTCGTCCAACTCGGAATAACGTGATTACTTGTTTGGAAGACTGATTTCAAGTCGTTTATTGATCGGTAAAAAATAGTTCTCGAGCCGAAGATAAAAGTCTTCGCACTCTACAAAGAGAGATACAAGTTCTGCATTTCGCGAAAAGGAAAATTAACAAAGCTGATAAGGACGTCCAAATGGTTGAAGTGTTTTTCTGCCCACAGCCTTTGCAAACTCAATTAAAAAGTTTTGTCATTGTACAATGCGAAAAAGGTTTGAGAATTCGTGCTAAAAAAAATGTAATCCAAGGCATTGAGGCATTATTAATATCTGAAAATAATAGAAAACTCAACAAGTAAAAAAAAAAAAATTTAAGGAAATTCCCAGCTTAGTTTTTTTAATGACGTTATAGAAGTATTCTATACCTTAATTGTTGCACTATTTCGCAGCGCATACTGATTAGCATATATTTGTAATAAAGAACTTGGTACTTCTTTATTTTGCACAGAATCAATTTGTTTGTTAAAGGCGCTAGTCGAGGCTCGTCGAAGCTCGCTATATGAAGAGCTCACAGCGCTTTCGGGGCTAGGAGGTGGCGGAACGTCGTCCTCTACATTGTTCTCTAAAGATAAGTTAGTGCAGACGGAAAGCATCTGTTGAGGCGAACTCAAGGTAGGACGAAAATGTTTGACATCTACATAAATTTATTATTAGTTCATTTTCGAATGTCTTAATTAATGTTTACGTACCTTTATGAATGCTTAAATAGGTATTTCTTGAATCCTTCGGGAAAAGTTTCGAGTTCTCTGTATTGTTAGGCATGGTCTCTAAGAAGCTGATCGCAGATTTTTCAGGCTGGCTCTGTACTCCTAAAAGACCTTTTTTTTCCATTTGAAGTTTGTGGTAGGCCAGAGCTTCTAATTGTTGTTCTAGTATTGCTGGATTGTCCAATGTGGTTTTATTATTCATTTGAATTTCAGACTTTTCCCAATCAGTACTGGCGGGCTTCCTAAGGGGAATTGGCCCATTTATTGTCTTATCCACTCCCATTAAGGGCTGGGAATATAGAGGTTCCCGTGAACAAGAAACCTGCTTACTTGATGGAACCTGTAACCAATATATATATTAATAGTAAAATGTTATTCTAAACAATAATAACTGATTTATCTAAATTAAATACTGAATCGAAGCGTTATACGTGTCTGTGTATTATCAGTTTCATTGAAGTGCTCTTTGGTAAACCACATTTTTTGTTCTTGGTCTGAACGCATGGCGAACTGGAAAGTTCCATCGTTTGAAGTCAAACGGAAGATCAGTCGGAATCATTGGTATTCCAGGAATACAAACATTTTCACCTGCGCACTTCCCGTTAATAATGTCCTGTTAACTTTTGGAAATTAACTGTAACAATTAGATCATTTGTTCTCTTACGTTGACAGTGCTTGCCACGTGTTCTTCTACTATTTGATTTAATCGACGGAATAGGGATGCTCGGAATAGGATGATCATGATGGAATTGCAGAACCTAATGCTCGCGATGGCACTTGCAAAACAGACATATCGTCTGTTGCGTCCGTTAAGATCTTACAATCCATTAAAACTTTGCATTCAATTATCAAACTTCCTAAAATCAAGTCAGTCTGTAATAAAATCACTATTATTTCCGTATCGTATCTTGACACGAAGCTCAGGCTAATAGGTAACATAGTGGAGGAATGCAATGGGGTATTCCACACGGTAAAGAATTTCTCCATAACACCAGGGGCTACATTTTGCCAGCTGGCGCTAAAAAGACGTGAGCCCAGGAGCTCCACGCTGAAAGCACCGGACATTGCGAGATCTAGCAAAGCGATCTGCATCCCGTTACCTACGTTGACGAAACTCGATTTGTCAATCATGACACAACCCGGAAAAGGGCTCCAGGAGTAGCCGATTCGCCCAACATGAACATCACAATAGAACAACATCCTTAGCCTTCCATACCTTCGCCGTTTGAGTGAGCGCAACTTGAAACATATTTAAAAGGTTTGGGGAGAATGTCAACCACTATCGGTCACATCAGATGGTGCAAATTGCAGGAGCAATATGTTGCGCGTTGATCTGCGTTGGCTTGACCTATCGCGAAGTCACCCAAGGCAGGAGATCTGCGGTCCAACTAAGAGAGCTGATCTCCCAAATAGGGTCGGCCGAGGGCGGGTCAAGATTTCGACCATCGGAAAATGGAAAATTTTGAATGGGGTTGTACCAAGGATGCGATTACAAACGTTTCGAGGTATGCCTCTTTGGAATCAGAGTGAAATTGACAAAGTTATGGGTTCTGGAAGTCAGGTTTTGGGTAACTAAATTGAAAACTATCGGACACTTGGAAAAATCTGACTCGAACAGGTTTCCTTTGTTTCCCAGCTATATTTTTAAGTAAATTAATACATTAGTACGTAAGTTAAGGTGTGCATAGGTACCTGCGGCATTTCGAAATTTTTCTTCGACGGCTTTGGAGGTACAGATGGAGCAATTTTTTTATTCAGAGATTCGCATTGTTTTTGTCGTAGTTTTCCGACCAACTCTGAAACTTTTCCATGGTCGATGCATCCATACGCCGAACTAGTATGTTTCTCATCTTTTAAAACCAAGAACTCTTTTAGTTGCTCATCCAAGGACTCCATTGCAACTATCAACAAAAACATAACAAATATATATACTAAAAAATATACTAATACTAATTATAATATTCTGTCTTACCTATGTTATGGTCGATTTTTTCACGCCTCTAACGCTTTCTTTCGTGCGTATACTGTCTTGAATATATACAAATATCAACACACCATGAAATTATCGATCAATACTATGACTGTCACAAAACGTTCGTGAAATAGCGTGTATTTTAGAACGGTGGAAAGGAACACGAAGGTTTTAATATCTAGTTCTATCTATCTATCTATATACAATTTCATTAAAATATTATACACAGTTAACGGCTTTTCGCTTTTTTAAATTTCAGAAAATAAATTTTTTTTTGAAATTTTTATGGTTTCCTCCCTTACGTTTTTTGCAAAATCGGATTTTCCATTTTTTTCGCACCTTTTTTTGGTAAAACCTGCATAAAATGGCCAAAAATTTGTGAGGTCATCTCCCCACTCAAAACTGTTTCTCCGGCCCTGCATATAGAGTATATCGAAGAAAAACGAATAGAAATCCCGCCTTTACCACGGCCCAATTAAATCAGTTTATATTTAAATAGATAGATAGTAACTCTCCCAAATACTTCCCAAGTTAAGCATTTTCCAACTTAATGTAACAACTACTTAAATAATTATGATATATCTTTTCAGATTGGTACTTACTCAGTTAGCTCCTTGATCTGCACTGCAATCTTTCGTCTTCTTGAAGTAAGATAATCACCGCAACCACTTTATTCGCAACATTTACACTTAACACTTTACCCTGAAATTAAATAAAAAAACAAACAAAATATAATAAATAATTTGTTACAAATAATAATAGTTAGAATTATTTTGTTAGTAAAAAAGGTATTTACCTCTTTGGGTTTTTTATTCACTGCATCTTGAAGTTCACTCCAAGAAGAAAGGAATAGTCATCACCTGTAATGAAAAGAAAATTTGAAAATATGTATTAGTTTAATTATTTTATACAAATCGATTGTTTAAAAAAATACATACCCCAATGAGGTGATGCACTGCATCCTGGAGTGGAGTTCAATAAGATAACCACTGCAACCACTTTATCCGCAACATGTACACTTTACACTTTACCCTGAAATTAAATAAGAAAAAAAAAATAATAAATAATTTGTAACAAATAGTAATAGTTAGAATAAATTTGTTAGTAAAAAGGTATTTACCTCTTTGGGTTATTGATTCACTGCATCTTGAAGTACACTCCAAGTAGAAAGGTATAGTCATCACCTGGTATGAAAAGAAGCATTCCAAAATATTAGTTAAATTATTTTATACAAATCGGTTGTTTAAAAAATACATACCCCAATGAGGTGATGCACTGCATCCTGGAGTGGAGTTCAATAGAAGATCACGCCATTCATAATTGATCCTGCAGCCTGTTGTCCAGTCCATTTTTGTGGTGTCAGCATACTATATATCTCCGGTAACCGCATTCTTACAACTATTCTTACTATATATATTTATATTATATGTCCCTACTTGTTTACAATTATTAATTGTGTTTGATTTTCATGTACTTCAAGTTCAATATTTGATAAAATTTACTTTTAAAATTTCTTTCATGTTCTTTAAAACTTTCAGATCTGTTGCTTTTAGTTTCTTTGTCAAAATATATATGATTTCTTAAAATATATAACTTAATTATTTATTGTCTAAAGGATGTACTCACTGCGTAATAACCTTGGTGCAGTGCATCCTGATGTCGAACTTAAAGTTACAAGTTGGATGGTGTCACCAATTATTTTCTGCAATCATCCAAATACACAACCAAAAACCTGAAAAAAATATAAAAAAAAATTGAATTAATTAACTGCATTTTTTTTTACAAAAGCCACGTCATCACATAATTAAAAAAAAACTGCAACTCACCTTTTCCGGTTTGGATGCCCTGCATTCTGGAGTCCACTACATGCAGGAAGGGATCGGGCACCTTTAAGTTCATGCCAAGTCAGGTCATGATGCAGTGCATCCTAGGAGGAGTCGACCCATGGTCCACTGCATCCGGGAGTGGACTCCAGTAGGAGGAGTCGACCCAAGATGCACTGCATCCGGGAGTGGACTCCAGTAGGAGGAGTCGACCCATGATGCACTGCATCCGGGAGTGGACTCCAGTAGGAGGAGTCGACCCATGGTGCACTGCATCCGGGAGTGGACTCCAGTAGGAGGAGGAGTTGGCCAGATACTCTCTCCCACTCTGGAACCACGACACTAACACACACGCACACACACACACTTCCAGAGACCGGAAAAAGTTTCTTAGAGAAACTGCCGGTCATCCCGGAGAAATGAGAAATTGGCCAAAATCAAGGGGTATCCCACTACGAATCTGCCAGAACCACTTGGGAATTATATTTTAACATTAAATTAACATTATATTAATATTAAATGGATTTTAATTAACATTTTACATTTAAAATAGTTTTTTTACCTGTTGCATTTTGATTGATTGGTGTTGTTGTCCGTTTTTTTCGTCCGGATATCCGTCGAGGTATCTGAAATCTATAAAACTTAGAATATTGGAATTTATATGTAAATTCCTGTTATAAGGAACACTTTTGTATAAAGAACACTTTTGAATAGGGCCACAGACCCAAAGAAATTTAAAACGAGTGGAGGTTCAAAAGATTTGCCGGTACGAAAATTATTTGTCTCATACGATACTGAAATGTATGTTTTTGTCAACCTTATAATCATTGTGTTTTCCCAGGAAACCATGGAAAAATTAGTTACAGCAAGTTATAGCTTTCCACTGGGATGATAACATTTTTTAAGAATACGAGCACTCATACAGATGTGCATGGGTTTATACTTAATAACAGATCCTATTTTTCAAATCTTTTTGGTTGTATAAATTCAGCAGCTACATGCATATGTTAATTTGTGATTTTCTTGATCTTAACTAACCAAAAGGAAATCATCATTATAAAAGTAACATTCTTTCGAACTGTAATTTTTTCTGTCTACATACAGCCAGTAATTTTGCGTGCCTATCGAGCAGGGGTTTGCTTTCAAGCCACATTTAGAGATTAAAGTTCTTATCAGGCATTAACTGCAATTCATGACTTATAAAGCATCTTTATCAAATGTTCGGGGTTCGCTTTCAAACATACTTATATGTATATTTTCAAACTACATAAACAATAAAATATGTATTTAATTTATATATGCATAAATATTAAATATTTTTTGATTAATATAATAACAATATATTTTATATATGTGTACGTGCATATATATAAATACATACCAGCTATCCGAAAATGTAGGTCAATAAAAAAAAATTTAACATAAAATACAATGTGTTACATATTTACTTTGCTTATGCAGAGTAATATATTTTTAAATTAAATGTTTGTACATAGATTACTACAGGTACTTGTCTGAAAAACACAACGGAAATTTCTTCTTTGCACTAAAAGTTTTACAACGATGACAACATATTAAACAGAACAATATTAAATCATGAACACAATATATACATTGTACACATGGGTCTATAGATTAAGTCTATGTACTATAATAATTTTCATATACACAAATGAGCGAGAGAAAGTTCTAAGCTGGGATCGAAAGTGTCGAAGTCCGATGATTACGAGATAACACCAAGTACTTGGCTCCAGTCTCAGCACCCTTCGCTAGTGATAAAGAATTGTTCGCTCACATTTCTTTTGTTGTGTGTTTATTTACATGGCATACTATTAAATATATTTAAATACCATGTACCGCGACTATGTACTATATGTTCGTACATATGTGTACTCAATGTGTGAGTTCTTGAATTATTCGAGGTATTTAAAGTGAGTGTTTTCACTTATTCCTGCTTAATTCGTAGTCGGCGGTCATCATATTCGTAACGAGTTCAATTTGCGGTCGGTTTACATAGTTATCAGTAAAAAAAATAGAGTGAATAACTACCAGTGCTGTTGAGGTAAAATTGGAAATTTTGCACTAGACAAAAAATTATTTGCCAAGGTTTTTACGAATTGTGTTGTTCGCTTTTCCTAGGAAATCCCTAAGGGGCCAACGCAATGGCTAAACTAAAGCACAATTGCGTTTTTATTGGAATCCTTTTGTATGTGTTATTAATTGAAGCTGCTAATGCCGGTAAGTTTTATAGTATGTAAATACGACCGGAAGCAAATACGGATATATTACACTGTGCGACAAAAAAATGTTTAAGTTGATTTTTTCTTATTTTTCACTTCTACTAGTCAAAATAAGAATATAAGTTTTTGGATTTGTTAATATCAATAGCCAATCAGCTTCTACGCACACTCAAATGTCCCAAAAACGCGTGTTTTTGCATATTTCACAGCCTTATAATCACATATTGGGAAAATATTTTTTCACTGTTATAAGCGTTTTATGCAAGTTCAATATCTATTAATTAAAATATATTAATATACCGTTAGGCTTTTATAAAAATGCTTTAAAATTTTTTTAACCCAGCTCTATACTCTTGGCGACTACGTATGGAACTTGTAACGCGAGGATACCTTTAAAAAAGCCAAAAAAAATCAGGAAAAAACGTCACTTTTAAAAAAAATAATAGTTTATTGAAAGTACAAAAAAAAAAAAAAAAATTTTGTGTTAATTATTTTCATAATAATAATTTCATAAAATTTATCATAAAAAAAGAAATCCTATCACTTAGAAGGTGGCATAGATATTTTTGTGCATAATTTATGCATCTTAACCGAAAACAATCAAAAAAGTAACTTAAACAAACATTTCGTTAAATTTTGTCGCACAGTGTTATATATATATATACATATATATATATACTTAAATCTTGATTTTGATCGACAAGAATAAAAATTGACTATTAAAGTTAGAGCTAAGTCCTGTGGAAAGTCGAACTTTTTACTATCTTTTATAACATAGTTGTTCCAATAAGCATTTTGTTGTATATTAATTTAATCGGAGAGTCTTTACCACAATACTGGTTGCTATTGGAGATATTATTTATTTTTTTCGTAGAATATTAACTTCTTGTACAAAACTTAATTTTTTATTAAAAAACAAGAAGGCAAGCTAGCTTTGGCAAACCGTAGCTTATATACCCTTGCAGTCATCAAATAAGTCAAACAAAAAACATAAAAGCTAAACAACATCGAAGCTTTGACAATTTTTCTATTAATTTTCCATATTTTCGACTATTGTTCATACGACAGCTATATGATATAGTTGTCCGATTTTGATAAAATTTAATTTGCAATTCAAGAGTCGATAGTCTGTCTTGTCTGATTAAAAAAAATCGATGTTAAAATTTTATTTCCGTTATTTCTGTATAGATTTTTCGATCTTTCCTATGGAAGCTATATGATAACGCTGTCGGATTTTAATGAAATTTTTTTCTCGATTCAAGGGTTATTAAAAAACTCAATATTTTGAAAATAATGCTCTTGGCCTTTAAAACAACGACGTTATAATTTATTTTTCCATTATTTATTGTTTTTTTTTGTTTTGATCTTTCCTATGAGAGCTATATGATACAGTTTAATCCTAAATTCAATAGTAGTTAGAAAACGCCACTTGGAAGACCTATTTCGATTCTGAAGTTTTTATAAAATTTTATTTGCGAATCAGGGATAGTTAAGAAACTCGATTTTCCAAAATTCATGTCCTTGGGACAAAAAACAACGTCAGTATATTTTTTTTCCATAATTTATATATATATTTTTCGATCATTCCTTTGGCAGGTAAATGATAAATTATTCCGATTTTGATAAAATTTGATTCGATTTTTCAATCTCTCTTATGGCTATCCGATATAGTCGGATATAGTCACTGCTTTGCAAACTTCTGGCCTAATTTATAATACCCTTTGCTCTGCAAGGGTAAAACAACGGAGTAATTATTATTATTAGGTGGCACTACAACCCGATTCGGGGTTTGGCTGGCCTCAGCGCCTCCATCCAGGCGCCTCTGCTCTTCCAATCGGAAATACCCAGTGAAGTCAGGTTCTCTCTCAGTATGGGAGATGGGAGGAATGAGCTTAAAAGATAGACTTTGATTTAATGCCACATAAAGATATTTAAACAACTAAATACTTAAAATGTATGTCTTTTTTATTTTTGACACAGAAAACATTTGCAATGCAGGATGCCCAACATGTAAGTGCCGAAAAATACAAAAATTAATTTTTTCTTATTAGTTGATGTTGATGATGATTTTTATAGCTGATAATGGACTATTAAAATACACTCCTGGAAACTTCTATGAATACTCCTTTGACAGTATTTTAACTGTTGGGTTGAGTAGCGGTGTTCTAAGTGAGTCTGATGATACCAGTCTCAAAGTAACCGGATCCGCCAAAGTTTTTTCGAAAGGAAACTGTGGATACACGTTACAGCTTAGTGCTGTAAAAGTATCAAATACAAAAGAGTCTGTTGAGAAGAAAATTTTGAACAGCATCCAGAAACCTGTGCATTTTACACTAGTAAGCGGAATTTTGGATCCACAAATTTGCTCGGACCCCAGCGACTCAAATTACTCTCTGAACATAAAGCGTGCGTTTGTTTCATTGCTGCAGTCAGGAGAAAAGGCGGAAAATGAGGTTGATGTGTTTGGCCAGTGCCCTACGCATACCTCAACGTCTAATGTTGGCAATGCGAACATTATTACAAAGGTGCGCAATTTAAACAGCTGTACACACCGCGAGCAGATCAACAGTGGGCTGGTGTTCGGAAGGGTAAATGAAAAGGCCGGTGTCAAGTCAAATCTGCTTCTGCAGGCAAATTACATAAAGGAGTCGAGGATTGTGAACAGTCTTATTGAAAATGTTCAGTTGACAGAAACATACAAGTTCATTGGAACTACCAAAGGAAATTCGGATGTCAATGCAAAGGTGGTCACAACAATTACTCTTAAAAATCCAACTGGAAGCAATGCAACGCCGCCGTCAACCGGATCCACTGTTAAAAGCGTTATATTCCAAAACCCAGAAACATACTCTGCAAAAAATATTAACGCGCTAAAAGCAGTATTATCTGATTTAGTGGACTCAACTGGCGATTATGTGAAAAAAGAAAGCGCCAAAAAGTTTGTGGAGTTCATAAGGTTGCTCCGTCAATCGGATAGTGATACTCTATTGGAACTGGCTGCATTTCCACACCCAAACAAAGTCTTGGCGCGCAAGGTATATTTGGATGGCCTTTTCCGAACCAGCACCGCTGAGTCAGCTAGAGTTATTTTGAAACAGCTTGCTAAGTTTAATGATAAGGAGAAGTTACTGGCAATACTATCCCTAAACTTAGTCAAAAATGTTGACAAAGAAACTCTTAATCAAGCGGCTGCTCAGCTGTCACCCAGCGCGCCTAAGGAACTCTACCTATCTGTTGGTAGCTTGGTTTCTAAATTTTGTGCAGGAAAGAATTGTCAGGGACCAGAATTCGAGGCTATTTCTAAAAAATTCTCGGATGGCCTTAAGCACTGCAAGCCAAACACTAAAAAGGAAGAAGAGCGCATTGTATATATTTTAAAGGGAATAGGAAACGCAAAGAGCTTGGGTGGCAATACGGCTGCTTCCCTCAGTGAGTGTGCCTCTACAGGCCGAGCCAATCGGATACGCGTAGCAGCCTTGCAGGCGTTTTCAACTGTGGAATGCGATAAGACACTACAAACCAAATCGCTGGAATTACTTAAGAACCATAACGAAGATTCTGAGTTACGAATTGAAGCTTATCTTGCGGCAATATCGTGTCCCAATGCAGAGGTAGCTAACCAAATTGCAGAAATAGTTAATTCGGAGACCGTTAACCAGGTCGGTGGCTTCATTTCATCGAATTTAAAAGCCATCAGGGATTCGACAGATGCCGCACGTGAGAACCAAAGGTACCATTTGGCCAACATTCGAGTGACTAAAAAATTCCCAACGGACTACAGACGCTATAGTTTCAACAATGAGGTTTCCTACAAAATTGATCATCTTGGCATTGGAGCGAGCTCGGATTACAAATTAATATATTCGCAACATGGTTTCTTGCCCAGATCATCTCGTCTCAATGTAACTACTGAAATTTTTGGCACTAATTTTAACGTATTTGAGGCAAGCCTTCGGCAAGAAAATGTTGAGAATGTTTTGGAATACTATCTGGGGCCTAAAGGTTTGCTAAACAAAGACTTTGACGAAATTGTAAAGCTTATTGAAGGTGGAAACAACGGAGCTGCTGGACCTGCTGGTGGTCGAGCAAGACGCTCGGTTATTGACGATGCTGCAAAGACTTCAAAGAAATATAAAACGTATGGAAGTAAAAATGACCACGATATTAATTTGGATATATCATTAAAACTTTTTGGTTCAGAATTAGCGTTTTTGAGCCTTGGTGATAACATACCGGGCACATTGGATGACATTATAAATTACTTCTCAGTTTCGTTTGAAAATGCCAAACAAAAATTATCTTCATTTGAACAACAATTTTCCGGTCACTACCTATTTCTTGATACAGACCTCGCATATCCAACTAGCATTGGAGTACCTCTAGAGCTCGTAGCTCAGGGCTTTGCAGCTACCAAACTTGATCTGGCTGTAAATCTTGACATCAATGCAATTCTGGAACAGAACTGGCAGAAAGCAAAATATAGGTTGAAAGTGGTCCCTAGTGTTGATGTCATCGTTAACCTTCAAGTAGGATTCAATGCCCAAGTGTTGTCCACTGGCCTCCGTGTGGTATCAACTGCACACTCTGCGACAGGCAACGATGTAACCGTGTCAGTTATTAAGGATGGTGATGGTTTCAATGCCGATATCGAGCTGCCTCGTGAAAAACTTGAGCTGGTTAATATTAAAATCGAGACAGAACTGTATGTGGCCGAGCAAGATAAGCAGAGAGCAGTTGCCCTGAAGGGAAACAAGAAAAATAAGAATTCCCCACCCACCGAGATGTGCTTTAGTCAACTGGAATTCATTGGCTTAAATATATGCCTTGAGAGTTCGACGAGCTTAAGTGAACTTCAAACTGGCAATGAAAGAGAAGTAGCTGTTGCAGACCAATTTCATTTCTCTAAACCATTTATTTTCGCCATACACCTTAAGGCCGAACGCAAATTTACATTCTCCGGAATTCATACAAATGAGCCTTCCGGCAGCCAGAAGTGGAAGTTAGACTATTCCACTCCTGGGTCAAAAGTTTCTCATGATACAAGTGTTGGTTTCGAACTGGGATCTAAGCCAAAATCCTTTGCAAGATTATATTTCGACAATTCTCAATACCACTTTGCAGTCGAAGCTGGAATAAACAATGACAATAAAGAATTAGTTTTATACGGTCAATACGAACAAAATAAAGACATTAAAAAAAGTAAAATTGGCCTCAGCAAGAATGGAAATGTATATCAACCTTTAATCCAAATACAGGACAATAATGGCATCTCAAACAGTTTAAATGGGTATCGAGCTGATGGAAAAATCACGGTTCAAAAAATCGGTGATAAACTAGAAAGATATAACTTTGATAACTTCCAAGTTTCTAACGCGAATAACGACCGCATAGTTGTCAATGGGTGGACAGATGTTGGTCAAAGTTCTTTTAATTCTGAGCTTCGTATCGCGTCGGACCAACAATCGTTTTTGATAAAGGGAAATATTAAAGTTGAAAATGGTCAGTATGCCGCAGGTTTCTTTATAAATGACGAAAAAACTCCAGAAAATATCTATGGCAGCTCCGTACACTTAACAGTCGCTGACCAGTCGTATGCTCTTAAGGCAAATGGCAAAGCTGCTTCTTGGGCAATTAGCAGTGATATTGGATTTGATTTCCAAAAGGATAGTAACTCCAAATTACGTACAGGATCATATGCGCAAAGTATAGAGGCTCAGCATAAAGGCAAGCAAGTGGGAGCAGTAAAGATTAAGTCTTCTTTTGACATTGATAAATTGGATTTCGATGTAGAACTATTACGAGAACAAAAAGTTGGTTCTCTTAAAGTTAAATACAACAAAAATCAGCGACACGTACAAGACTATTCCCTAGAGGCAACTGCAACTCTTAACAAGCACTCTATCGATGTCGTATCCAAGTGCGATTTCAACGGCAATGTTTTTGTAGTCGACAATGCTGTAACAACCAGTTGGGGAACGTTATTATCTGCCAAGGGTGAATTGGGCCAACGCTTCACGGCGCAAGATATCCGGATTGACCTTCAAGGCCAAATTCAAATAAGCGGAAAGGACAAATCTTCTCAATGGTTACTGAAGGTCATTGGCACACCAGATAAAACCAACAGCGAGCTCAAGATAAGCCAAGATACGACAGAGCTTGTCAAATTTACCAGTGAATCCCAGCATCCCCAGGAAAAAATATCAGCGGCTAAGATTAACCTTATTGTGAAAAATCTATTAACTGCTAAGAGCGAGTTTCGGGTAGCAAAGAATGGAAAGGGAGATTTAACAGCCACATTTGAGACCCAGAAGACTGAGCCGAAGCACAAGCTCGAATTGGAATCCAAATTTCACGTCCAGGCTCCTAAGTACGATTTGGACACGACACTAACGCTTGATGGAGAGAAAAAAATACATTTGAAGTCTGAAAACGTTATAGAAAAGTTAAAGTTCTCAACCAAAAGTATTGGCGAGTCGAAGGACAAAAAATTAGTTTTCGAGGCTAATGGCAGTGTTAAGGGCGAATTGCGCACAAATGGAGAAGTACAAGGTGCATTTACATTAACCACTCCTGATGGGCGAATTATCGATGGCAGTGTCAATCGTAAGGTTACAACAAACGCCAAAACCGGTCTAACTCAAGGAAATATGGATGCCCAGATTAGTGACACTCCACCTGGCAGTAACAAAAAGCGATCAATTGTACTTAAGGGAAAGCTTGATCGACTGAATTCCAAAACCAAAGAATTTTCAGCCAACAGTAATTTGTTGTACACGGCATTGGATGGAGAAAAGTCTGAGCTGAACCTTCAAATTAAGCAGCAACCTAATGGTGAATCTAAGAATTTAGATTTTAACCTCAAAGCTAATGGAAATCCACTAAGTCAACCCGTTGAAGTCGCCATCACAGTGGGCGAGTTTAGTGCGCAGGGTGTTGTACTTAATATTAAAACCAAATACGGAGAGCTTTTTTTCAGTTAGCGCAAATGGAAATTACAATAACCATCAAGGCCAACCGACTTCATACAATTTGCAAACTAACATTGAAATTCCAAAGTCGGCTCTAAAGTTTGTGGAAGTTAAGAGTCATGGAAAACTACTAAAACCATCAAAGGGAAATGACAATGGCGCTTACAATCTTGAGTTTTTCGTGGAATCCAAAACTGGGCAGGGACAATTTGCTCGCGTCAACACAGTATGGAACGGCACACCAAATGATGGAAGTTATGAATTTGAAAGTCAAGTAAATAGTATGGAGTCTCCATTTAAATTAAATGGCAACTATAAGCGTGAGCAAACTGGAAGCCTGAAAGAAGGTGACCTTCACGGTAAGCAAAAGTATGTTTTTAACGCTCAGTACGGAAAACAATACCTGAAGACGGATGCATCCCTTTCTTATGGTGTCGAGAACGTTGATATAGTATACGTAATGGATTCCAGCTTCGAATCAGCTAAGGACATCAATATAAACATCCGCACTATTAAGTCTAACGATGATTCAACTTACGTGGTGACCGTTCAAGCAAAACAGGCTGATAAGGCGTACGGCTTGGATACAAAGCTCTACAACTCCGAATACAAAAAAGGTGTTGACATTCGTGTGGATTTATTAAAAGAAAAGCCTATTATAATTAGTAGCATTGCCGAATTATTAGGAGAGAGAAAAGGGAAGATTGCTTTGGAAGTACAAAACTTGGCAGAATTCGATATCAAGTTAAACAGCGAAGCTTCTTACGTTAACATTGATGATTTCTATGTTGTTGGCAGCTGGAGCTCAAAGAAATTAAAACTCGATGGTTATGAGCTTGAGGCACGAGCACAGGGTAAAAATATTAAAATTCAATTGAAAAATGTGAGTGGCGTTATATTCTCAGGTACAGCCACATATGCGCTTAAAAAAGAACTAAATAAAGCTATTATTGACGGTCAAGGCCAAGTGCAGTATCAAGGCAAATCCCATTCTGGCAATTTTAAGTTGACACGGCAACAATTTGATGCCAATACGGATAAGGAAATTGGTTTTTCATATACATTTAATGGTAACTTTGGATCCAAGAATGGCGTATCTACAATTAAAATAACAAACAAAGAATTCAACACCAAGTTTTCCATTTGCGAAGAGAAAAAGCAGTGCACAAACATACAAGTGCAATCACTGGTAGGCGTAGATGAACAAAAACTAGAAGATGAGGAACGTTCAACCCTTATTCTTGTCGATCTACGTGAGCTTGGATATCCATATGAGTTTCAACTAAAATCCCAGGGTACTCGCCAAGGATTTAAATACCAATACCATTTGGATAGCTTCATTATTACCGGCAACAATTTTAAGTACCAACTCACTGCCAACATTCAGCCCACGTCGTCTGCTGTTGAATTAATACTTCCAAAGCGTCAAATTTCGTTTGAAACCGCGCAGCGAATTCCAACGGATGGCAACATTTTTGGCCACTATGAGCAATCAGTTGCATTCTTTATTGATAAATTGCAAAGGCCCGATGATGTTGTCCGCATTTCTGCTATTTTAGATGTATCGGGCACCGAGCGTATCGCACTTAACGCCAATGGCCAACTCAAATTAGAACACCCGACTATTCGTCCATTGAGTATTTCTGGACGACTTAATGGTAATTTAGATGAACAAGTGGCAAACACAGAATTTATATTTGACATTTTCCGATTGCCGGAACAGAAGGTCATAGCAAACAGCGAGTTGCGCAATTTGCGATCCAAAAATGGTTTTAACATTGCATCTACAACAGCTGTAAAGTCTTCAGGACTTCAGTTCCAATACCAAGTAAAGAGCAGCGCAAAACTAAATACTGAAGGCCAAGAATACAGTCTTAACTTCGAAGTTAATGACGGTGAAAATAACTTAAAGGCGCTATCCTTCATTAATAAAGAAAAATTAGAAATCTCTTTGACTGAATCGAATAAGCAGCTTATACAAATAGTGGGAGACTTTAATAGGCAAAAACAGAATGCCAAATTTAGTACCAGAGTCCAAGTTTCTAATGGGAATCCCATAGAAATTACAAGTGAGATTCAAACAACTTCAGCTAAAATTGCACTTAAGCGAAAGGATTTCTTTGATGGCAAAGCAGAAATAAAATTGGGCAAGGAACTTAAATTTGATGTTTCTGGTAACAACAAGGAATTACTAAATGGGCGTGTGGCCTTAGATGCAACCAACTTGCTCCAGACTAACTATGTGGTAGATGAAGAAAACGTGAACGCCTTCTTGGTAAGAACAACAATTTTTGAAGTGATTTTTTATATTTAACGTTTCTAAATATATTTTTTCTAGGCTAACGTTAAAACGGAATTGGATAAAGACACTGAATTAATTGCTACAAATATTAAGGAAAGATTTGAGAAACTACGAAATGGCGCAGACAAAAATATTAAACTGGCGAAGGAGGCTTCTCCCGATTTTTCAAAGCTAAATGGTAAATTACTCGAAAATGCAAAGGGACTTCTTCAAGAGCTGAAAGCAGATCCGTTAATCGCACCGATTATTGATGGCTTGTGAGTAAACAAGGCTATTCTTTGATAAGCCAAAAAAAAATTAATTTTTTTATTTTAATTTATAAATAATTTTTTTTTAGATACAATCTTTTTGAGAAAATCGCTGCCTTAACTGATGACTTAAGCCAGACAATAACAAAAACACTCGAAAAGGCCCACAAGTCATTTGTTGAGATCTACGAAAAATTAAAGTCTTTGTGGAATGACTCCCTTCTTAAAGCATGGGAAGATTTTGTTTTAACTGCAACCAAACTATTTGGTCAGCTTCAGAAGGAGATAATAGAGGAATACACAAAGGCCCTTAAAATTCTTCTTTCCACGCTGGAGAAGTATGGACCAGCTCTGAAGAACTATAGCAAAGCGATAGCCGAAGCTTTGAAACCAATCAACGACGCAGTTCAAGAAGTAATAAAAGTTTTGGTTAATGCTACTGAAGGAATAATCAAGGAATTTAATGAGTATGCTAAAACGCTTCCATCATTCGAAAGTCTTCGTACTGAGTTCAATGACAAAGTTAAGCAACTTAAGCTTCTTGAAAAGGGTGTACAGTTTTTGAACAGTCTGTTTGAGCAGATTAACATTTTGCCGCAAACTCAGGAGACCACCGAATTCCTACAAAAACTGCACGATTACTTAGACGCAAAACTTAAGCAACAAAAAATAAATGATGAAAAGTCGCTAGAAGAACTTATTAAGCTTGGAATAAGAGCAATTCGCTCCATTTGGATCTCGATTAAAAGCACTGCTCCTGGACCTTCTGCATATGCGGTTGATTTCCAAACATGGTTTGGCCCTATTGCACATTCTTTGGAATCCTTATCTGTTTTGCCAACTCTACTTTCATTCCGTTCCAGTGTCATAAACTATATTTTGAATGAAAATTGGGATGAGGTATTCACAAAGAATTTGTTAAGTTCGTGGATATTCTTTAATGACTTCGAACTGCGTGGCCACGTCGTAGACGGGCAGCATATTTTCACATTCGATGGCCAACATTTCGCTTATCCTGGAAACTGCAAGTATATCCTGGCTCAGGACAGCGTGGACAACAACTTCACAATAATTGGTCAGATTACAAATGGAAAGCTTCGCGGTATCACACTTGCTGATCGGGATGGAAACTTTGTCGAGGTGGCAGATAATCTTGCGCTAAAGATAAATGGAAATTCTGCCGAATACCCACAGAACTTGTTAGGAATTCACGCATGGCGTAAATTTTACACCGTTCATTTGCATTCGGAATATGGAGTGAGTGTTGTGTGCACCACAGATCTAAAGGTTTGCAATTTCAACATAAACGGATTCTTCACGAGTAAGACGCGGGGTCTTCTTGGCAACGGCAATGCTGAGCCATACGATGACTTCTTGCGCATTGATGGTACAATAGCCCCAGACTCGGCGGCACTCGGCAACGATTATGGAGTTGGAAAATGCGCAGCAGTTGCATTTAACAGCGACCAAGTCAATGTCCAGAAACGCGATGAAATTTGTAGCGAGTTGTTTGGCGTTGAATCACCACTTGCTTTCCACTTTATTTCGGTGGACTCTAGACCTTATCGCAAGGCGTGTGATGTTGCTCTAGCAAAGGTGGCTGAAAAGGACAAAGAGGCAACTGCGTGTACGTTCGCCTTGGCTTACGGGTCTGCTGTGAGGCAGCTCAAGAAATGGGTTCTATTACCCCCACGATGCATAAAGTGCGCTGGTGCTGTTGGCCAGCGCGATCTTGGAGATGAGTTCACTGTCAAGTTACCAAATAACAAGGCAGACGTTGTTTTCGTCGTTGATATCAACGTGACTCCCGTCGTTCTCTCCAATCTAATAGCGCCTGCAATCTCCGATATACGTGAGTCACTAAGGAGCCGTGGTTTTACAGACGTCCAAGTCGGAGTTGTTGTGTTTGATGAGTCTAAGCGATATCCTGCTCTCCTTACAAGCGATAATGGTAAAATCAACTACAAGGGAAATCTTGCCGATATCAAGCTAAATGGAATAGATAATTTCTGTGACAATTGCGTTGAACAAATTATAACTGAAAAACGTATTCTCGACATTTACAATGACATCAAGGAGATTTTAAAGGGCATTGCTCCTCAAGCCGATGAAAAGGCCTTCCAATTGGCGTTGGATTATCCATTCCGTGCTGGTGCTGCAAAAAGCATTATTGGAGTGCGAAGTGATTCTCTAGAATATAAAAATTGGGTAAGCAAAACTTATATATTTCTTTTTTATAAGTTAAAATTAATTTTTATTCTTGCCTCACTTCTAGTGGAAATTTGTTCGAGCTCAATTGACTGGATCCGTTACGAAGTTTGATGGAGCGCTTCTTCATCTTATTGCCCCAGTCAAGGCACTGGCTTTGGAGGGAGTTCCAGTCGAAAAACTAGTTGGTAGGAATTTACGACGTCGGCACTTAGTATCAGTGACTCTTATAATTTATTTTTACAGGCTTCAACTCACGTTTGGTAGCTACATTAGATGGAAAAGACAACAAAAGACGATCCAAGTTGCAATTCGATAATGACATGGGCATTGACTTTGTTTTGAACAACGGTGGCTGGGTATTTGCAACACAAAACTTTGAAAAACTAAAAGCACCGGATCAGAAGAAAATGTTAAGTCAGATTACATCATCGCTGGCAGATACACTTTTTAAGACCGAGATCGTTAGTGAGTGTCGCTGTCTGCCAGTTCATGGATTGTTCGGCCAACATAAATGTTCTATCAAGTCATCGACTTTTGTTGCGACCAAAAAACCAAAATCTGCCTGATACAAGTTTTCTACAAGTTTCTACAAGTTTCTTTTAAATTAAATTCTAATTTGTTACGAAAATTTGTCCCATAACATAGGTCAACTAAATATTTTAATAAATATGTGTTGTATTAAACGCTTGATTTGAAGTTTTCCATTTAAATTTATGGATAAGTTATTATATTTAAGTACTTATACAGAAAAGTGAGTTGCGCGGGATCTTTAATCTTTTAAAGAGCAGCAGAGATTCTGTAAGTTCTCTAGCGAATCTAGGTTGAAACCAATAAGGGGTTTGACTTCACGATATTTATTGATCGGAAGATTTTAGTCTCGAGCCGATGACTAATGTCTTGACACTCTACAAAGAGAGAGATGCATGTTGCAAAAATAAATTTATTACAGGAATATTGCAAATATGAAATATTGAACTTTCTCTGCTCGTTAAAAGGTGGAACTGCTTTCAAGCACCATATTGGATTGGCATTGAAATCGGCGTCGCATAAGTTCTCTGCAAGTGCTGACCTCTTAATTATTTCATTAGTCAGCACCAAAGGATAGGAATCCAATCAATGAGTTTGTGGTAGTGTTCATTTATGAAATTTTAATACCCTTTTGCCCTGCAAGGGTATAAAAAGTTCTGAAAGCTCACATCCAGAGGCTTCTTTAGAAAACTTATCTTGAACTCCAGTTTAGTTGAGATCGGGAAGTTAAGAAATATACACTTGAATTGAGCGGTCGAGGTTGAGAGTTTGAGTTGTAAAAGAGGAAAACTAAGAAGTTGTTAAAGAAAAGCGCGAAGAAAATTTAAATTATTTAAACGTTAAGAATATCCGGAATTATAATGAATAAACATTTGTAGGCAACTCGTAAAAGGTATAGCCCTACACCTGTATCGTATGATATTTTCCAATAATTTTTATCATTTCTTTAACTTTTATGAGTAGTTCAAAGTTTTCATTGAAATACATTTTTAATATTTATTATCGAAACGAATTGATATATAACGAACAAAATGCGTTAAGGCTTACCGACATCGAAGACATAATATGACAATTTTTCTATTTCGTTTCTATAATTTTACTGACACTTTTTAACTTTCAATAAAAATTGTGTAAAAAATGTTAGTTTAATCCAGCTAAAAGCAATTTTTTCTGCTAATTCCATTTTTCTTCGAGTATTCCCATTACATTTTGAAACTTTAGTTTAAAACTCAAGATATACAAAAAATCTACATTTTTGAGTTAATTCTATATTTAATTCCTTACATTTACTTAATAGACAAATGTATTTTAAATGTTTGAAAATGTACTATTTTGAAAAGCAAATTACGATTTTGAAATATGTTCTTTGTTGTTATGTAAGTGCACTACAATAAAAGCGGAATTTATCATATTTTAAGATATATTAGTGATAGTTTGTTTCGTCATTCTTTAAGTTATACATGTTCATTTAATTTAGGCACTTTTATAATTTCGGGCTTTTTCGTAAATATACAAATATTGTCAACAGCCTATTTAAAAATACCATACAAATGAGTCTAATCTATGTCCATAACACATCATTATCATTATCATTTTGATTTAATAAAATTTAATGTATCATTATACTTTTAATTAAATTCTCGTACTGGGATTCAAGATGACGGAGGACATTAAGCCTACCGGACGGAAAATATAAAATGTAAAGGCAGATATTGAGCAAGCTGCGAAGTAGAATTTTTTGTTAATATTTGATTTACGTAATATGTGCTAATTACTTACGCTAAGGGCAACCGCACTCATCGACAACCATTTTTGGCAAGTCCCTTTTAATGATTCCATCATCTCCGTAGTATATTAAAGACATACTGGAGAATTTTATTGGGGCGCAACACGGTCGCATGCCATTCAAAAGGCCCATTTTTCGATACTCTTCTATAAAATGAGCATGAAATGTTTGAAATGTATCTGGTGTCCTAAACGATCCTGTGCAATCGCCCCTACAATAGTTGGCAAAGTATCCCCTGGGCGCAATAATCCAGTCATCCCAACCGAGTGCTTTGAAGGATACATAGAAAGACTCCTTGCAGCATTGTCCACTCTGAGCACCGCCACAATCCACAGCTCGCCTCCTCACACGTTTTGTTCTCGACGAATCCGTATAAAGTACGAGAAATGGTCGATTCGGATTCGAATTTATTTCTGATGTGTTATCTCTTAGTCTCGCAGTTTGAAATAGGTGCAATGAGTAGCGACCACCGCATCCAGTGCAGTCAATCAATAGTCGTAGCTTCTCATTGCTACTATGGCCGTACCAGTTACGAATTGTTTCGGTTAAATCAAATTTTTGCCATCCTAAGCGTTTGGTGTTCACTTCGAAGGAAGCCCGGAACATGATTGCCTTGTCTATTCCCTAATAGTAAACTTCATTAACATCCTCATTCGAAAAATAACATTAACTTAGTATTACCTTCTCCGTAATATTTATTGCAGTTGATAATTGAAATACCCACACTTTTATCCTATGATGAGGCTTATTGGCCCGCCATTTCCGTTTGGTATTGAGCAAGTGATCTTCCTCTAATTTGTTCGCTTTTTCCATCCATAAGCTGTGTGGCTTATCTATCCGCAAGTGAATCTGCGCGCTCCGTATGGATAGTTTTTGGTTAGGAACTCGGCGGTTTTGGGGCGAAAATTCAAGTATTCGGTATTGTCGAAATTGTGTTCCTTCAAATAAAATGTAAATTGATTTATAAATGTTATTAGATAATTGACCAAAATGAAGTGAGTTGTCTGCTTCACTGCGTTACAAACTTGTGACTGAAAATATAATACCCTTTGCTCTGCAAGGGTACAAAAATAAAAATAAAAATAGTAAAAAGTTATTTCTATTAACTTTAAAAAACTAATTAAAAATTTGACAAGCCCAGAGTAGCACACTTTCATAATAGCGACTTACAATAGGAAAAACATTCTCGACATTTGTAATAACAGGAAGGGTATATATAAGCATGAGCTTACCCAAAATGGTAACATTCTTGATTACATTTTTTTACTGCATTCGAAGTGCCTTGTTCGACGCAAGATACTTACCTTCTTCTGCAAATGTAATTATTTCCTGAGTATTGCCAAAAAAATCTTCGTGATCAATATTTTCCTGGTCATAAACAACCGATTCATAAGGCAGCTTTTGTTTATCGTCCTCTACATTCGCTAGGACTGGCTGATAACCAAGGTTTGAGCTACTTCCATGGTACTGACTGTTATCTGGAGTCGGAGCACTGTAATCATAAATATAATTATGAGCGTTGCGCCGTATTTCACCATTTATGCCATTTTGGGCGCTACTATCACTACTACGATTTATATCTATCAGATATGTCGATTTTTTAAACGCATTTGCAACCATTTGCTGCTGTTTTCTGCTCTTTTCATTATGGTATCCATTTTTCTGCATTTTGGTCAAACTCTGGGGCTGGTCTTGAACTTGAGTTGTATACTTCGACGCAAAACGAGAGATACTTTTCAATTCACCTTTCCTTGGCCATTCTTTTAGGTAGTCATTTTTCAAGTCGTCCTGCTGAATTTGTGTTTTTTTTTCGTCCGCAGGACGGCTTTTAAAAACTTTTTCATACACAAAGCTCTTAGTTGTGTTGAATGTATAATCAAGCTGGGATCGATATTGATAATGATTGCGATCTTGATCACTACTGGAGATGCTTTCGCGATGACGGTTAAACATGTGCATTCCGGGTAGAGCTAACGTCCGTGGTCTGGAATTACTCTCAAATGCATTGTTGATCATCATTTGACCACCATCTGCGCGATATATTGTCTCCCAAATAAATTGCTTAGATAGTGGGTGTGAAACATTTGGCTTCTGGCTAAGACCAAGTTTCGTTAAAATTTGCCGTTTTATCGACTCCAAACGAATCTTGTCGCTGGACTCAATGTGATTGTGAAGTTCACTGTTTTTGTTGTTGAAGTAATTGTTGGTATGGTATTTGTTGTAGATGTTGTAGTCTGTGTGTGGGTTATCTGTGTAAATGTGACAATTGTAGAGTGTTATGTAAGTTAAACAGTTTGTATTTTTATACAGGTATTGTATGGGGAGTATTTTTGATTCTAACTTAATATTCAGAAAATGTAATTGAATGTTAGTCTGAGTAGTGGGTTCTAGAAGTTTAGTCACTCGACTTTTCTTTCTTGTTATTATAATTTCAGTCAGATGCTTTCAACGCTGGGAAAGCCGAAATTGTAAGAGACCCAACGACTAACTAAGTTCGCCATGCTAAACGAGCAACCTAGCTCGTTTATCCTAATTAGATTAGAGTTATTTCAATCGACAGAAAATTAAGCTATTAGTTTTTTTTTAATATCTGTCAGGCTGTCTTCTTTATTGATTCTTTACGAAAACCGTTCAGAATATCTTTAAAACATTTAAACATTTTATCTTACCTTTGTCGTTGTAAAAGCTAAGTTTGCCTCCTTCGTCGCACAAAGTGCATCCCTTATGAGTATCCAAATTTGAAGCATAGTAATTGCTGCTGCTTATTCCATTGCAGTTTATGAGTTTTACTTCAAACCAAACAAGTCCTATAAGAAGCCAAATAAGATTGGTCCTGTTGCGTTTGATCTTCAAGCAGTTACGCATTGAATTTTGTGTCGATAGCCAAGGCGACGTTAAATCCCTTAAAGGCGACATTATAACGCTTCTTTCTGATTGACTCAGAAGTTTTTCTTCTGCCACCATGGCGTAACTTAATCCATAGTTCGTCTCTAACGATTGGCATGTCCCAATGCTGAGGCTTAGTTGCTGTCGAAATAAGCTGTCTTTATTTGGTGCCAGTTGACCAGTTCGTCGGTATTTATCTGGCTTTCGATGGATTTTTTGCCGCGTGTTGCTAACTGAGTTACTGTGCCGGCGCCGTCTCCGCCTTCGTCGACGGCGTCTTCTTCGCTGACGTTTGCGATTACGACTTTTGCAAAACATTTTGTCGAGATCGTTTGATTTCACCTGCTGATCGTTGCTTATGTGGAAAGACTCGTACCCATAAAATAACTTTAGTTTTACTTCCGAACTGTTGTTGGAAGTTTCGGTTGGCGTCGCAGATACGGATACTTGCACCGATCTGTCATTCGTGCGATTTCCATCCGAAACACCAGACTGGTTGAGCAGCGAGAAAATATCGAGAAGAATACAGCTTGTCAGAAGCGTTGCTAATGCAGTTGTCCAGCGTACAAGCACCAAAATGGCTCCCAGTAGCTTTGATCCGCTTAAAACTTCGGAGTCAGAGACTTTGCTGCGTGCTAGAGCCGGATGGGGAAATGATTTTCGGTAGCCACAGCTGTTGCAGCAGTTGAAGCTAAAGCAGCAGCAGCACTTTACAACGACGATACAGCATCCCTGGCGACAGCATAGACATTGGCAATTGAAGAAGCATCTGTTGCCCTTAAGGGGTTGCTCAGAGTGCGTGTGAGGGTCAAAGGAAAACCGCATCGTTGATATTTGTCACACAAGTAGCACTGGCAGTGTCCCTTGGTGTCACTTGGTAGTGACAGTTTTACAGATACGGTAAGCAATCCAATCCAATCCATCGAACATATTTCTCGCTGGGGATGCCTGTATTCATTTTCGAGCCTGAGAAATCAAATTTATTGTGAGTTCCTTATTTCAATTAAATTAAAAACTAAACTTAATTTATCTGTGCTCAAACACTGACAGCCATTTCATGATTACCTGATTAAAGATATTTAAAAAAAAACTGATTTTCATTAAGCTTCCAACAAGAGCAAAAAAAAAGAAAAGAAAGGAAGCTAACTTCGGCAAGCCGAGGATCGGGCGACTATATAGGATAGCTCCCATACAAGAGATTGAAATACAAAATTCTAACGCCGTCGTTTTTGATGAGATCGACTTGATTTCTTCCACATTGCGTTTTCTAACTACTATTGAATTTCGGATTAAATTTTTTCGAAATCGGATAACTTATCACTTGTTAACAACGCAGTAATAACGATTTTTCTACTTATTTTTTCATATTTTCACCGATTGCTCCTATGACAGCTATACGATATAGTCGTCTGATTTTCATGAAATTTAATTAAATTATTTATTATGGGCCAAAACATAAGAAAAATTCAAATGATGCTGTTGGTTAAAGAATTTAAAAAAAATGTGAAATGTTAATTAAAATTCATATAATGTTAATAAAATGTTCATTTAATGTTAATTTAATATAATGTAAATGTAATGTTAACTTAATGTTAATTAAATTAATATGGCCACGTCATCGACATCAATAATTTTAAATTTTTAACGTTTTCTTGCACCTATAATTCCCAACTCGTTCTGGCTGATTCGTAGTGGGATACCCCTTGATTTTGGCCAATTTCTCAAGTTCTCCGGGATAACCGGCAGTTTCTCTAAGAAACTCTCTCAGGTCTCTAGAAGTGTGTGTGTGTGCGTGTGAGTTGGTGAAGAGGGAGTATCCGGCCGACTCCTCCTACTGGAGTCCACTCCCGGATGCAGTGCATCAAGGGTCGACTCCTTCTACTGGAGTCCACTCCCGGATGCAGTGCATCATGGGTCGACTCCTCCTACTGGAGTCCACTCCCGGATGCAGTGCATCATAGCCTGACTTGGCATGAACTTGAAAGTGGCGGATACCTTCCTGCATGAAGTGGACTCCAGGATGCAGTGCATCAAAACCTTAAGAGGTGGGTAGAAGTTTTTTTTTTAAGCAAGTGATGACGTGGTCTTTTGTAAATGTAATGCAATTATTTATTTTAATATGTTAATTAAATTAATATGGCCACGTCATCGACATCAATCATTTTAAATTTTTAACGTTTTCTTCTTCGACTCCTCCTACTGGAGTCCACTCCCGGATGCAGTGCATCAAGGGTCGACTCCTCCTACTGGATTCCACTCCCGGATGCAGTGCATCAAAACCCGAAGAGGTGGGTAGCAGTTTTTTTTATTAAGCAAGTGATGACGTGGTCTTTGTACATGTAATGCAATTATTTTATTAAATATTATTTTATTTTTTTTTATTTTTTTTTTATTTTTTTTCAGGTTTTTGGTTGTGTGTTTGGCTGCTTGCAGAAAATAATTGCTGACACCATCTTACTTGTAACTTGGAGTAGGATATTCGGATGTAGTGCACCAAGTTTTTTTCGCAGTGAGTACATCAATTAGACAGTATATAATTAAGTTATTAATTTTAAGATCAATCAAGAGCAACAGATAAATTTCTGAAATTATTCAAGAAAAATAAGAAAGAAATTCAAAAGGTGATTTTGTTCAAATAATGAACTTGAAGTACTCCTAAATCAAACACAATTAATTATCTAAAACAACTAAAGTCATCTTATGATAATATATATAGTAAGAATAGTTGTAAGAATGTGGTTACCGAAGATATATGCTGATACCACCAAAATGGACTGGAGAACAGGCTGCAAGATCAAGGATTAATGGCGTGATCTTCTATTGAACTTCACTCCAGGATGCAGTGCATCAACTCATTGGGGTATGTATTTCTTAAATTTAGATTGCAGTGCGTTAAAGTTTAAAAGAGAAACGGCTGGATTGTGCTGCGCAAGTGGAAAAGTCAAACTGGAAAAGTGTTAAATCACCATCTTTCTATACTTCCATATATTTGAAAAATGTTGCAATATTGACTTTTATGTTGTTAAATTGTGTTGACCAGCGAAGCGGACACAGGACCTCTAGTATTAAATAATTTGACTAATATTTTGAAGCCCTTCTCTTCATTTTTAAATAATTAATTTGTATTAAATAATTGAACTAATATTTTGAAATCCTTCTTTTCATTACAGGTGATGACTATACCTTCCTTCTTGGAGTGAACTTCAAGATGCAGTGAACCAATAACCCAAGGAGGTAAATATCTTTTTTACTAACAAATTGATTCTAACTATTATTATTTAACAAATTATTTATTATAAATTTTTTCTATTTAAATTCAGGGTGAAGTGTTAATGGTGCGGATAAAGTGGTTGCAGTGATTATCTTATTGAGCTCCACCCCAGAATGCAGTGCATCAACTCATTTGGGTATGTATTTTTTTAAACAATCGATTTGTATAAAATAATTAAACTAATACATATTTTCAAATTTTCTTTTCATTACAGGTGATGACTATACCTTCCTTCTTGGAGTGAACTTCAAGATGCAGTGAATCAATAACCCAAAGAGGTAAATACCTTTTTTACTAACAAATAAATACTAACTCTTACTGTAACAAAGGTTTTGCAACAAATTACTTATTTTATTTTATGTTTCTTATTTAATTTCAGGTTAAAGTGTAAAGTGTAAATTTTGTGGATAAAGTGGTTGCAGTTATTATATTACTTCAAGAAGGCGAAAGATTGCAGTGCGCCAAGGCTTTTCGCAGTGAGTACATGAATTAGATTGTAAATAATTAAGTTATTTATTTTAAGATGCCAAATACGATTTAAGGATGGTTAGCTTTTTGAAATCAAGAGCTAAAGTTAAAGATCTGAAAGTATTCAAGAACATGAAAGAAATTCAAAAATTAATTTTTATCAAATACTGAACTTGAAGTACATAAAAATCAAACACAATCAATAATTTCAAACAAGAAGGGCCATATTATATTGTCATGCTCGTGGATAAAAAACAACAAAGTTATGATTATTTTGTCATTATTTCTATATATATTTTTTGATCTTTCCTATGGCAGCTATATGATAGAGTTATCCGATTTTGATAAAATTTAATCCAAAATTCAATAGTAATTAGAAAACGCCATCTGGAAGAAATCAAGTCAATTCGATGAAAAACAACGGCGTAATATTTTTTTTCCCTTTATTTTTTTGACCTCTTGTATGGGAGCTATCCGATATAGTCGGCTGATCCGGCTCGTTCCGACTTATATACTGCGTGCAATAACTACACAACTTTTCGGAAAGTTTCAGCACTATAGCTTTAAAACTGAGAGACTAGTTTACATAGAAACAGACAGACGGATTTCGATTCAGATCGTGATGCTGATCAAGAATATATATACTTTATGGGGTCTGAGGTGTCTCCTTCACTGCGTTGCAAACTTCTGACTGAAATTATAATGCCCTTTGCTCTGCAAGGGTATAATGAATAGAAAAATCATCTTAGCTTTGATGTTCTTTAACCTTTGTGCATTTTGTTCGACATATTTGATGACTGCAAGGGTAGCTTCCTTTCTTGTTTTTTTTTAGATCGAAACATTAAATTATATATTATTTTTGACTTTGTAACACATAATAAATTGTTCCTCCGTAAAAAATTGTTTATAATACAAAATACAATGCGGAAAAGCTTCAATTCACGCAGCTTAGTTATAATTTAAAGCTTTTGAGCTGAATGGCTCTACATAAAATTAAGTTAAAACAGAATCGGCGAACAAAAACAGGACTTCAGGTGCCTCCAAGGAGTCAACTACCATACAAATATCCCCCACAGACACGCCTGTCCTAACCAAAGCATATAATAAACATAAAAAATACATACAACAGAAGAAGTCGAGACCAGACGACGCCAATTGGCTACTTACAAGTGCGGCGGAGTCAGCGGAAATTATAGTATCAAATATCATGTGTTTCTGCATTGTAAAACTATTGTGTTTTACAAAAAATTAAACCTTGTTGCTATTAGACGGATTATTCACGAATTTGGAAAATCTATTATTTATTTTTTGGATCCAAAAACGAGTTTTTACAATTACAACATATCAAAATGTTTTACGTGTTTAAAAAAATTTTTGTTTTAGCAAGGAAACAATATTTTGTACCTTCGACGGTTCCTCAATGACATAGCATTCTTAAGCAGGCGCACCATGCAGCTTGAAGCTTTTAAAGCTTTTTTGGCGTTGCCCCATTGCTGGGATAATACGTTATTTGTGCTTTTAAAAATTTTTAAAAAATATATAAAAATGCTATTAGTTCTTATTTACAAACGAGCTATGAATATTTTTCAAGGGACCGACGAGTTTTCGTCGTTATATCCGGAAGACGCACTAAGCAAAAGGATATAAGTGTATAAGTCTGTCTGGGGACCAATCAAGCCATCGAGTTTTCGTCGCAATACCCGGACGGACACTATAAGCGGAGTCGTTATAACAGGATTCTACTGTATTTGTAAAAAATTCAAAATTGTTAAAAAATATTTAAAAAAATATTCTTTTTTCAACTGCCACCGTTTATGTTTTTTATGTTTCAGATCAATAATGCACGCCAGGACACCCTCCTTTTTATGAAGCGCTTCAGCGCTTAAAAAACCGGGCCAAATGCATGGCTCTTCTACAGTAGAATACTCCCTTAATGAACTCCTTATATAATTTGTATTATCAAACAAGTAGAAGCTTCTAAGAAATTTAAATTGAATTTTTTAGTAGTTGGACTAATGGCTAACTCGATAGATGGCCCAATACAGTGAAGCTAGGCTATAAGTAATTATTTATCGATAGCAAGAAATGTGTGCATCGATATAAGTGTCTCATATCTAATACAGTGGCAACTTTTAGAAGTGACCACCACTTGGTCCGATTACTTGAGCGGACATTTCAAAAATACAGTCTAAAATGACTGCTACAACCCAAATATTATTTGGCTTTTTCTGCTAAAATATTAAGTTTACATTAATAATATAAAGTGTTTTTTTTTAAGGGTGATATATGCAGACATGCAGAATAGTGAAAAACCCAAAAAAAAAAAAAAACAGCATTGTCTAAAAATCGGTCTTATGACTGTAACCTAATTATGTATATAGCCTAGGAGTAATGTATATTTTATTTTTATTTGATTATCAGTTTTTGTTTTTAATTGTTTATATTAGCCTTTCTACGGGTTTTGTCTGAGCTAGACTGCGGTAGGATTGTTTTTTTTTTTTTTTAATTTTTTGGTTTTAATTTCGCTTTGGAAGATGGAATTTTTTTATTGATTGCGCATAGGACTGGCGAACGTTTACTAGAGTTGATTTCAGTACGATGGCAGATCGACTTAATTTTCCTGTTTTTTTCTTCTATCTGAGTACTTCAATAAACAAAATGTGTCACCCACCATTCTCGCTTTTGCTCTTTCTTATATTATATGTAGTTGAATTACGTATTTCGTCGATCTGGGTGCGCTAGGCTGCTTTTACGAAAGTCTTTTTCATTCTTTTCGATTTGCCTGATTTTTGTATCTAGCTGCCATTAAACAATTTTCCATGATTGCTGGGACATTGAAGATACATTTTATTTAGATTTCATTCAAATTGGATTACTGTATCTAGCTGCCTTAGAAAAGATAAGATACTCAGATGTATGTGTAGTGCCTGAATTTGTTAAGGTGTCTGTATTGGCTCCAGATATGTGAGCTTTAAAGTGGGCGTGGCACTTACTTTAAAATTAACTATTTAAACCTGTAGGTTAAATCCCAATATCTCCGAATTTTTTCAGGATATTGACGTTCAAACAGGAAGGTGATGACGCTTCCTGAGGCTGGTGGACGTGAAAGTGGCCGTGGCAAATTAAAATAAAAAGCGGTTTTCTGCGTTTTTAGAAGTAAAATCAAAATATATCAATATCAAATATATTGTAACGTAAAAACTGCGAGCATACATAGATATTTTCTCGATTTGTTGATTGTTTTGTGGGCGTAATTTATCAAACTTGGACTGCGTACGAACAAAAAGTACATATCTACATTTTGAATTTCAATATTTGAGTTCCTATAATTGGCGAGAGCTCGACTTTTATACGGACGAATAGATGAGAGATAGACAGACATAGATTGACTCGTCGGTTGATCCTGATCAAGAATATACATACTTTATGGGGTGGCAAGTGCTTTCTTCAGCTTATTACACTCTATAAATGCAGTATTACTCTACAAGTCCCGTCTTTGTGGAACAAAAACTTTAATAACGTTTTTTTATTGGACAAGGATGATTTTTAAAATATCCAGTTTGTTAACTACGGTTGAATCAAAAATATTTCATGAAAATCTGATTATTCCATATAGCAGCGATCTATATAGAACTAATAGTGTTTTTGACAACTCATGAATTTCAAAAATTTCATAGAAACATTTTATTATATACTACTACCTAGCCGTATCGGGCATTATTTTATTTTCATGATTATCCAAATAAATATTAATTTAATGTACTTTGCCTAAAAGAAAAAAAATGAAAAATTATTAAAATATAAACTTGGAATTTCTAAACTGTAGATGGTAACAATCGCGAAGTAAATTTCCCCGTGCAACAAAATTTTGAAAATGATTATCAAACTCTCTGCAAGGGTATGCCAACAAAAATAGTTAGTAGTATAAATAAGCAGTATATAACATCAGAAACAACAAAGGCTGTTCCAGTACCTAAAGTTAGCAGTCAACAACAACCAAAAGAAACGGCGGAAAAGCTGTCTCGGTTGGCCTGCAGACCGTGAAAAGCCACGAGCCACGATTGAAATACCGAATTTCATACCAAAAACACATGAATACCGATTGTTCATATCAAGACCTATAAAATTCATAAAAAATGCTTGTACGTATATACATAGGCATGTGCTTTAATAATAGTTACCAAAGACAGACGTATTTTTATGTACACTTTGTTCGGTCAAATATCATAGTACATCATTTGGCAGAAGCAAGTAATTTAAAAAAATGTTTAAAAATTTATTTAAATCTATAAAATCAGATAGCAATAATTTGAAAAATTAATCCAGCTAAATTCATTACTTTTTTTATGTACTTGCACTTTTGAATTTTTGAATGCACCTTTGATTTCAAAGATTCAAGATCATTGAACTTTTCGCAAGTGTGTTCGCGCCAGCTTTGTTATAACACACATTTTAACCACATTACATAAAAGTCTAAAGAACGAATTTAAAAAACAGAGGGTAGGTTTTCATATGCAGCAGTCCGGTCTAACAGGTGTTCCATATATAAAGCGCGCGTATTGTCGGTATCTGGAGTTTTCTCCGTTTGAGGAAAACTAAGGGATGGGAGATATATAAAGAGGTTAAAATATAAAAAAATATTTACATGTATGCAACTACTTACAAGCAAAGTCAGAAAAACAGTACTATTCGTCTCTACTATTAAATGTTGCTTATAGAAACATCGATTAATTGGGATAATTATTTGTAGAATAGGTAAATTTTTGAAAGAATATTAAACAAACCCATGACGCAGGCCTTCTTACCAGTGTTTTGAGTTTCTAGTTTCTTAAACTAATAGCTTCAAGCTCTAGATTCTGAAACGCTCGAGTGATCTCTCCTCTCCCTTCCGTGTAGTTTGCAACGGTAGTAGAAAATTGCTTGGCACGCGCCGTTTTCGCTTTGCTAGCTGGATACTGGGTAGCTGGATACTGGGTACAAACAACTTGTGTTAGGCCGGCTCAGTGATACCAATTTTAGAGTCCTTTCCTATATTCCCCTATACTGACTCTCGCATGACTGATAACTCTGTAAAACTCTGTAAAACTTATTTGTATTTGGCTAATCCTTAAAAGTATAATACTCTATTTAAAAGAAAGAAAAGAATACTACTCTACGAACGCATATTGAACATTTTACAATTTAAATTAGTGCCGACTCTACTTATATTAATTACTGTTTTTATAATTCACTACATACCTAAAAACTGGTATTGTATATACCATATATACGAATGCGTTCGTATATAGGAATTTGTCGCTCTGGTCAACCTGTAGAATGCAGGTCACTCAAAGTTAAAACCAAAAAGGGGGTTGATTGTCTACGTGAACAGTCCCCCTTTCGTTCGACAAAATATTCTTTCCAGTCCTACAGTAGAACCCCTATGGTAGGTTTTAACGCTCAGTATGCAATTTAACTTCCTCAAATTTTTTATTTGATTTAGGTAATAATCTTTAATAAAGTCCGATCTTAATGATACAAATAGTCGGAAATCGAAAATAAAGACAAAATAAAAATATTATGAATATTATTATAAATATTAAATTAATTTTAGTAGGCGTGTTCATCACTTTTATCATCCGGGAGTTGGATCCTAAAGTTCCGATCAGGGATATATGTAAATACCCTATGAGGTCGCAAGAGTTTTTTTTACCTATTACTGAAATATTTTATAGACAGATTTCTACGCAAGTAACTACACAGTGTTTCTCATGCTTTTTGAAAATGCCTTTAAGTGTATATTTTTATAACAAGTATTTTTATAAATTTGTTATATAATATCACCATATAAAAAAATATTTTTCTTAAATTTCCAAAAATAGTTTATACATTTAGTAATTATAAAATATAGTGTGCTGATTATTGAAACTCTCCATGGCTTTGTTTTTTTCACCAGTGGTTATTAAATTTGAATTTAAATATCCTCTTAAAATTCAATATCCTCTGCCTGTCTGTTTGTTAGATTTTATTAAAAAATTTGTCTACAAGTTTAGTCCATTTGCACTTTTATAGGAAGCTTTCTTTTCTCATATAATACAATTTATATGTACATATATCTATATGTATACCTAACAATGCGGTTTGAAAGTTTTGCTAGATTTTTGGGTATGTTTTGCTCTCAAGTAGCTGTGGCAGTGCTATCATAACATTGACTTATGGACGTCTGCCTACAAGCCTACAAAAGTAGATTATTAGTAAAAACTTCTTGCCTATTTGAACACTTTGAAGAACGTTCAAAGCAAAAAGAGGAATTGCTTTGTACTCTTTCACTCTACTTGTTTTTTTCTACTTGGTTCGCTCTCTGTGTCGTCCCACTCATTCCATATAGAATGATCGTATTTCAAGTCCAGCTTTTGGATCCGACCAGCACGATATGTCTCCCCATTAGTCGACAGTCGGTTTGAGCGCGAATGGAACCGACCAACCGTAAAGCCGTCTTGGGCCAGGTTTTGAGCGAGACTCAAAAACACATAAGCCAAGCCACTAGAAACCCGCTCAGAAAGGTGGTCGCTGGGGTTTGAGCGGTGTACGATCGGCTTCCGCCGTCCATTGCCATTCAACAATTTAGTTTCGCTCGAGATCTCTTGGCGTGCGCTTCAAGATCCACCTGAAAATTGTGTTACTCCGTTGCCTCGTAGCCCACAGGTGGAACGCGGTGTCTCTATTCTGCCAAGTGCTGTTTTGGATAGAAGTACTTAAAAAAAATACAATACTTTGAGTGATACTGCGAGTGTACTTTCGGAATCTATAGCTGTGATTTTAAATTCGTTTTCCAAGAAACTCTAATACAATTGGCGCACCAATGTTGTTGTCATCCTGAGCAAATAAACTGATATAAAGAGATTCAGTAAGTAAACTAAAAAATCCCACTGTTAAATAAATGTAACTTAGCTTTTTTTTTTAAATATTTACATTTTATGATTTTATGCTCTATGCTAAGCCGAACTTCACCTGAAATTTACCCACGATCCTGACCTTGAGCTTCTAATTGTCTTAGCAAAGTTTTCTGACTCGCCACGCCATTATTCCGTTGAAGTGTGTGAAAATGCGTTTATTTTTCCCACTTTTATTTTTCTGAATTGATTGTGAAATTAAAAAGAACAAAGTGTAGAAACCCAAGTGACCTTGTAGCAGGACTGGCATGGCCGACCATGACTTTTTTTCTTAATTCTTATTTCCATTTACATAAAATTTGAAATTTTTAAGTTGGTATTTAACACAGGATGTTTTTTTTAGTAAAAAGCAACTTTATAATCAATAATTTTAATAATAATTTTTTATGCGTACAAGTTTTTTTAATGGTCTGAATATGTTGTTGTATAAAGATGCACAAAGATGGGTTTCGAATTAATTAGTAGTGAAAATAAAAGCATAAATAATTTATATAGAAATTCTTGGAAATATAATTCTGTAAGCTCATAAAAAAAGGGCTTATAGAAATCAATAAGCAATAACTTTATACTCCAAATAAATGTATGCCTAAAAGAAAAACAGATGGCCTAGACAAACTCTGGCATGAGTCTACACTGTGCACTCACCCGGCCTTGTCTGGTTTGATCCTCCAACTACTTGAACCTGTAGGGGAGAGATAGTCCCGAAAAGGTCAATTAACAACAGGTGAATGAGTGCTAGCAACCACGTTTGCGCGGCCTGAACCTTCTGGCGGGTCTGTAGAAGCGGGAAGGCAGAACACATTGCTGGACAAAGGAGCAAGGTAGCTGGTGACGACTTCGTTTCACTTCACGATTAAAAGAGCGGGAAACGCCGCTGCCTGCTGTCGCGCATATCAAAGCCCATAACCCCATGAGCAATTGTTTTTGTGTATACAATAGCAAATGCCCTAAGCAGCATTGAAGGTTAGTTTTCTGGACTGTTTTTAGTTAGACCGGCACTCTATAAACTCTATAAATGCGCTACACTACAAAATTCTTTACTTATTTTAATTAAAACTAAAATCTGACTGTGCTGTTTAATAGAATTTATGGACTTGACTTTTTGTGAAATATACGAACGTTAAAGAACAACGAAACTATACAAATTTTCTACTTAACACTGCTTAAATGTGTTTTGAAGAGTATGTAACACCTTGAACGAAGAACTATATATATCTGCTCTCTGTATGGATGTCGAGATCTTCAAAAAGTTGTCACACCTAAGGAAGTTGTTTATTCGAGTGTCGGGCATCTCCAAGTCCAGCATTGCCTCTTGTTTTTATTCTGGTACTTGCTCTGGCAGCAGCTAAAGAATATACCTATTCCGATCCCGGTCCGACATGCCATATACACTGCACTAGCATAAATTCTTTTAGTAAAGTTTCAGCGAGCTAAATGAGACTCATGGCTATTGGCTGTATCGGGTGATACTGATCAATAATATTTAGGCCCCATTTGCCTCTTTTGGAAACTTCTGACTGAAAATTGAATAACCATTTTACTAAAAATAATTCAACTTTTAGATCTCAAATTGAAGCAAAGCCTTTTTAAATTTTAAATTTCTAAATGATAGTTTTAAGTTACTTTAAGCATATATAATATATATGTTAAATTTCGATTCAATGTGACTAGGGCAATAATAAATAAGCAATAGCTTGTAGCCTGGGAAAATAATAAAATAAATAATAATAATAATAATATTTGATGACTTCGAGTCATATAAGCCGAATCCAGCTTCCTTTCTTATTGTATTCATATTTTCAATGGAAGCTTTACAATATAGTTATCCGATTTTAATACAATTTAATTCAAAATTAAAAAGTAGTTAAAAAACACCATCTGAAAAAAATCAAGTCGATACGATCAAAAACAACGGCGTGATAATTTTTGCCCGTTACTTTTCCGATCTCTCTTATGGGAGCTATGCGATATAGTCACCCGATCCGACATATATACTGCGTCGAATAACTACACAACTTTTGGTATATGGTGATGCTGATCAAGAATATAAAGATGTACTTTATGGGGTCTAAGATGTCTCCTTCACTGCGATGCAAACTTTTGACTGAAATTATACTTCCTTCTGCAAGGGCATAATGGGAAATGGACAAGTCTTTTATTATTAACTATGTGTAAAAAATGTAGGACCAACATTTTTCTGTATATCAATTACTCTCTTTCAAGGCTCTGATGCTCATAATGGATATTCAGACATCACATCTTGGCCATGGGCTTGGGACACTCTCACATCAGCTTCCCCACCGAATTATCCACCAGCCGCAGGTTCTGCACAGTGCCCAAGAACAATCACTGAATTCCAGCACAGGGCAGCATGATCACGACCATCAGCAATTGCAACACCATCATCTATCGCTGCAACAACATCAGGCCAGTCCACCGACATTACACACCTTGCAGAGCACATCGACTGGTGATAACCTGAGCATTGGCATAAACTCAAATCAAAATCAGCATGACCAGCAGCAACATGCCGGAAGCAACTTGTATGCAGCTTCACAGATGGAAGACAAGTCGAAAGGTAATCATAATTTATGTTATTGCGGGTAGCAGGACAATCATATATTGAAGAAAAAAGGTATTGGTTATTTCCCCATGGAATAGTATATTACTTATATATATCTATGTGGGACTATTAAAAAATGTAATCTTACATTAACATAAACGAATACAAATAGACTGAATTTTTAATCTATTAACATGTTTAGCCGAGAACTGCTTAAGTAAAGGATGTTAGTCTAAGGCAATCCAAGCGTCTAAGGTAATCCAAACTGAAGAACAATAGCCTTTGCTTCCGAAGGAGGTGGAGGACAGTACAACGAGCTTCAAGAGCCGTGCACTCGGGACGCGATCCCCCAGCCATGCTTTTGTCATTGAAACCAGAAGTCGCAGAAATCTATTCTTCCTGCATTCATGTTGAATTGTATGAAAGCTGAGGAATTTCAAATTAAATGAAATGATGTTTTCTCCAAGTCACGGAATGTTTGGAATAAGGAAATTCTACATGTCCTCCCTTTCAGCGTTCCACGATTTCTTATCTGCGAACTTAAATATAATAACTACATTTGCTTTCGGTTAATAAAACTAAAACTGATGTTAGGCATATGAATATGTACATATATGCAGAGGTTGGGATATGCTAGTCATCTTGTTGAATAAAATTAATCAATATAACCATCATGTGATAAATACATCATAACATAACCAGCAAGACATGTTGATATTAACTCGCGTGGTGAGGGTAATCTAGAGTATAAAGTGTTTCCTTTACTGAGTTACACTTTCTAACTGAAATTATCCTTTGCAATAGCAAAAATGTTTATCATTTTATATGTATTCTATGTATGTCTTTCTATTCTTTTTTTTATCTATTCTCTACCAGCCAACAAGTTTGACGAATATTCGAATAGGATTTTGAGCAGCATATCAGGTGGTGCTACGCCGCCGTCTGCTGGTAATTTTATGTCACAGGCCCAAAGTGTCGAATGGATGACTGCTATGAATGATGTGCAAAACGGGGCAGGTACCACAAATCAACGCATACCTGTATTTGAATCTATATTAAAATGCAAAATATGATCTCCTATCTTTTCAGAAGACTCACACAGCTCGCAAGGCAGCATTTCTGGCGATGGTAAGCTAAATACTTAACTACAATTACTGCGTGACCAGGCGGGTACGCACCCAATCTCCCACGTAGGAATTCACACCCATTTTCGCTTTGACAACATTCTCTCACAATACTAAGTGACCGCCATCAGATCAATTTTCTGCGGCTTTGTAGGAATTGGCTCAAGTAACTTGGTACCTAATTGAAAAAATGTGCTTTGACCACAAAGCTGCTTCCTGGCTGCGACAGAACTCTTTTTGTTTCTTTTATTTATTTTGTTTGGTCAGGGAGATGGTCATTGGAAACTGGGAAACTGGGCGCTGCCCCTCACTGTTTCCTCGGCGACGATCGAAACTCTAGTGCTGATTCACAGGTGGATCACACAATGCGGTGTAGATTTCAACGTCCACATAATCAGAACGTACAAAAAGTTATATGTGCTGAACATTGTTCCCATTTTAAGCCACAAGTGCAGAGGAAGCTAAAAAGTTCGTCATTACTAGTTTTATTAAAAAGGAAAGGAAGTATTCCACGTACTTTTGTTTTTACCCCGGTCCCTATAAGACCCTTTAAAACAGGTCATAACATCAATGTTCTGCTATTAAATCGCAGTTGTTATAAAGTAGCTACCATTACAGAAAGGCCGATAACATATATTGCTGCCGAGCGCAACTCAGAATTTTCTTTTAAGGAAAATAGGACAGAGTTTTAAACTTATGGTTTTGCTTATCATTCAATAAATCTAATTAAAATCAACCAATTCCCAAAACATAAGCTTGCATCTGCTAAAAAAAAGTCATAATAGCTTTTTGTAGGGTTGGTGTGCTATGGTCAAATGAAAGATACATTATAAAAAAAATCTCGGCGATGCTCTTTTGGAGAAAAGTAACAGTTGTGCCATTTATTTAGTTGGTTGTATGATGACTACTGATGCTTAAGGGGTTACATGGGTTTCCCTGTTTTAAAAAATCGATTTTTTATATTGTTGAATTCTACAACATGTCTTCTAGACATGTCCATAAATTTCGATCCGAGAAACAGTGTTTAAGATCGAGACAAAATAAAGTACGCGCTCCAGGAAAATTTTTCTCTAAGCTGTATTTTTAAAGCCGGTTGTCAAGATTTCTCAAGAGACTCACCTGATCCTAATAAAATGTATATATTGAGATTTATAACGACCCTTAAACTTCGAATTTCATTTCATACAAATAATAATAATTGAAATAAATCTGTTTACGTAATATTTGAACGGCCCCTAACATCATTGTCTTTTATCATAAAAGCATGATTTTTTGGATATACCATAGAGTTTTCTAATGACTTTTGAATTTTGAATTAAATTTCAGGAAACAATTGTTGAAAATATAGAAAATTAATAGAAAAATCGTCGACATTGTTTAGCTTTTTATGCATATTGCTCTACATTTGTGTTTACTGCAAGGGCATATAAGATTCGGCTCGCTGATATCTCTATATTATCTATCAATCTAAATACAGTTGAATCCGCTTATAGCGACTTTATACCCGGAAGACGCACTAAGCAAAAGGATATAAGTGTATAAGTCTGTCTGGGGACCAATCAAGGCATCGAGTTTTCGTCGCAACATATATATATATATGTACATATATATATTAAATATATATAATAAATATATATTTAAATAATTTGTGTATATGAAGGGAATGTGCATTCAGTTTAATTACAAGGTAATGTAGATTTCGACAATATCTACATTTCTTACTACATTTTCTACAACCCAAAAAAATCTAAAAAGTATGCAACATTATAAACAACTTTGAAGCTAATGGACTGGACCTGTTTTTAAAATATCAAATTTTTAAATTAATTAAAAATCATGCTTTTATTTTAAAAGCAGGATAGGAAGATAGCTTCGGCGAGCCACTGTGTCCGCTTCGCTGGTCAACACAATTTAACAACATAAAAGTCAATGTTGCAACATTTTTCAAATATATGGAAGTATAGAAAGATGGTGATTTAACACTTTTCCAGTTTGACTTTTCCACTTGCGCAGCACAATCCAGCGTTTCTCTTTTGAACTTTAACGCACTGCAATATCGGTATATAGTCGCCATTGGTCCAATATCTAAATTTTCATTATCACTGTAGTTCGCAGTGGGGTCATATTGGAATGCCAAGCGATTGCATGATGCCAATGATCTCCATGTGCTCATTTGTCTTTCTTCGCTTAAGTTTTGTGAATATACTGGCTGCTGGCTTGGATGTCTGCGGCCAATGTTTGCACGTCGTCCTCTAAGCATTTTGGACTATGGACAGAGTGGTGAATTTATCCTCAAATGCACGATCCACATAATTTTCACAGTTCAACTTAAATTGAATAAAAATCCTTTTTTTTTAACAATTTCACAGTGAACACAAAAATTGAGTTAAAATGCTATGGGAACGTGTTTGTCAGTGTGATGAGGTAGCAACTCACTTTATATGCGACAATATTGCAATTTTCTTACGGATCCCTAGTTTTTTTTTAAATAAATTATAGCCTATTTAACTCCACTATAATATATGTAGCTTTCTATCGGCGAAAGAATTTTTGAAATCGGACCAGTAGTTCCGGAGCCTATTCGCTGCAAACAAACAAACAAACAAACAAACAAACAAATTTTTATATTAGTGTAGATTATCGACTTTTCCTATATGAGCTATATGATATAGTCATCATATTTTCATGAAATATACACAATTTAAAATTCATGTCAATTTGGTAAAATTTACCTCCCTTATATAGGAGCTTTCCCTTACTGTCGCCCGTTTTATGGAGATAAAACTATCTTAAAACTGGGACTAGTATCTCATGTTATTAAAAATCATTACATAGAAACACACAGACCAGGAGCGGACGCAGGTGGGGTGTCCGGGGGGTCCGGACCCCCCCCAAAATTTTTTTCTGCGTCCGCCCCTGACACAGACGGACAGACGTCTGTCCGTACATGTTTGGTAGTGATGCTAATTATCCATTTCTGATGAAAGACAACGCTGTTATAATTTTATTTTCGCCAATTCAATATTTCCTATGGCAGCTATATGATGTACTTGTCCGATTTTTATGAAAGGGCAGACGTATGTATTTCGATTCTGATCGTGAGGTGTCTGAGGTGACTCCATCACAACGTTGCAAACTTGTGACTGAAAATATAATACTCTCTGCAAGGGTATAACAACGATGGTATATTTTTTGTTCCACTAATTTATATCGATTTTTTTATCTTTCCATAGGTTTCTATATTGTTATGGTTTTTTTTTTCCGATTTTTCCTATGGGAGCTGTTGTTATAATAGGTTGGTTTGCGAAGAAACAGGCAGACGTTTGACTTATTTGACATGCAGCATAGTGATGTAATAAACATATATATTTGCATTGTGGAAAATATAGGACTTGTTTTTAAATATTGGAAAAAGATGAACATTTTTTTTAAAATGCAGTGAACAGTTTTCGCCGTGCCAGTGGGGGGGGGCGTTGTAACCCCACCCTTTAAGTGAGTGAAAGAGATGTCGAAATACACTTGAGTAGTAGGCAGAAAAGGTGTGCTGTGATTGGTGCCGCTGCAAACTGATGCCACCCTTCGTTGCGGCCATTGGTGGATTTCGAGGTTGCCCAATTCTATGGTTCTTTTCGTGTTCCGGTTTATGATAGTCGCAGGCAGAGTTGACACGCGTGTAAAATTAAAATGTGCCATGCATATGGTTAAAAAGTTGAAGCCAGAGGTTAATTTATGTTTAAAAGTCATCTTGTCTGTGGATAAGTGGTTTTTAAAACACAGAAGCTAGATTTTTTGACTGTTGTGCATCGCATGCACGGCCATAAGTTTAATTGATTTGGAGCCTTGGCCACCTCGCCTTATATCGTCTGATATAAGCCGCAAACACTGCCTAAAAATAAAGTCCCTTGCATCCATCTAAATGCTTTCATACTCTGAGCCTGAGCGATGGGATTGGCCGTTACAAGAGCAGCCACCCAATATTATCGTCTGTGGCGATGCTACGGCTTTGCCGGTCTCTCGGCATTGGTCTGTCTTCATTGGCTGCCTGCAGTAAGATGAAAACGGCTGCCAAGAGCCAGCACCAACCGTTACGAGTGGGCTGTGCGATGGCATAGTGAGGGTAAAAGGGACCGCGTGCTTGAAAGGACATGAAAACGCCCGCGCCTTCCCGCACTGAGCAGAGATAGGAATAAGCAAAAATAGTAGAAGTAGATAAGAATAAGGAAACCGTGCGCAGAATCTCTGCGGCTGGCAGCAAACAGTCCGGAAAAAATGGTTAGCAATATTTTACGGCACACAAAACGAAAGAGAAAACACACTTTTAAATAAAAAAAAAAAAAAAAATAATGTCAACGGTTGAAAATGAAGCTCAGGCCAACAGGATAAGCCACAGCAACGCGAGTGCTCGGTCTACTCTACTTATGCAAAGAAGTAGACAAGCGAAAATCAAACCGTATCTTTAGATCCCAGCTGATAGCCAGTGCTTTTCCAGAACGTCAATCAGAACTCCATTGTCGCAATCGGAGGCTGTATCGGCATCGATTACAGGTTCGGTTTACCGTTACGGTTTGCGGTTGCGGTGCGGTACGTGTGCAACGTTTACAGTTAAAGCTTACCTCTCAACCAAATTCGAATAAAATGGTGCTTAAAAAGATTGCAAAATAGTGATTGTGTCCAAATTCGGGTCGAAAAACGGAGTACAACACAACAACTGCATACGACACTAATCCTCCTTAAAATGGACCTATCCACAGCCTATCGCTACAACCAGAACATGATGGAATACTATACATGTAATACCCTGCTATAGATATAAAAAGACTCAACAAATTGTTTCGCTAGTGCTCCATGAACATTACTCATTAAACGTAATTAGCAAAGTCGCATAAAATATAGGGCAGAGTGTCAATATGGGACATAAATTGTTCAAATCGCAAACCTTTACTATTTAAAATAGTAATCTGCGTCGAAAAGGAAGTTTAAGTTTGTCCCCCTGTCTAATTTTCAGTACAAATTTCTCTCAGTTTAAAAGCTAATTCGGAGAAACTTTCCCAACATTTTTACCAGACTGCTATGCTGACAGTATATAGATTGCAAAAAGATTTTTTTTTTTTAAACGGTGTTTACAGATTGTTGTATTATTTATTTTCTAAATTATTTTATTTATTTTAGTTTATTATCAGTATATCAGAACTATTGAATCGAATCGTTCCGAAATTTGTACTGCATATATACTAAAAACTGCACAACCTTTGGTAAAGATTCAGCGAGATATACTGAGATATTTATAAATTTGTTTTTCTGAGTTGTAAAGATCCTTATTGTTGTAATCTATTTTCATTTACAATTTTTGAACTGACGACACCAGCAGCTGGAATTTAAAAAGTGTGTTACTGAACCCCTGCTCAGCAGGATAACGACTGCAATAGAAATTTAAACAAGAGACAATTGTTTTGTGCTCAACTGTCATATAATACTGTTTGTATTCTATTCACTTAAATCAGAAGAATGCGTCATTGTTGTCTTGTGCCTTATAAATCAAGTCCTCGAAGCTCAAACAATCACTGTGGCTCTTTAGCCACGACGGTCCGAACAACAGAATGTGTATACCAATTAAAAGTCATACTTTTCAATAAGAGATCTGTACACGAATTGCTAGTTGTCAAGTAAAACAGTGTACTTTAGTTGTTAAGAAGTATATTACAGGTCATAAGAAACACTTTATACCCCATGTCGTAAATAGATTCCTGATTAGAATCATCAGCCGAGTTTATCTAGCCCAGTTTGTCGGTCCCTCTGTCTGTCCGTCCGTATGAATGTCAGATCTCGGGAAATATCTGGGATAAAATATTGAAATGAAACATGTTTACAACCTTATTGTGCCACGCCCCTTTGTAATCTCACTAGCCCACTGCTGTGACACCCACAGCTTTAATAGCACCACATATTATATTTGGCTGATGTTTTCGATTCAAGTACCTATATATCATCAAATTGGGTTTCTTCAGAAGGTTTGCTTTTAAAATCTTGCAGAGGGATTACAATTTCAGTCAAAAGTTTGAAACGCAGTAAAGAAGACATCTCAAACACCAATAATTAATCGTCTGTCCGTCTGTCGGTAAATCATTATCGTGGTATAAAAAACAACGATGGTATCATTATACCCTTGCAGAGCAAAGGGTAATACCCTTTACCCTAATTTTGGCCAGAAGTTTGCAACGCAGTGAAGGAGACACCTTAGACCCCATAAAGTATATATATTCTTGATCAGCATCACCATCTGAATCGAAATACGTCTGTACGTCTGTCCGTTTGTCCGTCTGTCCGTTTCTGCCAGAACTAGTCTCTTAGTTTTAAAGCTATCTTGCTGAAACTTTCCCAAAAGGTGTGTAGTTATTGCACGCAGTATATAAATCGGAACGGGCCGGATCGGGCGACTATATCGGATAGCTCCCATACAAGAAATTAAAATACCAAATTCTAACGCCGTTGTTTTTGATCAGATCGACTTGATTTCTTCCACATGGCGTTTTCTAGTTACTATTGAATTTCGGGTTAAATTTTATCGAAATCGGATAACTCTATCATATAGCTGCCATAGGAGAGATCAAAAAATATATATAGAATTAATGGAAATTAATTGATAACGTCATTGTTTTTCATCACACGACTATTATTTTTTGAGTATCAAGGTTTTTAACTAGCCTTGATTCATAAAAAAAATTTCATAAAAATCGTACAATTATATCATATAGCTGCCATAGGAAAGATCGAAAAATTTATATAGAAATAACGGAAATAAAATGATAACATCGTTATTTCTCATCAGAAAATCATGATTTTTGGAATATAGAGTTTTCTAACGACTCTTGAATAACAAATAAAATTGCATCAAAATCGGACGACTATATCATATAGCTCCCATATAATCTATAGTCGAAAATATGGAAAACAAGAAAGGAAGCTAGCTTCGGCAAGCCAAAGCTTATATACCCTTGCAGTCATCAAATATGTCGAACAAAACTCATAAAGGCTAGACAACATCGAAGCTAAGACGATTTTTCTATTCATTTTCCATATTTTTGACTTTAGATCATATGGGAGCTATACGATATAGTTGTCCGATTTTGATCAAATTTAATTCGTAATTCAAGAGTCGTAAGAAAACTCTATATTCCAAAAATCATACTTGTCTGATGAAAACCAACGATGTTATAATTTTATTTCCATTATTTCTATATAGATTTTTCGATCTTTCCTATGGCAGCCATAAGATATAGATGACCGATTTTAATGAAACTTTTTTCTCAATATAAACGTTGTTGAAAAACTTTATATTCAAAAAATCATGCTCGTCGGATTTAAAACAACGATGTTATCAATTTATTTCCATTAATTCTATATATAATTTTCGATCTCTCCTATGGCAGCTATATGATAGAGTTATCCGATTTTGATCAAATTTAATCCGAAATTCAATAACAGTTAGAAAACGCCATCTTGAAGAATTCAAGTCGATCTGATCAAAAACAACGGAGTAAGAATTTTTTATTTCATTCTCTCGTATGGGAGCTATCCGATATAGTCGCCCGATCCGGCCCGTTCCGATTTATATACTGCGTGCAATAACTACACACATTTTGGGAAAGTTTCAGCGAGATAGCTTTAAAACTGAGAAACTAGTTTAGGCAGAAACGGACAGACGGACAGACGGACAGACGGACAGACGGACAGACGTACAGACGTATTCCGATTCTACTCGTGATGCTGATCAAGAATATATATACTTTATGGGGTCTGAGGTGTCTCCTTCACTGCGTTGCAAACTTCTGGCCAAAATTATAATACCCTTTGCTCTGCAAGGGTATAATGAATAGAATAATCGTCATAGCTTCGATGTTGTTTAGCCTTTATGCATTGTGTTCGCTATATTTGAAGACTGCAAGCTTCCATTCTTGTTTTACGTTAATTTCCGTTAATTCTATATAGATCTTTCGATCTTTCCTATAAAACAGCAAAGCTGTGATAGTTTTATGTCAAAATAATAAAGAACATCGGCGTGATCGTTTGTTTATCGTTATTCTTTGGATCCTTCTTGTTGTTATAGTCGTTATAGTCGTCTAATCCGACTAATATACTGCGTGCAATAGCTACGCAACTTCAGTAATATTTGATCAAAGTAGCCTTAAGACTGGGAGACTTATTTACTTGCAAAACGGAGGGACGGACAGTATTTCGATTCCGATCGTGTGGTCTGAGTTTACGACCCCATAAAGTATTAATATTTTTGTTTAGGATCATAAGACGAGCGCTATGTCTCTCTGCCTCTCTGTCCGTCTGTCGGTCCAGACTCCAAGAACAATAAGATATAATTTGTACACACACCGTTGTTATTCACTTTACGCCTGCCAACTTTTGGGGCGTGCCTGCCTTTAAAATCAAGAGTAGCTCAAAAATACCATATACAAAAAGCATTTTGCTGAAGTAAAAAAACACCTTTATTTTGTTTTAAACTATCTGCAATAGCTATAAGACTTTTGGTAAAATTTCAGCGAGACAGCTCCAAAAATAAAATGACAGACGTATGTGTCTAGATCGAATTTGACAGCGATCAACCACAACTTTTAATTCATAGGGTACACAAATGGTAGAATATCACAGTGCCAAATATGTACACAAGCATTTTAGTTCGGTCGTGTTTTTTATAAAATTATTTTCGTGTTAATTACACTAAAATAAAATATATGTACAAACATTTAAAGGAGGACTGTATAAAGTGTAAAAGGGAGAATAGCTGAGTCTGCGAAATAATTAAGGAGACCGCAGTGATGTATAGTAAATGAAGCGGAAACTGCTGTTTTCCTTTGCCGCATGTTCATCATTAGTTGTTTTCTTTTCAATCTTTATCGTTGCCTCGTCTCTTTGCGTTTGCTCAGATTAATACCGATTCGATGGCACTGCCCTGGTCTGTCCAACACAATAGCTCGCTGTACATTAAAAAATGTTTGCTTCCTTGAAACAGGTCATGGAGGAGTGAATCAGTTAGGTGGCGTATTCGTGAACGGACGCCCACTGCCCGATGTCGTTCGACAACGCATTGTGGAGCTGGCCCACAATGGGGTCCGCCCATGTGACATATCCCGCCAGTTGCGCGTGAGTCATGGATGTGTGTCTAAGATTCTATCAAGGTAATTAGCCACAGAACATCGGTTTTCTTTAAGGATACACAAAACTGATCTAATAATCTTTCCAGATATTATGAGACTGGTAGCTTTAAGGCCGGCGTTATAGGAGGATCCAAGCCAAAGGTGGCCACTCCGCCGGTAGTAGATGCAATAGCTAATTATAAACGCGAAAACCCCACAATGTTTGCTTGGGAGATCCGAGATCGGCTCTTGGCAGAAGCTATATGCTCTCAGGATAATGTTCCCAGCGTTTCCTCAATAAACCGGTAAGTAAAAACTATCAAAAATACGAATCCCAATCGAGCCCAAACCCATCAGAGTGGGATGGAACGGACCTGCGCACATCCGCTGAAAGTACTCCCAAGTTTGTTTGCTGTCGTGCTGTTAACATCCGCATCCGTTTCCGCCACAGCAATACTCGGTCGGAGCACAGCAGAGTGCTGCACTGCGACTTTATATTTTAGCGAACCTCTCATCTAATCAAAATATCTAAGTAGTTTTTAGCGTTCATAATTGTGGCACAATGCTTGACACACGACCACAAAGAAAGCCACTTTCCTCTCGGCCATCCGGTGTGGCTTTATTGCCGACAACATCATTATAGAGTCTGTCCCTGCCACGTGTCAGTTCCGATGTAAACACTGCTGAGCAATGTGACTCTGACTTACGCATTTCCCCTTTTCACCATAATTTATGTTGGTGATACTGGGTTTTCGAAGAGCAGCTGCGTAAGCCTTAAAGAACAAATTAGGTTTATTTCGGGAGGTTAATTTAGTCCAAGAGTTTGCAACGCATTGAAAAGCATCACGATGTGAATCGAAATACGTCTGTCCGTCTGTCTGTTTCTATGTAAACTAGTCTTATGATATATCATAGGACCATAGGAAAGATCGAAAAATACATATATATAAATAATGGCAAAAAAAATTATAACGTCGTTCTTTTTATACCTGAAGCATGATTTTTAGAACATCGAGTTTTATTACTAATCGTCGATCGAGATTCCAAAAATTAAAAATCGGGCAACTATATCATATAGCTGCCAAAAATCTATATCGAATTAACGGTAAGGAAATGATAACATCGTTGTGTTTCATCAGACAAACATCATTTTTGGAATATAGTGTTTTCTCAAGACTCGTATAGCAGTCATATGAATAATATACGAAAATCCGACTTATATACTGCGTGCAATACCTACACAACTTTAGTAATATTTTAGATAGCCTTAAAACTAAGAATTTACTTACAAACGGACAGTCGGACCGACGGAGAGACTTACTGGCGCTGCCATAAGGAAGATTGAAAAAATTATCACGCCGTTATTTTGATGCTCGATATCATGATTTGATTTCTTCCAGATGGTGTTCTCTATCTACTATTGATTTTAATTTTATTAAAATCTGATACAAAAAATCCACATAGAATAAACGGAAAAATGATAACAGCGTTGTTTTTCATCAGACAAACATGATTTTTGGAATATAAAGTTTTCTAATGACTCTTAAATTTCGAAATAAATTTCACGACTATATCATATAGCTGCCACGTGAATAATTGTCGAATATATGGAAAATTTAGTCTAGTTTAGCCTTAATGTAATTTTTTTGTTTTCAATATATGTTATGATATTTTAGTTGGTTTTATTTGAATTTTTATTTTTATGCAAAGTCTAATATCCACTGATTTTTGAATATCAAATGCTTGCCAACTTTGTTCTGTCCCCCCATGTTAAGAAAAAACATTAAATTATAATTTGAGTTTTCAACCACACACGACACGTGCAGCCATTCGTAATCAATTCGATTCGTATTACCACTGGGTCCTTGGATACTTAGCCAACGCCAAAGTTGACATGTGACCGATGATAATGCAAAAGTCGCGGCGACCAGGGGTAATTCATGGTATAATCAGCAGGAACATTTCATAATGCGACAATGTGTGATGTGATGGCACTTCAGCGATGATTAGGGTGGTGATTCAATCGAATCAAAATTGAGCGTACGACGCTGGGAGGACTTGCCATATACTGATTCCCAGGAGACTGACACTTAATAAAGTGACTTTCATAGCACTCAACCAATTTTAGTTCACAGCCCTCCGCTCGAGTACATCCCAGTGTATACAACAGAACCTGTGGCGGGTAGTACTGCTCTCACATCCCAAACATATGTCTCAATTGTGTGCACTGTCCAAATATCCAATTGCTCATCCCGTCTTCAAACTTTCCTAAAAAAATGGAAAATCTGAGACTGTCGTCATCAGGGCTTGTTTTGGGCGGAATTGACTTCTGTTTTTCCAACCCTCTGTGGCATTATGTTCCCCTAACACATTTAAAAGCAACCTGCCAAATGTACTTAAATCCCGCATAAGGGGACTCCAGGTAGTTAAAGAATTCTTCCACGGCGTAATTGGTACACAAAAAGGGTGCTTTTAATTATCGTTTTATTCGTATGACAGCAATATATATATATATAGAAACCGCTGCCACAAGATCAACAAGATATATACCCTTGCAGTAATCTAATATATGTCGAACCAAATACAAAGAGGTTTCTATCAAGTTTCTGTATTTTCAACGATTGTTCATATGAAAGCTCTATGATATAGTCGTCTGATCTTTTCTATGGTAGCTATATGATATAGTTGTTCCATTTTTATGAATTTTTTTCTGGATTTAAGGGTATTTAAGAAACTCGATCTTTCCAAAATCATGTTGGTGGGATAAACAACAACGACGTTATTATTATTTTTAATTTTTAATAATATACCTAAATATTTTCGATCTTTCCTATGGTAGCTATATGAGATAGTTGTCCGATTTCTATACAATTTTTTTATCCGTTATCCGATTTTATCCGATGTTATCTGCAGAGCAAAGGGTAATATAATTTAGGCCAGAAGTTTGCAACGCTGTGAAGCAGACACCTCAGACCCCATAAAGTATATATATTCTTTATCAGCATCACGACCTGAATCCAAATACGTCTGTTCGTCTGTCCGTCTCTCAGTTTTAAATCAATCTTGCTGAAACTTTGTCAAAAGTTGTGTAGTTATGGCACGCAGTATTTAATTTTTTCAATCTGTCGTATGGGAGCTATCCGATATAGTCGCCCGATCCACCCCGTTCCGACTTGTATAAAAACCGACACTCTTGTTAAAATATTGTTCTTTGTAATGACTAAACTCCGATTTTAATACGCTGTTTTATATTTTGGAACTTCAGGATTGTGAGGAACAAGGCTGCTGAGAAAGCCAAGCATGTTCACCATCACCAGCAGCATCATGTGCCACAGAGTCTCGGTGGGGCACATGTTGCCACCGAAAGCCTCGACAGCAGCACGGGAACGAACGGGGAACCACAAGCACCGAGTGGCGGAACAAGCAATAGCAGTGTTAATTCCACAAACACAAACGCAAACACAAACGCTTCTGCGGCGGCGATGGGGCACGCATCAATACCGCCGACATCAGGCACCGACGCTGTTCAAGTCGCAGTCGGCCACCTCAGTAACAACGTCAATGACACCAGCAATGGAAATATCAACTCAACGACTGAACAACGAACGACTGGATATAGCATAAACGGAATTTTAGGTATTCAACATGGACAGCATTCTCACAACAACAACAACAGCAGTAGTGTTAACAACAACAACAACAACAACACTGATCCAAACTGTAAACGCAAAAGAATCCAATCTCACGGTAAGTTTTTTTATAAACCGTTAAAACCAGGGCTGTGAACCGCTGTGGAGCTTAATACTCCGTATTTTCACGAAAAAATTGTTTCAAAAACGACAAAACAAAAAATTATATTTAACGCGCTTGTTGTGTTGCTTTTGAACTTCTCTAGTTTTAAAAAACTATTTTATTGTTTCTATACATGGAAAAAATATCTCATTTCGAAGCATAGTAATCTATATATATAAAAGCAAGTTGTGTTAGTTACACCACTTATAACTTAAGAACGGCTGAAAATTGGTAGGAAGGTAGCTTAGAGCCCGGAATAGGGCGTAGGGTACTTTTTATTCCGATCGACATACCAAAAATCGCATATAAACTGAGTTATTACCTCATCACACTGACAAGCACACACAACCATAGCATTTGAACTCAATTTTTTTAAAGTGAATTGAAGTTATTTGTGATTTTGGTGAATTGAAGTGAAGTGAAGTTTTTCGTGGTTTTAGAGAATTGAAGTGAAGTGAAGTTTAATTAATAATGCCGCAACTAAGACGATCGAATCTTTCCCGACAAAGCCGTAATTCAAGAAGACTACAAAATACTGTAAATGAAAGGACTGAAGGGGAACAAAACATTGCACGTGAACAGCGCCGCGTTTGTATGGGTCGACTTCGTGATTCTCAATAAGAAGAACAAAGTGAGGCAACCCGTAACACGGCTCGGTTGACAATGCAGAATCGTCGAGCTTACAACAGAGGTCAAGAAATAGATAATTTGCGACGCAAAAGATACTTATCAAGTGCTGATTTGAATCGAGCAGTGTTTCAATACGATTGCATCACTGATTACAGCGTTTGCATTGGGCAAATGGACGTTGTTTGCAAGTATTGCGGTGCGTTGAAGTTTTACGTAGAAACGCCTGGATTATGCTGCTTTAATGGTAAAGTGAAATTGCCATTGTTGACTCTCCACCTGAGCCGTTGTATTCACTGCTTTGTGGTGAAACACAAGAATCACGCCACTTTCCTGCAAATACTCGAAAATACAATGGTTGTTTCCAAATAACGTCATTTGGGGCAGATATTATCGAAGAACGAGGATTAAATCCGACATTTAAGGTTTTTTTTTTTGGTATTACATAGAATTTAGTTAAAGAATAACTTACTTTATCTTAGATACAAGGGCAGATTCACCAGCGAATTGGATCATTTATATCTTTCGAAGATACACAAAAAAAAAATTTTTTAAATATATTTCATGGGCAACATGGAAGAACAACTTGATCGACGCCTAGGGATCAATACAGGAATGAAGCGAGCAATTGTCAGGTTGTTTAAGAGTGCTTTAGAGCGCATGCTAAATAATGGCTAAAAAGTTGTCATAAAAGCAGATAAAGGACCATCTGGAACACACGAAAGGACATTTAATGCTCCAACAATAGACGAAGTCGCCATCCTGATTGTGAACAATTTGATGAATGAGGAGATACATTATCGGGTTTTACTCTTGATCGAAGATATGTGTTACCTCATGTGCGGTAATAATTAATCAGGTTAGAATGCCAGCGCCAAATCGTGAATGAATTTAATCGAGAATTAGAACGGGAACGTGTATATGATCACCAGAAATTAAATTTATTAGTTCAAGCGAGTGTACCCCAGTTGAATTCCCAACAGAAGAAAGTTTATGTTACTTTAATGAAGGCAATCGATGAAGAAAATGGTGGTTTATATTTAGTAGATGCCCCTGGTGGAACTGGCAAGACATTCCTCATGTCATTAGCTTTAGCAACTGTTCGGGCGAGATCCAACATAGCTGTTGCAGTTGCTTCTTCGGGAATAGCAGCCATATTGTTAGAAGGATGCCAAACGGCTCATTCAGCATTAAAATTACAGTTAAATCTTCAAATTATTGAAGAACCAACGTGTAATATTGCAAAACACTCGGAAATGGCCAAAGTTTTAATGGTATCGAAATAAAATTTTTCCTTTTCATATATAAAACAAAAAAAAATTTTCTTTATCTTTTAAACACCAAACGAAGTTTTACCTAAAACTATCGCCATCGCTGGGTTTACTAGTAGAAATTAAAAACAAAATAACATGTTCATCTTAAATAAACTTACAAAATATAGATGTATTTGAAAACCCCTTCATTGCCTTCCACTACTGGAAGAACCAGATTCGCGAACCGGAAGTACAGTTTGCGAACCGGAAGTACAGTTTGCGGGTAGGTTCAAACTCTAAGTCGAACCGCTTCTGAAATAACGCAGTGAATTGGTCAAATTTACAATACCCCAGAAGGGTACACAAATTAATTAAGCAATACCTGGAATAGGAATAACCTAAAGGTTTATTAAATATCGAGTTGCACCGGTTTTTTTTCGAAATTTCCCAAACCAATGTTATATTAATATTGTGTTAATTACGGTTTTTGTCATATTCATTTTTCGAAAGCCAAACACGCATAGAAAACAAAATCGAAACAAAACCATTTTACAGGGCTCTCCTTTTCGTCGGAGATTTAAAACATAGTGAAATTCTCAAGCCGTTGTTTTTGATCATATCGACTTGATTTCTTGATTGATGTTTTTTAACTACTATTGAATATTAAATAAAATTTGATCAAAATCGGATAACTCAATCATAAGAAAACCGAAGAAAAGGACGAAAAATATATATATATAAATAATGCAAAAAAATTATAACATCGTTGTTTTTCATCAGATAAGATTTTTGTAGTATAAAGTTTTCTAACGACTCTTGAATTACGAATTAAATTTGATCAAAATCTGACAAATATATCATATAGCTCCCATAAAATCTATAGTCGAAAATATGTAAAATCTATAGAAAACTCGTCTTCGCTTTGATGTTGTTTAGCCTTTATGCATTTTGTATATAAGGTGATTGACGTGTACTGTAAAGTAAATATATATTTATTAATTTTAGCTTAAACTTCAAGGGTTTTGAAGAATCTAGTTGATAAAATTACATGTTGAGTTTTTTAAATCATATCTTAACAGGACTGCACAGTTTTGTCATAGAACGGGTAATAAAAAGCCGTATAAAAATCAGAAAATGGCCCTCAGCTCATTTCTTTTGAAGCCTGCCTAAAATTGCTATTTAAATCCCTTAGGGACTTAACTGCTGTTCACTTGTGGCAAATTTGTACAAATAATAGATCAATGGACGAGAAGAAGTGCCCTTTAATGCCTCTAGGGGGTGGTTACCATTCGACCCATTTATATGTGAACCCCTGTGAGCAAAAGCAAACGTATACACACACCAAAACACTTTTAATTCACATTCATCTTTAAAAATGTTTTTCAGTGGAAATATGATGAGTTTGGAAATATATTTTTAATTCGAAAGGGCCCCCACAGCTTCGCCTGCGAGGATTAAGTTTAAAAATTTCGCCAATAGATCGGAAATATTATATAGCTTATGCTTGACGTTGTATTTGATATTTATAAGAATGTAAATTTCTCCATTTCACATCGACATAAAGGTAGTTTTAAAATTTTTTTTAACAAAAAAAAATAAAGCGAAAAATGATTTTAATCATTTATTTATTTTAACTGACCTTGTTCCTCGAGGAACCTCGGAAATAAATTGATAACATCGCTGTTTTTTATCCCACGAGCATGATTTTATGAATATCAAGTTTTTTAACAACCCTTAAATTGAAAAAAAGTTTCATAAAAATCGGACTACTATATTTTATAGCTGCCATAGGGAAGATCAAAAAATCTATATAGAAATAACGGAATTAAAATTATAACATTGTTGTTTTTCATCTGACAAGCATGATTTTTGGAATATATATAGCTGCCATATGATCTATAGTCGAAAATATGGAAAATTAATAGACAAATTGTCATAGCTTCGATGTTGTTTAGCCTTTATGTATTTTGTTTGACATAGCTTCGGCTTGCCGTAGCTAGATTCCTTTCTTGTTAAATTTACAATAACGAAAAAATGTACCAACACGCAAACGCACTTAAGCGGCACGTGACAAACATTGGGCATGGCAGTAAACAAGCAAGAACGAAACAATTTTTTTTCAATCGGTTATGATATAAACATAAACTTATTAACATTTAACCTTCTTTCTTTTAGACGAAAACCGTGACACAAATGTGAATTCCGAAGACGATGTAAAGCGGCAGCGTACGGGATACTGTGGCGATCAACTTTACCCTAATGTAAGTCTATAATCCAAATTACCAAACATTTTAATAGGCGAAAGCAAAACGGGAGCCTTGTCAATTCACTCCCGCAAAGCAACCCTTTGTGCGGAGTAAGGAATATATTTATACCCTTGCAGAACAAAAGGGTATTATAATTTCAGCCAGAAGTTTGCAACGCAGTAAAGGAGGCACCTCAGACCCTATAAAGTATATATATTCTTGATCGTCTGTCCGTCTGTCTGTCTGCCCGTCTGTCCGTTTCTCTTTAAACTAGTCTCTCAGTTTTAAAGCTATTTTGCTGAAACATTCCCAAAAGGTGTGTAGTTATTGCACGCAGTATATAATTCGGAACGGGCCGGATCGGGCGACTATATCGGATTGCTCCCGTACAAGAGGTAAAAAAAAATTACGGAAAAAAAATAGTTACGCCGTTGTTTTTCAATGAGACGACTTTATGTCTTCCAAATGGTGTTTTTTAACTACTATTCAATTTCGGATTAAATATTATCAAAATCGGATAACTCAATCATATAGCTGCCATAGGACAGATCGAAAAATATATAATACTAGAGGGCCTGTGTCCGCTTCGCTGGTCAACACAATTTAACAACATAAAAGTCAATGTTGCAACATTTTTCAAATATATGGAAGTATAGAAAGATGGTGATTTAACACTTTTCCAGTTTGACTTTTCCACTTGCGCAGCACAATCCAGCGTTTCTCTTTTGAACTTTAACGCACTGCAATATCGGTATATAGTCGCCATTGGTCCAATATCTAAATTTTCATTATCACTGTAGTTCGCAGTGGGGTCATATTGGAATGCCAAGCGATTGCATGATGCCAATGATCTCCATGTGCTCATTTGTCTTTCTTCGCTTAAGTTTTGTGAATATACTGGCTGCTGGCTTGGATGTCTGCGTCCAATGTTTGCACGTCGTCCTATAAACATTTTGGACTATGGACAGAGTGGTGAATTTATCCTTAAATGCACGATCCACATCATTTTCACAGTTCAACTTAAATTGAATAAAAATTCCTTTTTTTAACAATTTCACAGTGAACACAAAAATTGAGTTAAAACTCAGCAACTCACTTTATATGCGACAATATTGCAATTTTCTTACGGATCCCTAGTTTTTTTCAAAATAAATTATAGCCTATTTAACTCCACGATAATATAGCTTTCTATCGGTGAAAGAATTTTTTAGATCGGACCAGTAGTTCAGGAGCCTATTCCCTGCAAACAAACAAACAAACAAACAAACAAACAAACAAACAAACAAACAAACAAATTTTACCTCTTTATAATATTAGTATAGATATACAATTAATAGAAATAAATTGATAGATTGTCTCCTTCACTGCCTTACAAACTTCTGACTGAAATTATAATAGCCTTTGCTCTGCAAGGGTATAAAAATATAACATTTTTCTTCAGACAATCATAATTTTTGGAACATAAAGTTTTCTAATGACTCTCGGATTTCGAATCAAATTTTATAAAAATCGGAGGACTATATCGTAAAGCTGTCATGTGAACAATCGTTGAAAATATGGAAAATGTTTAGCCCTTCTGTATTTTCGACATATTTTATGAATGCAAAAGTATATAAGCTTCGCCTCACCGAAGTTAATTTCATTTCTTGTTATTGTAGTTATTTGGAAAAACTGAACGCGTTCTTTCTTTATTTTTTTTAAGATTTGGTCCGGCAAATGGTGTATAAAAGATGAGCACAAGCTTCTTGCCGAGTTAGGCAATTTGTCAACAGGAGCCGGAAATTGTACAGCATCTTATTATGAGGCTTCTAATGGATTTGCAACCAACTCTATATCAGGATCTGGCTCTACGCCATCCGGCTCCGACACGTCTATGCTGTATGATAGTATTGCAACGATTTCTCAAGCTCAAGGCTCAATTTATACACAGACAATTGGGCCATCAATTGGTAAGACATCCTCCTTCTATAGATACAATATTTTGTTGTGTTTTTTTTTGTAATTAAATTTAATTTTGTTTTTATTACATTTTGTTTTATTATATTTTGACACATTTATTTTGAAAATGGTACATCCTTTTATTTTCCCTTGTTTACCTAAATGATGTAGCAAGCAGTTCGCTTACCCCTTTGGTCCCTATAAGCATGCATGATATGAAGCTTAGTGCAAGTTCAATACAGGAACAGACAATCCCTCCTTTTTTCACAGGTAAGAAAATATAATTGCTTTTGCATAGTTTTTTTTAGAAAAGCACATCCATAGATCCATAACACGTCTTTGAAAAGGTAACAAATGTTGTTTGCTTTTTGGCTTGCATTGCAATTTTATTAGAAACCAAAGTAGCACAACAAAAAACGCTACAAAAATCGAAATTATATTACCTGTAAATTAAAAGTGCATTATTTTTTAATCTAAATGACACTTGAGTAGGAAAACCTTCGGTTAAGTAGAAACGCGCGTTTTTTGAAATGTGTATACCCGATTGTCGTAGATTAAAATACTTTCTTTTTGTGTATAAGTATGTAACAGGCCAAAGAAAGCTTTATCCACTAGATAAAAAATCAGATCAGGATTATCGTACGAGTTACGAGTCACTCCACTATTGCGTTCTCCCTTGTTTTAAAATATGTGTATATATTTTTCAATTATATTAGCCTAATAAATTTGAAATACAGTTTGTGTTGTGACTTCTCTATAACAACAAAAAACATGAAACAAATATAATATTGCTTCAGCGAGCTTATATAAACTCCAAGTAAAAACATAAGTCTAAAAAACGACTCAAATCCTAATATTGTAGATTTAAGAAAACCCTTTAGAAAGCCCTTTTATTGTGCCATTAAACGTAAGCACAATAAAGCCCTCTAACCCGGAAAGTCTCTGGCGCCTACAGTTTTAATGTTACAATAGGCTTTTTTTATTTTTTAAATTTTAAATTAGAGCTAGGGATTTGGGATTAGTCATACACTGTCAACAGCTAATTGTCTGTCTGTCTGTCTGTCTGCCTGTGGGAACAGTGGCGGATTTACCATATAGGCAACATAGGCAGCTGCCTAGGGCGGCAAATTTTTAGGGGCGGAAAATTTCGACTGTTAACACTACATAAAATACTACTTTTTAATAGACACAAAAAATTTGTACTCTAAGGTCTTCAACTTTAACATATTGTTCAATATACTTCTTTTCGCTGCCGCGAACACGCGGAAATTCAAACGCACAATCATTATAACCGAAAATTACCGTGCGTTTGAATTTCCCGCGCGTTCGCGGCAGCCATCGAGTAGTTCGAGTAGTTCGACCTTTGCTGAAAAAAGCCAAATTTCAATGTGGAAATTCATGCAACCGTGTAACACAAGGTCAATAAAACAATGATATAAAGGTGAAAATTAGGCTGCAGTCTAGGGCGGCAAAATCAAAACTGCCTAGGGCGGCAAATTGTCTTAATCCGCCCCTGTGTGGGAATATATTTTGCCGGGGCATAACAATTCTCAATTAATAATATGGTGTGCACAAACAAATTTTACAGTGGCTGTGAAGACATGAGACCAATACCTTTTTGTTTTATTGCGTACATACCAGCTCTTGCATTCGACGGAAACTACTCATCAATGACCAGCTTGGAAAACGGCTCCAGTTCTTCAGTGGGACAAGGAATCATTGCAGTGCCAGAAGGCACTGATCCGGCAAACCTTTGCTTAATTAGTGATAGGGTTTCACAAGACCACGCAGAAAATAATAGTATCCGAGTGAAAGAGTCCAAGACCCACAGTGATGGAGTCAGACCAGACGAAAATAAGGAATCTGAAAAAGATAACTCCAATTCGGAAACCAATGACCATATTCTTTTGCCGCACTTAAATCGTATTCCGGAAGACCAACTGATAAGAGGAAGTAGACGTCCTCATTTAAACACAATAGCGCACCCATCCTCTCTGATACTTCTGCAGCCTAGCGGAGGAGCCTCGTCAGTTAATGATAACCAGTCTAACGAAAGATTAGACGTGGACCCCAACCTGCGAAATAATGTAGGCCTTTACTCAACGCCCACAGTGCTACCAAGTTTTAATCACTACTCTGCAGGCAAGTCAAAAATATCTGCGTACACCAATACGATCATCAGCAAAGTTTTTCAAACTTTCTCGGAAATGCACTTCAATATTTTGCACACAACCGGTGTTGGGTCCTTTAGAGTTAAATACAAGTAAAAACAATAAAAAATAAAGAAAGAAAGCTAGCTTCTTTCGGCGAGCGGAAGTTCGTAAGCCCTCGCCTTCATACTTAATCTATAGTAAAAATATTTTTCTCTATTATTTCCTATTGTAAGTTGACACCGATAAAGTGAACTACATAGTTAGTCCCTAGTTCTGCGTTACGATACTATAGCTTGATCTTAATAAAAATAACACTTAATATAAATTGTCGGAGCGAATGTCGGAGCCCCAACCCACCTTGTCTTCCACTTTTGAGCTATACATACATGAAATAATGTTTTCTATTGGTGTACTAAGATCCAATTTTTAAGAAACATAACGCACCAGAAGGGTATTCATTGTGGTCAATATTCAGGTATAGTTCCAGGGCCCTGTTTCAAATAACTTAACTTTTGTATGAATAATAGATGGCGGAAGACTACTAACATCAATTTAAGAACCCTTTTATAAGAAGAAAACCTTGGAACGCGATTTGCAAAAAATAACCGAGACTCTTAAAAAAACATAAGAACAATTTGTCGCCAAGGCACTCAAAGCTTATAACTTAGAGGCTCAGATTTCAAGACCAACAATCTGACCATTTTCGAAGACAAACACGTTTTGGCGTGTAGGATGATGTACACGAAATCTATCATTTCAATGGTGCACAAATGGCAGCTTTTTGATACATTCCAAATTTGCATGACATTAAATTTTCAATTTGGCAGTACTAGTAAATCTCGAGAAATTTAAATTGTTCCTTCGAACAACACTAGCTCGTGCTCTCCAAATATGAATTTATCATTAAATAGCGCCATCTGTGGGTTGTTAGTGCATGGATTGTTAATAGCTTTGTAAAAATTTCGAGTAAAATGTAAAAAAAGCAATAGATGACTTAGAAAAAAACAAAAAAATTAAGCTAGAGTTTTTTTTTTCAATTTGCATTAAAATTTCTGTTTTTATTTTTGTTTTGGCCTTTTATTTTGTAAAATAATCTTAATTTAAAACTTCTTCTGTAAAACATTTACTTTACTTTCAGGTTGTAGCTCGGTGGTTCCCAGTACGGATTACGCCTATAACCCCGCCTACACACAATATGGTGGGACATATGGATCCTATGGATATGGGACTAGCGGCGGCTTGATAAGTACGTAAGAATATTTTACCAAACCACGTTTAAAAACTGCTACACTAAACAGTAGAAATACCACAAAAGAGCGATAACTCGGTACTCAACTGGACTTTGTATTGGGTGAACGCTACTGAATTAGTTCTTAGCCGACAATTTTCATGATTACTTCCTTTTTAGTTTATTTTTATTTAACGTTTTACATTTTGATTTTATTCCAGATTCATCCTATTACTATGAGGGCGGACAAACTCAGTCTTCGTTGACACAAGACCTCCGTTCACCTTTAGCTGCAACCCGAGCGAACTCTCTAGCGTCGGCTGCTTCGCCAGGAAGCGGAAGTGCGTGCACAAAATCCGAATCATCAGACATTTTTCTTGTTTAGTTGAAACCATATCTCAACTTATCCAACTTGTTTGGCTAATATTTTTATTTAAGAGAATAATGAAATGGGCATTTCGACATAAATACAATGCCAGCAAAACGGTTACAAATCCTATCCCTTTTTTAATTTTTCCAAAAATTAAGGATTTAACCAGAAAGTTTCCAAATTCTATTTTTGTTTTTGGTTTTCTGTTTAAAAATAAAAACGGGTCCTTGCAATAATAATAAAAGTCTATTAAAACAAACATACCCATGCTCAGCTATATCTTGACCAGATAAAAAAAATAATTACAAAATTGTTAAATTTTACAAAATTTATGAAAAAATTGCATTTAACAATTACTTTAAGTTATACATACAGCAAGATTTAAAAAACGAGTAATGGTTGTTAAGACAAACTTTTAAAACAACAAGCGAATATAAAATTACTCACTTACATCCGAAACCAAAATGCCCATAAAGGCGATAATCAACCAAAAACATAAAACAAAAGTTTTAAAAACTTTTACACTATTTATTTTTATTTAATATTCTTCAAGCGACAACCCACAAATTAGTGTATGTAAAAATGTATATAAATAAGTGACTAACATGTAATTAGGCGTAAGCTGATAAATGCACTGCGTTTAGATATTTTTGTCTTAAATATTAAGTTAAACCAAAACTTTGCTAAAAACTGTATCTTGTGTAAATAACGACTAACATATGTCGAAAAATTACCGCATGTTTTCTAATTATTTAACAAAGAACACAGTTTATTTTGTTTTGTATTTGTATTTACCTCAAGAACTCGTACTTAAATCTATTTGCTCGATTTAATATCGGCTTAACGAATATAACTGATTACAAAAAAGTATGATCATCGGCTCGTCTATTTGTAAACGGAGAAACGTAGACATTTAAACCAATTTAATTCTAATATGAATATTTGTCTGAATATGTTTGTTTTGTATTCAACTTGAACAAGAAAGGAAGCTAGCTATGGTAAGCCCATGTTGATCTACCCTTGCAGTCATCACAAATCAATAGTAACAAGATTTGTATACCCTTGCAGACGGTTTTAGAATTTCAGTAAAAATAGCTGTCATAGGAACAATCTGTGAAAATATGGAAAATTTAATAGAAAAGCCGTAATTACTTCGATGTTGTTTGTCCTTTAGGCATTTTGATCTACATTTTTGATGAGTGCAATGATATATAGGCTTCGGCTCGCTGAAGCTTCCTTCGTTGTTGTTCCCTTACAACGTCAGCGATAAAGTTTAGTCGAATTTTTTGTATTAATTTTCTCAATTCTATAACAGCTAATGATATAGTAGACCGATCTTTATATAAATTACTTTTTAATACCTGTTATTGTAATGAATTTCTAAATGTCATTTAAAATTCCCGCTGCAAGGGTATAAAACGGTGTGGTGATCACAGTGCAAAAAATAGTATCTTAAATCGTTTAATATGAAACACAACCGAAGCCAAAAATTCAATAGTAAAATTTTATAACTCAAAAATTAATCCCAGGTATAAATTTCTTTTATTTTTGTTTGAACTATCGTAACCGTCATGTTAGTTATTGAGCAGTTAAAGTAAAAAAGTTTTAAAACTATGTTTTCATTTTTTTATTGGCATGCCAATTTATTGGCTTTGAGTTATGGAAAGCCTTGACTATTTAAATAGATTATTTATGTAACAAACCAAAAAAGATGTTTGACTCGTCCTCTAAACTTGTTTTAGGTTTAAAATAACAATTATTTACCACTTTACCAAATTATATACCTACTTATTTTAAGTTTTATTGATTTTTATGTATTATAAATGAAAGCTATAGAAAATTTCTTTAAAACCCTTAAATAATCGCATTTGAAGTGGAAAAAAATGTGGCGGAAGAAATACCTAAATATTTTAATTATTTTTAAAAACTACTGCTTAGCTTGTACTGTTTTAAAATACTCCAGACTTCAAAACCAATATTAAGTTGTAGCTTAATACTTAGAGTTAGAAATTTAGTCTTAAAATAAATTTAGGTAAACGTTAAGAATTAAGAAAGCACAAACCAAATTTTAACTTATTTAAAATAAAAATGTCTGTGACCAAACATCGTTGCAATATTTTTTGGCTTCTTTATTTGGTAGTAAAATTGATTTTTGTTAGTCACTTTTTTCCAGTTTATTAATTTGGAAAAGCAATTAATGAAACAGATGATACATGCAAACAAGATTAGAAGCTGGCTTTGGGAGCCGAAGCTTATATAACAGGCATCACAAATCTATTTTTTTTTTATATGCTTTGCTTTGTTTATTGAATCTTTTCCTTACGAAACTAACAATATGTGTACTATATATGTATTTTAGGGGTTGCTGTTCAATTTGCAGGTTGGTCCTGAAATCCTTTATTTGCACATCCTTCCGTGGTGGTGTTGAGATCCTGGCTGCTGTGACGAGTAGCCCTTCCAAGGTAGCGTGGTGGCCGGTAATTTCTGGGCTTTGAAGAAGGGTCATCAATAATGGAGAGTGGTCTGATGAGAGATCCGGTAGGGCCTTGGCGCTTATTAGGATGCGTGGAATGTTTTTTGTCACCGCGAAGTCCAACTTATTTCTCACATTTATAAGTGTATTATAAAGTTGCGTTCCCTTGGGAGCTATGAAACGATTCCAAAGTGAGTTGTAGAAATCCATGTATTATTGTAAAACGAGGTTGTCGCTTTCTGACTGCACTTTCATGGACGTGGATTGCAAGTAATTTGTTGCAATCCTTTGCTGAAAATGGTGTTTTATGCGTTCTCTAATAAAGATGCCGGTGCCGCCGTGCGCGATGATTTCTGCGGCAGAAGGTATAACCCCGTATATGGAAGTTATCTGTAGTTTGCCATGTGCAGTATGTCCTGGTGTGTCCAAACTACTGAATATTTGTGCATTGTACTGGACCGTTCCGTTTGTGTGGTTCTTCCACTATGATCCTTCTATGCAGTAAGAACTGCAGCTTCTAGATCGGATGGACTTCATTTTTTATTGGGGTTTCGCTATCTGGCTTGAGCTCAACCTTGAAAAGTGGTTGCGGCTTTTTTTTCATGATTTGTTGTGTATTTACTCAGTACTGCAAATTTAAAAGACTACGTTTTCTCGTCTGTTAAGATTATATTTTGGGGTCCAAAAGGTTAAAGTTGTTACTAAGTTGTGTCAAATGTTTTTTTAGGATCATGATTGATAATCTACAAAACCAAATATCTAGTAAGTGATATTTTGCCAGCTGCTAAAAGCATACAAAACAAGAAAGGAAGCTAGCATCGGCAAGCCGAAACTTATATACCCTTGCAGTCGCTCAAAATGCATAAGGGCGATATGCCACTTGTAAATCGAATAAAAATTAGAAAAGTTATGCGCCAAAAAGGGCTGGGATCTGATAATTTTTCTGCAAATCCATTTTGTGCAAATTTTGAAAGGGGCGAAAAAATAGAAAATCCGATTTTGCAAAAAATGTAAGGGGGGAGTCCATGAAAATTTCAAAAAAATTTATTTTCTGACATTTTTGGTGCGGGCGATATGACACTTTCAAAAAGTGACGGAACGCCCGCGGGCGCTATGACACTGGGCGTTATGCCATGCACCCGTTTATACCATCGGAATCAGAATTTTATTACGAATTCAACGATGTATGCCATTCCACATTTGGAAGAATATTTCCTGAGATATTGCTAAAAAACTGGATTTTTTGAGTCATTTTATGTAGTTTTGGGCAAAAAAAAAACTTTTTTCGCACCGCTTGCAGAATTAAAATTCGTCCGTAATTGCTGAACATGTTGCACACTTGTGCTGCAAAAGAAACCCCGACCGAACAAGAGTTATAAAAACTATGCTTTTTCTTTTCAGGAATCAACGAGAGCAGCTGGAGCCTGGGCGCCTTCCCTGCCTCCCTGGCACATAAAACCAAATTTGGGCCAGATCCACAGCAGAGCAGGTCAGCGAGGGCTTCTACTTCTCCACTACTCTCTTTCCGGAACTTATTCGCCGACGATCATTACTGGACGAGCAGAGCGAGGAGCAGATATTAGTTTTATGATAAGAAAATTTATTTGAATTGTACAAACCTAAATGTATAATGTTTAATAATAATATTAAATAATAATAAGATATAATACTCACATAAGGAACTTACTTATAATAATAAAAACTATACTATAAGTTAAGATAAACATATAGTAGGAAACTTAGCTATTATTGTATTATGGCTGAATTATTGAATATAATAAAAACTAACTAATGAAATTATTGACTGTTTTAATGTGGTAGGCGGGTGGGGAATTTGAAATACCAGGCAGCCCCCTAATTGTAGCAGAAAGCTTCTGTCAGTAAGCAATTATTTGGTATTGATTTTGGCTGAAAATGAAATATGTACCAGGCAGCCCCCTAATTGTAGCAGAAAGCTTCTGTCAGTAAGCAATTATTATACCCTTGCAGAGCAAAAGGGTATTATAATTTCAGTCAGAAGTTTGCAACGCAGTGAAGGAGACACCTCAGACCCCCTAAAGTATATATATTCTTGATCAGCATGACGATCTGAATCGAAATACGTCTGTACGTCTGTCCGTCTGTCCGTCTGTCCTCCTGTCGGTTTCTATGTAAACTAGTCTCTCAGTTTTAAAGCTATCTGGCTGAAACTTTCCCAAAAGTTGTGTAGTTGTTGCACGCAGTATATAAGTCGGAACGGGCCGGATCGGGCGACTATATCGGATAGCTCCCATACGAGAGAATGGAATAAAAAATTCTTACTCCGTTGTTTTTGATCAGATCGACTTGATTCCTTCCAGAAGGCGTTTTCTAACTGCTGTTGAATTTCGGATTAAATTGTATCAAAATCGGATAACTCTATCTTATAGCTGCCATAGAAGAGACCAAAAAATATATATATAAATAATGGAAAAATAAATTATTATGTCGTTGTTTTTAATGCCACGAGCATGATTTTTGGAACATCAAGTTTTTCAAATACTCTTCAATCGAGAAAAAAAATTTCATAAAAATCGGAGTACTATATCATATAGCTTCCATAGGAAAGATCGAAAAATCTATACAGAAATAACGGAAATATAATTATTACCTCGTTGTTTTTCATCAGACAATCATGGTTTTTGGAATATAGAGTTTTCCAATGAGTCTTGAGTTACAAATTAAATTTCATCAAAAAAATATAGCTGTCATATGAACAATATGGAAATCGTCATAGATTCGATGCTGTTTAGCCTTTTTGTATTTTGTTAGACATATTTATTGGGATGGGATGGCTTTCATTCATACAGAGTAAAGTTTTCAGATCGCGGTCAACTTGGTGGCCGCCAGTGCGATCTCTCTTTTTTGGAATGATTGCAAGTTGACACACAGTCTCCTCGTGGCACCTCCTGGGTAGCTATCTTAGCATCCGCTAGATAGTGAGCTAATGTGTGCAGCGATGTCACCCGGACGTTAAACGGTTGAGCGCAGGGTTTGGAACCCGCCTCGTAAAAAAAGAAGCCCAGTGAAGACCAAAGGGAAAGCCTCGGATAGGATCCCCCTTATGTTGACGACCACCGCAAAACGAAAAAAGACTACGATTTAAGGATATGCACCTGGAATGTCCGAACCCTTAATTGGGAAGGTGCCTCTATCCAACTGGCGGATGCCCTCGAAAAATTAATGGCTGACATTACCGCCATCCAGGAAATGAGATGGACAGGACAAGGTTGCTCCAAGCGAGCAAACTGCGATATCTACTACAGCTGCCATGCGGAGAGGCGCGAATTTGGATGCGGATTTGTAGTAAGCCGGAGACTTCGCCACCACGTCTCCAACTTCACCCCAGTGAGTGAACGACTGGCTACAATCCGCGTCAAAGCTAGGTTTTTCAATCTAAGCATAATGTGCGCGCACGCCCCGACGGAGGAGAAGGACGATGCTGTAAAGGATGCATTCTACGACTCGAGGACACATATGACCGCTGCCCAGACCTTGACGTGAAGATTATCCTCGGGGACTTCAACGCAAATTGACCCCACCGTCGGTCAATTCAGCCTCCATGAGACCACCTCGAACAACGGTCTCAGACTGATTGACTTCGCCGCGGCGCGAAATATGGTAGTGAGTAGCACCAGATTTCGGCACCTCGACATCCACAAGGCCACATGGCTGTCCCCTGATCAAAAGATGCGCAACCAGATTGATCACGTTGTGATAGACGGAAGGCATGCCTCAAGTGTGATGGACGTGCGTACGTTTCGTGGAGTCAACATTGACTCGGACCACTATCTTGTCGCAGCCAAGATACGCATGCGGCTATGCCGAGCGAAAAACATACGCCCCATCACGCAACGAAAGCTTGACGTCACTAGGCTGCTATCACAACGGACAGCAATGGCCTACTCCACTCACCTCTCGGAACTGCTCCACCAACCTATCCCTCTCCCTTTTGACGCCGGCGGACTCTGGGCGCACATTTCCCACTCCATGCGAGCTGCTGCTGAATCAACCATTAGGTTCCAGCGCCCACCCACACGGAACCAATGGTATGACGAGGAGGGTCGCGTCGCAGCTGCAGCAAAAAACGCCGCCCACAGAAAAACGCTGCAGTCTGGCGCAACGCGAGCTACGTGTGAACGTTACAGGGCGAAAAGGAAGGAAGAGAGGCTACTTTTCTCAGCGTCCTTTGTCCTGTACTGAAGAAAGGTGACCCGACGATATGCGCCAACTACCGGGGAATCAGCCTGATTACCATCTCATACAAGGTTCTATCGAGCGTAATATGTGAGCGACTGAAGCCGTATACCAGCACACTGATTGGACCTTATCAGTGCGGCTTCAGACCTGGTAAGTCCACCATAGACCAGATCTTCACATTACGCCAAATCCTGGAAAAAACCCACGAGAATAACATCGACACACACCATCTCTTTGTCGATTATAAAGCTGCATTCGATAGCCCAACGAGGGAACGCCTATATGCCACCATGTCTGAGTTCGGTATTCCTGCAAAGCTAATACGGCTTTGCAGAATGACATTGAGCAGTACCATCGGCTCTGTCAAGGTAGGAACGAACCTCTCCGAACCTTTTAATACCGTTCG